ATCCCCCCCCCCCCCCCCCCCCCCCCACCGTTCCTTGGGGCGGAGAGATATTCAGAACACCCAAGCTTACAAAGACACGAAACTACATGTGCCCTAGTCCCCCTTTTTTTTCCCCATATTCAAGAAGGTGTCATGTACATACATACATACATACATACATACATATATACACATCCCAACCCAACTCAAACTCCCAACAGTACACCTCGGCAAACCCACCCACCTATATGAACATGACTCGCACCACGCACGTTCCCCACCTCTCTTCCCCCCTTATTTGAATTTCGAATTTCAGGGTTGTGAAGTGTGGTTATGCCCGAGTGGGCTGATTTACCTCTACCACGTTTTATCTCGGTAATTGTGTTTTTTCTTCTTTCTTTCTTACTGCTCAAAGGGGCCGTAAAAAGCGGGGATATGAGTCGTAGAAAATCCTCAAGTTTTTATTGTAGGGACTAGTTGGGTTGGGTTGAGCAGTAGGAAAAGCTTGATTGGGCTAGTCTGACACTCGGTATGAGTGAACGGGTGTTTTGTCTTTAGGTTAGGGTTGTGGCGGTAGATGGGAAGAGATGGGAATTGGGTTTAGTTTAGTTTGGATTGGTAAAAGGGGAAAAGGTTGATGGCGAGAGAGAGAGAGAAGGAGCGGAGCGGAGCCAAGATTGGAACGAAGTACGGGTTTGGTTTTTGTTGAGGTTAGGGTTGTGGCGGTGACGGGAAGGGATGACTTTTGGATTTAGTTTGGGGTTAGGGAAAAGCTTGATGGAGTTGCTTGTGCTTGGTTTGTGCGGAGCCAAGACCTGCGTGGGAGGACATGAACTCTCTTTTTTTGGGTTGTTTCTTATTTTGGGGTTAGGTTTATGATTGAGGGCTTGGTGGTAAGAGGATGTTTGACGGGAAGGGAAGAATTTTGGGTTGGGCTGGAATTTGGGGGTTTGAGGCTAGGGTTGTTGGAGAGATAAGATACAGGGGGAGGGGTGCTTGGGCTTGTGTGGGATTGTGGACGTGCGGATATATGTAGGGAGGAACGAGGATATTGGGCGAGGGTTTGTGGTTATGGTGTGGATTTGTATATTTCTCTTATCTTTGTGGATGGACGGATGGAGATCCTGGCACTATCTCTTCACTTCGTATTTCTGCAGCTTAGAAGTGGAGGTGTAATTGAGGGGAAAGCATATACGCATGCATACGGTGTACACGTAGTAGCTTACGGACGAAAAAGAGATAATGGTGTGTTAGATGTGTGACTAACATTATATTAGAAATCTAAGCTGTGTACGAAGCACATCTTGGGTCGGAGTCGGGACAAGAAGTTGAGTCCGATGGTGGCGTTAGAATAGCGCGACCGGAGTCGGGTTCTGGCGCAAAACGCCCTACGCCCTATATCCGTTCTATGTCCAAAACAGGACGAGCAGCGTAAGCGCCTCGAGTTCCGAACTCCGTATTGAGTCGCAAGTTGCGAGTAGTATAGTTCAGAGGCTGGAACGCAAAGGGAGCTCTAACTATTGGTATGCACCCAACTGGCTGGTTCGACTTGTTCCATTCACTTGGTGATTGATCAGCTACTCGGTCACCCCCAAGAGATACGTCCGCCAACGGTGTGCAATCTCTAGTGCACGTACATACAAACCCGTTGCATGCGAAACGGTTGCTATGGATCATCCACACCATGGTAGAATAAAGGTCGTCCGACCCTCCGACTCGACTCGTGACACCCCTTCCTAGTGGATATCCAACATACTATGTACGCGTCGCAACTCATGCACAGCGGAGCGTGCGAGAAGCGAGAGCGCGAGCGCGGGCAAAAGTGGAGCATGGAATTTCTCGTACCGTCTATTGATATCGCACACGCATTGTTGTATGCAATATGTACCTCGGCATCTCGGTGCTAGTGTGTCAGGGGGGCTTGCGCAGAAAAAAAAGGCTGAAGAAATTTCGAGTCCAATCTCAAAAGACCCTATGACGCGTGATGTTCGCTTTAGGTTGGGCGAGGCAAGACACACAGAGTGCTTCCGTAAGAATCTTCTATTTTCTTTCTCTTCCTTGCATTTGCCACGAATAGTATTACGAGCTTCTCTCTACTTCGGCGCTTTGTTGGTCCGATGTCGCGCGTGTGATGGGCCCGAGGCTTGGGTTTTCCTAGATTCGCTACTGATCATGTTGGCGGAAACAGATTAGCGCTGCCGGTCACCTCGGCCGAGCAACGCTCAAGATTTAGCATCATGGTGTCATAGGGCCCAGGGATGGCACTGGTAGCAGCGGCAATGCCGTGAGCCCGGAAAGGTTCCAGATCACTGGGCAATAGCGGAAACAGATTCGTCGGCCGGGTTTTTCGTTTGATGCGTCCTTGCGAGCTAATGACAAGCTCTTCGGTGGGCGTTGGACATGATTGTTTATATGTGGCGTAGGTCCCGCGGTTTGGCACATTGACCATCGCTCTTCCTCTTCCAAGCTTTCAACTGTCGTCATTGCTTCGTATCTTTGTCGACCTATATACATATTACACCTTTTTTTTAATATAATATCGGGCTCTTGGACTAAAGAATTGCACCGCCTGATTCACCTCACCGCTTCACCCCGTGGAGATATAAGGGACATCACAACACCACCACTGTTACGCCATAAGTACATCGACTGGACGATATAATCATGACGGAAAAGGACCGCGAGGTCCCTGTTGGCTCTGCCACCAACAACAGCAACATGGACGTTGAGTCAGGAAGAGAAGGAATTTCACATTGGCAAATGATCACCGACCAGGGAGTGGTCACCCGGGAGATCATCAACTACGACTACGAGGGTGCGGGAACAGAGGAGGATCCCTATGTTGTCGAGTGGATCGACAATGACCCAAGGAACCCCATGACCTGGGCCAAGTCGAAGAAATGGATCATGGCCATTGCCGTAGCAAACTCGGTCCTCGTCGTATCATTCTGCTCATCTGCCTTCTCTGGAGGTATGTATCACGCGTATCTGGGATTACAGACATGTCGAAAGCTAACACTTACCAGGTATCCAACAAATCATGAGGGAATTCAAAGTTAGCCAAGAAATCGTCACACTCGGTGTATCACTGTTCGTCCTGGGGTTCGCACTCGGACCCCTCCTGTGGGCCCCCTTTTCGGAATTATATGGTCGCCAGCTTGTCTTCGTAGGAACATATGCCGCTTTCATGGCATTTAACGCCGGTGTTGCTGGCGCGGATTCCATCTACTCACTGCTCATTCTCCGATTTTTTGCCGCTGCCTTTGGATCCAGTCCTCTGACCAACGCCGGAGGTGTCATTGCTGATCTCTTTACCGCCAACGAGCGAGGTGTCGTCATGAGCATCTTCTCTGCCGCACCCTTCATGGGTCCAGTCTTGGGTCCCATTATCGGTGGATTCCTTGGTATGGCTGAAGGGTATGTAACTGAAACCCCACACTGTATCATACATAGCTAACTCTTCATCTAGATGGCGATGGGTTAATGGCCTCATGGCAATTTGGGCAGGTGTGCTTCTCGTTGCTGTAGCCTTGCTGGTCCCCGAGACATATCCTCCAGTCCTGCTCCGAAAGCGTGCCGAGAAGCTCTCCAAGCTCTCTGGCAAGGTTTATCGATCCCGCGCCGACATTGAACAAGGAAAGGTCTCGCTTGGAGAGGCATTTGCTACTGGTCTCAAACGCCCCTGGATCCTCCTCTTCTGCGAACCCATCGTCCTGCTTCTCTCCCTGTACCACGCCATCATCTACGGTATTCTTTACATGCTTTTCGGTGCTTTCCCCATTGTGTACCGTAAGGGACGTGGCTGGAATGAGGGCGTCAGTGGATTGCCCTTTGTTGCCGTCGCCATTGGAATCGCACTCGCCATTACCTACGTCATCACCATCGACAATAAGATGTACAGGAAAAAGATTGCTGAATCCGGTCGTGGATTTGCCGCCCCCGAAGCTCGTCTGCCCATGTGCATCGTTGGTGGCATTGTACTTCCTATTGGCCTTTTCTGGTTCGCCTGGACAAACTCTCCTTCTCTGCCATGGGCTATTAGTGTTGTCGCCTCCATTCCGTTCGGATTTGGCATGGTTCTCATCTTCCTGTCAATCATGAACTACCTCATCGACTCTTACACCATCTTTGCCGCGTCTGTCTTGGCCGGCAACGGTATCATCCGATCGGTATTCGGTGCTGCCTTCCCGCTCTTCACTTCGCAAATGTACAGCAGCCTTGGCATCCACTGGGCATCATCAGTCCCAGCCTTCCTTGCCATTGCCTGTCTCCCACTCCCATTCCTCTTCTACAAGTACGGAGCCCAAATCCGCGAGAAGTGCAAGTACGCCGCACAGTCCGAGGCCTTTATGCAACGCATGCGCGACCAACACGCCGCAAAGGCAGCACGACAGCAGGTTGCTGGCACCGAATCAGAAGACACATCTCGTGCCAACACCCTTACACCACAAGAAGAAGCCGAGGAGGAAGCGCACATGGAGGAGCCCAGGTTCCAAGAGATGAAGACCGAAAAGGAGACTGAGGATGCTGATGGTCTGAAGAGGGTTCATACTGGACGCTCAACAAGGAGCAGAAGGACAGTACGCGACCTCGAGTTCGACTCGAACCCATTCGACATTGATCGTGTCAACACAAGAGAGAGCTTTGCGGGCAGGCCGCGAGGCAACAGCCGGGCGAGCACCAAGCGATAGACATTTGTTACGAAGTTGTTTTGAAGATTGCATTTTCACGGCCAAAAAGTTGAGTTATTTCTAGACGCACAGCGTTAGCATATACCCCATATCCTAGAGTCAATAGCCGATTCTATAGTTTTGTAACATTACAATCAACAGATTGCCAAGAGTCTCCTCGACTACGAATAGCTGTAGTGTAGTGTAGTGTATGTACTACCAGACCTTCTTCGTCTCACGTGATGACAGTCGTCCCAAACGGATGATCTTCGGCGATCATCCGCAACGGCCGCGCTAATAGCTGCTGCCAGAGAAGCACTCCACAAATAGCAGCGCGTCCCATCTCCAGGCCACATCACCTAAGATGTACCGCCATCGGCCCTTCCCACGCGTCCCTCCGCAGATCGCGTTACTTACATGTGGCTAGCCTTACTTCTTGACCGACGCTTCCGCTCCTTAACTACGTGATGCACTAACAATGCCTCGCCTGCGCATTCGCCATGTTGCCATCTGCGTGGCAATTGTCGTGTGGATCTACTGCTTCCTTCCCGAGAACCAACATGGAGGTATTGGCCCGGGCGCCAATCACGATGCGACCATCAGCCTTGCGCGCTACATGAATGATGTTTCCGGCATACCACCCATTCGCGCAAAAGCGAGTAGTTTTGACTGGAGTTCTGTCAACTTTACATATCCACTAGAACGTAAACCAAACCTACCGGCCCCGTTCAGAAATCGACCTCGCATACAGCATCCCGCTAGAGCCGAATCGCAGGAGGCCAGACGACTCGAGGTCAAGAATGTGTTTAAGAAGAGTTGGGCTAGCTACAAGAGCAAGGCATGGATGAAAGATGCGCTGAAGCCTATTAGCGGAGGATATGTCGACCAATTCTCGGGCTGGGCTGCTACGCTCGTGGATAGTCTTGACACGTTGTGGATGATGGGCATGCGTGAAGAGTTTTACGAGGCTGTCAGGGCAGTTTCGACAATTGATTTTGGCACCTCCACGTCGCCAAGGGTGAACACTTTTGAGACGTGCATTCGGTATGTTTTGGGCTTAAAGAATGCGAACAAGGGCCAAGCTGATGTTTTGTAGATATCTGGGTGGACTCCTAGCGGCGTACGACTTGAGCGGGCACGAAGCGCTAAAGGCAAAGGCGATCGAGGTGGGTGACTTGCTGTATGCTGGATTCAACACCGAGCACGGCATACCGGTCGACTTTATCAACTTTGAAGAAGCAAAGAAGGGCGGAGGCTTGATTGTGGAGAGCGAGGTGGTCAGCGCGAGTCCTGGCACAATCACTCTGGAATTCAGCCGGCTCAGCCAAATCACCGGAGACGACAAGTACTATGCTGCAGTATCGCGTCTGATGGACGTTTTCCATAAAGGTCAGAACTCGACCAAGCTACCTGGAATGTGGCCCATGATGGTGTCTATGCGTACGCAGGACGTGGTGTCTGGGTATCAATTCACCATCGGCGGGAATGCAGATTCGCTGTATGAATACCTGCCCAAGGCACACGCTTTGCTTGGTTCAGTCGATACCAGCGCAGCCAAGTTTGAAACCATGTCACGCGCTTTCTTGGACACGGCAATGAGCAACCTATTCTTTGCGCCGATGATACCAGGCCATGAAGAAATTCTCATTTCAGGCAATGTTGACGTCCTCGAAGACGGCCCGAGGCTCGATCCTGAAAGCGAACACCTTTCATGCTTTATTGGTGGACTCTATGCGCTCGGTGGACGCTTGTTCAAAAACGATGAATACCTTAACCACGGAGTCAAGCTAGCTCGTGGTTGCGCTTACGCATACCAGGCCTTTCCATCTGGTATCATGCCAGAGAGATACAACATGGTCTTATGTCCGGGTCCAGACCACCGCAAACGCTGTGCTTGGGATGAGAAGCGGTATGCTGAAGCCGCAGCCGCACGACCACAATACAGACCCAACCTACCGAAAGGCTTCACTACCGCCAAGGATCCGCGTTACATTCTTCGTCCCGAGGCAATTGAGTCCGTCTTTATCCTCTGGCGCATCACAGGCGACCCTGTATGGCGAGAAACGGCATGGACAATGTTTGAAGCAGTAGCCGCGGAAACAGATACGAAGCTCGCCAACGCGGCGATCATGGACGTTACGGTAAAGGGATCGGAAAAAGAGGATTACATGGAGAGTTTCTGGATGGCGGAAACGCTCAAGTATTTCTATCTGTGCTTTGCAGATACGGGGTTGATCAGCCTGGATGACTTTGTGCTCAACACCGAGGCACACCCGTTTCGGTTGTGGAGGTAAGCTTGCTGTGCATGGTCATAGAAACTGCTCCATTTACTGGAGTTTTCTCTCAAAAAAAGGGGATATAAAATCTAACAAATGGAAATGGAAACCCATGACTAAACACATTTGAGACTGGCGATTTGAATTGAACCGCTGATGCTTTTGCAATACTGCATAACAGTGAGTGCACCTCGCTCGTATATCATCCTGCAATCAAGCATTGTGGTACCACGAAAGCAAAGCTTGATTAGAACGGTACCTTACTGAACTGTCTCTAAAACCAGAGCCGATCCTGGCATTTTCATACCTAGCGTTGAGCAACAATATTCCCACTCACTTCCCATTCACTTCCGGCTTCAACAACCCTAAACAAGCCCACTGACAAGCACAAGCACCGCTCTTTTCCAATCTGCCATTTCTTTTCTCCCCCCCTCCTCCTCCTTTTCCCTCATACTCTTCTATACGTCATGAACGTCTTTCAATCTCTCGATAATCCAATCCACACTCACTTTTTATCTGCTAAAGCAAAGTCATTGATTGGAAGGAAAAAAAGTCCGCTCTTTACTATTTCATTATCTACGTGCGCCGTAACCATCGGCTTCGAAACCCTCTACCGCGCCCCCCCAGCATCAAAATGCGGGCACCGCTAGACCTCACGTAACAAAATTCCACGACGACACTGCTAAATTCCGTCATCCCTGCTTCTCGGACATTTTGTTCATAAACGCGTTTGCGTTGTGGCGAGGCTGCCGCCGCGGGAGCCTGACACTACGAACAGTATAATTTGAGGATATGGTCTGCGTCTTGGCGCATGTTGAGAGTGTTGTGGGTGGTAAAGACAAGGTGTTGGAGGTTAGAATGGAGAGACGGGGTGGCCGACGGCCCCAGGAGATGGAGTATGGGGATGCGAGGGGTGGGGTGGAGGAGGCGGAGAGGTATTTTAAAGGGGCGTTTTGGGTTGAGGCGGTGGATTAGATGTGGAAGCTGGGGAGTAAGGGAGATAGTGGGGGCTATGGTGGTGGGGAAGGGGGACGAATTTTGGGTTAAGGTGTTGGGTGGGGGAAGGGGAGGAAGGAGGGGGTAGGAGAAGTTGTTACGCGGGTAATTGGCAGGGAGGGAACGTGTGTATTGGGCTCGATTTGTTTCTGGTGACTTGATTGTGTTTTGCAAAGATGGGCTCTACTCCGAAAGCTAATTGGTATCAGAAACGCCTGACTCCATCTCGTCTTTACACTCATGTGAGAAGACCAAAAAAACCCTCGTTTCCCCAGGAAAGTGTGAAAAAGAAAAGAAAAAAAAAAAGACTGCACATCCAAGTGTTCATCCCATCATACCACATCTAATAGTTATAAGAAAAAGAACACCATCACACAACCCTCTCAAACCTCATCTGCTCTACCTCGACCCCCGGCGTACTCGCCACAGTACTGACCCCGGACCCCCTCGAAAACAAACTTGAACTACTCGACTCCACCCTAGACAAAACCGACTCCCCACTCGATGGTATACGAGACAACGTGTTAAAAATTTCCTCATAATCCGGTGCAAACTCTCTCTCCGGCTCCCTCGGACTGTATACCGGCAGGGGCTCCGCATCTTCCTCCTCATCTGTCTGCGTCAAAGCCGGCGCATCACGACGTACCCGTGGCAAGATCTCCAGCGGCGTGGTAGACCTGACCACGAATTCCTGGTCGTTATACTGTATACCAACCGTAACACCCAACGTGTACCGCCGGGTAACGGTATACGTCTTAAACGACGGAACGCACTCTGCATCATCGAGGAGGCGGAAAGAATTCGAAGTCAGGGCCACTGTCTTATTAAAAGGAGCTTGCTTCTGCATGTCGGACCGCGAGATGCAGGTTACGTGTTTAGTGACAGTGTCTTCGAGGTAGGAAGACGAGTTTCCGCACATGGTGGTGGAGTAGGTGGATATGACGATGGAGAGGGTGGAGATGGTGCAGTGGCGCTCAGCGTGGTTGGCGGGGTCGCGGGCGTTGAGGAGGTTGAGGGAGAGGGGGATGTGGCCGCCGGGTCCGACACAGATGGGGTGGTAGAGTGTGGGGACGATGCGCGGAGTCGAGTTCATGGAGACGCCTGAGAAGACTTTTTTCACGCGGGATTCCTCTTTTTCGCGGGTGGGCTTCCAGGATTGGCCGTAGAGGACGGAGGAGGTGGAGAGGGAGCGAGAGGTTGAGTATGCGGGTGGTTTGGGGTGGTAGCGGAGTGTTTGCTTGCATCTCTTTGTTTCTGTGGAGCCGGATAGAACGAGTCTTGCCTGGACAAAGTAGGATATTTGTGCTGTACCGTCCGGGACGTCTGTTTTTAGTTGGAATGTAGGCGGGAGTGGATGTGGTTCCCAGAGGTAATTGTCTCCATGTGTCGAGCGTTTGTACTGAGGTTCGGTAGATGCTGGGAAGATGAATTCAAAATTCCAGGAATATTTCTTCGGTCCAAGTCTGTAGTGAGAAAGCAGATGTTTTTCTCGGTTGAACAGGCGTATCTTTTCCTCGTAGGGTTGCCTTGACGCAGTGGCATCGTTGTTGCCATGTGTATGCAGTGGTCTAGTGGTCTTGGTAATACAACTCCCGGCGAAGACCAACTTCAGCGATTCAACCTCCTTTTGCTCTTCTACTGCCAACCAGACCTGACCCTTGACCTTCTCTCCTGCTTGGTATATCTTGTTGTTATCGCCATCTATTGTAACTCTCAGTGCTGGGACCGTCATGTTTGCTGTAGAGGTATAATGAGATCAACAATGCAGGGACCTTTGGGGCTTAAGAGAAAAAAGAGCGGGTATAGACGATTGGCTTCAGGCCCGGCCACGCGGCTATCAGTGTAGCTGGTACGAGGAGAATGTTTGCCGGGGGTGGGAAGCGTGCCAAGCAATGCGGGATGTCTGGGCATGCAGCTGAAAGATGATAATGGAAGGTCAGAGGACGCTTTCTTGGAAACGGAGGCTGAGTACAGGCTGTTATTGGGACTACATATTGTTTGTCTTTTGCCTTGGGACTCCTGAAGTGCTTGGCAGGCTGTTCCGCTGACCGGGAGAGACCATGAAGCAGTTGGGATCAAGACAGGTACTTGGGCACACATGCGATTTTGTACTGTCTTGTCGGCATGGGATGCTGGCAGTGATTAGGGCTATAGTATAGCGACCGTCTTGTTTCATGCAACGGCTGCTCGCACCGACTAAGCGCGACCCAACATACGCCGTGAGAATTCCAGAGACATATCAGCCGCAGCAGAGTTCCGGTGCTATTGATTCCGCAGAGAAGTTGCAGGCGGGAGGGAGCCAAGGAAACGTGGTGGTCTTGGCTGGCAGTCTGGATCAGCCACGCTGATACCCCAGATTCATCCCGCTAGCCTCGTCCTTCTAGACCGACAACACGGGCTCTGGAGTCTGGGTGAGCCCATATAGGAGCCGCTGCCCTGGAGCTGGACAGGCAAGGACCCTGCTTTGATTGCCTCGTGGAGCAGCACAAAAACGATATCAACAGTGTTAGAGAACAACAAGGACGGTGAGAGCAGAAGCCAGGGTGAGTCATCTGTATCCCGCCCCGGCGTCGTGGCGTGGGCACGATGAGCCCTTGGCTTGCGCCCAAGGCCTCGATGGCGGACCGACTGGCCAGGAAAGAATCGGGGAGATGGAAGGGCGTGTGTAACAGGCGGCTTACGCATCCGATTCGCCTGACCACATGGCGCTGTAGCGAGCATCCAACTCGTGGACACAGAGAGTAGTATTCACCTCAAGCTGTGTAGGTAGTTTGAATCAAGACTTGGGTCCCGAGAACTAATCACATGCCACCTGCTGGGCATTCCCAAGGCGGCATGGGAGCGCCAGCCTGTGGTTCGGCGTACCGACCCGCCGGCGCTCGGAACTTGTCGTCGAAACGTCATGCACTTTTTTCGCGGCACCCGCTGGACAACCCCCATTTCAGTCTGTCCGTCTCTAATATTCACAGCTGTTGCTATCATGTGTAGTGCAGCCCATTCACTCTCGACATAGCACATTTGAACAATTGACGGCGCGGCAATGTCAGATGGCGGAAAGCGCCCGTCTTCTTACTGTAAGTGTGGACAGAGCAGAGCAAAGCACAGCAAGAGCATGGCACGGCATTGGTGCGCGGCAGCAAGACCCGAGTGGCTGACACACGGGCTCAGTCCATTTCTTTGCTGGCTTGAACTCAGGCATCCTGTCTGCAGTTCTCCTCCAACCTGCAGACCTCCTCAAGACACGCGTCCAACAGTCTCGCTCAAGCACTCTTCTGGGGACCATCCAGTCCATCGCAAGCGGGCCGAATCCCATCCGGCAGTTTTGGAGAGGCACACTACCAAGTACATTGCGCACAGGCTTTGGCTCTGCCATCTACTTCTCTAGCCTCAATGCGCTGCGGCATAGAGCCAGTCTGGTTGCGGCGGCGAGGGCGGATGTGTCGCTGAGGGGAGGCGAGCATTCGAGCTCGCTGCCAAAGTTGAGCAACACAGCCAACCTCGCTACAGGAGCATTTGCACGCACATGGGCCGGCTTTGTCATGATGCCAATTACGGTCCTCAAAGTGCGATATGAGAGCAATCTGTACGCATACAATTCCATGTTGTCCGCCTCAAGGGATATTTTCCGCACAGAGGGACTCAAGGGCTTCTTTGCTGGGTTTGGTGCAACCGCGGTCCGCGACGCGCCATATGCAGGGCTTTATGTTTTGTTTTACGAGCAGTCGAAGCGAAGACTGTCAAGCTTGGCAAGCAAAATCGAGGAGACATCGGGCGTAGCGACCAAGCTTTCGTCGAGCACGTCGGCCGGCATCAACTTTGTCTCGGGCGTAGCGGCAGCTGGCTTGGGGACGACGGTGACTAATCCGTTCGATGCCATCAAGACTCGCATCCAACTCATGCCCGACCAATATGGAAACACGATACAAGCAGGTAAGAAGATGCTTGCCGAGGAAGGGGTGCGAAGCTTGTTCGACGGGCTAGGCATTAGGATTGCCAGGAAAGCAATGAGCAGTGCGCTCGCGTGGACCGTTTACGAAGAACTGATTCGTCGCGCGGCGAGCCTCAAGGAGGTGGTCGAGGATAAGATGTAACGGGACACTGTATTATACATATGTATTAAGTGCATGGGCGGCGGCGTTGATGGGCCCTGGCTAGGTATCTCTTCGCTCTACTCGAATATCAGGACAAGATGGATAATTTCCCAATGGCTTGCAGCAGGTGCATGAATTTGGCGTTCCTGAGAGTGCTATCTTTGGGTGCAAATGCCTGGGATGGCTATCTTTGGTTGGGGGCCAGGAATAGCCGACGTCGCTGGCGCCACACACTTGAGAGCTTACTTTGCACGTGAGCAGCCTGTTTCATGGAGCGCTGGTAAGCTAGACATGTGCCATGAAGCGCGTATCTTGAGAGCAGTGTATGTACACTACACTAGACAGCGAACAGCGCACAGCGAGTGACATGTGATTAACGGGGTAGTGCGAGCTTCAGTGTGGCAGAGCTGAGGCTGACAGCACACATAGCGGGCACGTGACGGGTATTCCGGCCCCCCCACCCGCGACTGCAAGAGGAAAGAGGGGTGTGTCAAGCGTGCTTTCCTAGCGGCACCAAACTAGACGTCGCCCCACCATACCACGGCCTCTTGCACCCAGCACTGCACGGCATAGACATGGCCATTATCGCACAACACGCCATGGCAGTATCAAAGAGGATAACATACTGTAATTTCGGCATGCTTACTGCCACCGATCTGGCCGCAGACAGCTGGCCAAGGGCGACGGGCTAGTCGGTGTTCAGCAGACCAGCGCCTATAGTGCCCCCGGCCTCAGCCCTGGCGGCAGCTGCCTGATGACTAGCTGCATCGCGGGAGCATTTCAGCCCCCAAAATTGTGACATGAGCGCGCCCTCGTCTCCCTCTCAAAATCCCCTCCGCCGCACTTTCGAGCTGATTCCTTTCTGCTTACTTGTGTCACCTCGCTTGCTGCTCACGCCGCACCCGAGACAAAGACACAAAAGCCTTCTGCACTGATTCCAGTCCTCCTTGACCATTGTACCTTTTACACCCTAGCACTCAACACCTTTTGCCCGTTTTTCTTTACCACATTCTTTACCTTCCATACCCATCATGGTTCTCTCCGATGCGTGGGATGACCGCTACGAGGACGACGAGTGGTACAGCAGGAAGGATCGTGTCACGGCCAGCGCCCGCCATGTCCGTGGCTCATCGCCTCTGCCGCCAACAAAAGCTCGAGACGACGCTATCCTTCGTCCTGACCATGCTCGTCGTACCAGTGAGTTCCTGGCTCCAGAAGTACACTACACCACCTCTCTCCACCGTACTCGCTCCCAAGGTCACGCGCCAGTCCCCAACGTGACCATTTACAACACCACTCGCATGGACAATGAGAGTAGCCCCCAAGTACGTACCGAGCAAAAGAGCCGTGACTCCAGCCCCCGCGGTAGGCTAGAGGTGAAGCGCAACATGCCTGGTGCCTTTGAGCTCGAAGAGGAAATCACTGCACTGAGGGCAGACTTGAGAAAGGAGCAGCGTTCTCGCTCCCGACACGAGTACCAAGAACGTCGCCGCACGCCTGAACAACCTGATTACACCGACAAGATCAAATTGACCATTGCCGAGCAACGGCTCAAAGATCTCGAGTTGGAGCGTGAAAGAGAGCGCCTAGAGAAATACCACGAGCGCCGCCCTTCGCCAGAGCATGACTATACCGACAAAATCAAGCTCACCATGGCTGAGCAGCGTCTCAAGGATCTCGAGAATGAGCGTGAAAGAGAGCGATACGAAGCTGAGCGAGAGCGCGACCGACTGGAACGAGAGCGAGAGCGAGACCAACTGGAACTGGAGCGAGAGCGAGAGCGACGCCAATTTGAGCGATACAATCAGCACCACCATCGCCATCACTCGCCTGACCACAGCGCCGAAGACAAGGTGAAGCTGGCACTCTCTGAGCAGCGACTGAGGGAGGCCGAGGAAAAGCTCGAGCGGGAACGACAAGAGGATGAGATGAAGAACCGCGAAGAGCTCATGAGGCGCCGAATGGAGCTTGAGTACATCACCGACAGAAGGGAGCGCGAGCGTGAGGAAGAAAATCTTCGAAGGTTCGAACAGAACATGCACCGCGAGTGGGACCTCAAGCGAGAACGCGAAGAGCGCGAGCGCGAGCGACACGAGGTTGAAGAAGAAAAGAAACGCAAGGCCATCATTGCCGAGAGCCGAGCAAAGATGTCTCGCGAGCAGCGAGAAGCGGCCGAGCAGCGTGACAAGATCCTCGCTGATCTCGAGAAAGAGAAGCGAGAGCAAGAAGAAGAGCGCAAGCATATTCTTGCAGAGACCCGTCTGAAGCAAGCACGGGAGCAACGCGAGGCAGAGGAGCAGCGTGACAAGATCCTGGCTGACATGGAAAGACGAAAGAAGCAGGAGGACGAAGAGCGCAGGCACATACTCGCAGAGAGCCGACTCAAGCAAGCACGGGAGCAACGCGAGGCAGAGGAGCAGCGTGACAAGATCCTGGCTGACATGGAGAGACGAAAGAAGCAGGAGGACGAAGAGCGCAGGCATATACTCGCAGAGAGCCGACTCAAGCAAGCCCAAGAGGAGCGTGAGGCAGAAGAACAGCGCGAAAAGATTCTAGCCGACTTGGAGAAGAAAAAGAAAAGGGAAGAGGCAGAGCGCCAGCGCATCATTGCCGAGAACACGGCCAAGATGGAGAAAGAAGCACGGGAGCGCGAGCTTCAGGAGAGGGCAAAGGAGGAAGAGCGTAAGCGCATCATTGCCGAGAATGAGGCCAAACTGGCCAAGCAGGCAAGGGAAGCAGAGGAAGCGCAGCGACGTGCTGTTGAGGACTATGAGAGAAAGAAGGCCAAAGCCGAAGCCGAAGCCCAGGCCGAGCGTGACCGCATCATCTACGAGTATGAACGTAAGAAGATCCTCGACGCCGAGAAGGAGAAGAAGGCGAGAGAAGAGATGATCCTGAAGCTCAAGATGGAGGAGGAAGAAAAGAAGAGAAAGGACAAGGAAGAGTATGATGCCTTTATGCGCAAAGAGAAGGAGAGGCAAGAGGAAGAAAAGAAGAAGAAGGAAGAGCAAGAGAAAGAGCTCGAAGAGGCAATGCGCAAGAGGCTTTCCCAGTTCGGCTTCCAGGACAACCAGATCCAAGTCCTCGTGAATCCCGAGAAGCAACGCGAATTGCAACAAGGCATGCTACCAAACAACCCCATTCCCCAGATTGCACTCTCGCCTCATCACCACCAACAACAACAACATCACCAACACCATGCCATTGCACCTACGCCAACTTACGCCAAGGTCCACGTCAGCCATCTTGACGTCGAGACACTCCACTACTATGATATTCCGTATGAATACGATGTTGTAAGTTTGATGCGTCTTTGACAAATGACTTAGTATTAACAAATAAGCAGAACCCAGAGTACATTATCGTCCTCCGCGAGATGTCGCAACGCGAGACGGATATCCTCTTCGAACACACACGCCGCCTTCGCTCGAGCCACGGCAGCAAGCTCTTCATCGAGGCTGAGGGTCGCGACAATAGGGGGAAGAAGGAGTACGCCTTTGTGCGTAGAAAGTCTCGATCCCGCTCCAGGAGTGCCGTTGGTGTATCTTCTGGTCGAGCCAATGTGACATTGGGAGATATGATTTGGCGATAGGCTGCCGTCGGACTGTTGCATTTATTCGTGTTGTTCTTCTTCACTTATGATATACCAGTTGCTTCCTTTCTCGATGCTTTCAGACGTTGTCCTGTTCTTCTTGGCTTCTCTCCTCTGTTGTATGTATGTACGTAGCGAGTGAATTGAAACGATTATACGAACACAACGTATGCGCGACTTAGCTTCTGATGTCTTGCATGCATGTATGCGAGTGTGTTTGCCTGAGATTCAGTTAGTGACCAGGGCTTCACTACTGCCATGACGTCCAGTTCCAGCCGGCTTAAGCCATAACGTAGAGAGAGTAGCATAGCACGTGGTACATGGTTGTCAGGTCTGTCGCAGGCAACATGTGACGACATGCAAGGGCGTGGGGCGATTTCGGTTCGCTCCCGCGAGCCTCGGCTTTTGATCATCAGAACACGACCACGGTCCGCCGCGACCCAGTTCCAAGCATCTTCCACCATTTGATTTAGCCAGCGTTGATACCCTTTTTTCTTTCAAATCATGGCGGACGCGCTTTGCGGGCCTTCGAATGCCCTTCAGAATTTCCAAAAACACACGACCGTTGATCGGACGCTGCAGCAAGATCGACTGGTCGGCAGACAATCACCAGTGCAGGCATGTTACTGTATGAGACGACTGGATACAGGGTGGGAGTCTAACAGTCATTTAGGGATTTAGGTCAGCACCAGGGCCAAACGTAGGGGCATTGGATTCCGAGTTCGACGCCTTTCAGACTGGCCGGCCTGGTCCGCCGCAAGACTTCCAGCAGTTTGCTCCACGCTTCGCACAACCTCCTCCGCAATTCGCGCAAGTGCCTCAAGCGCCCGACTGGGCTGCTGACTTTCAGCGTCTGAATGTTAGCGGTCCACCTCCACAAGCGTTTCAGCAACAAAGACCGCAGGCAGCAAGCGTGGCGTCAGCATGGCATCAGGACTTCTTGAAGCAGCAGACACCGGTCGCGCAGGCTCCTGCGTTACAGCAGAACACATTTGGAGGTATGTCGGGGTACGGCATGGGTGGATTTGGAGGACAAGCGTATATGCAGACACCAAGTTTCCAGAATGCGCAAATGTCCGACGTGGCACAGGGGAAGCAGCGGGCGCAGAATGATGTACCTGCTTTCGACGAGGCGGCCTTTGAACAGGCGTTTGCGCAGGCGCAGCAGGATATGATGGAGGTTGTCGAGGCAGAGCAGGCACATGCACAACCAGCGCAAGAAGCGCTGGACTTGGACCGGCCGGGTGAGATGGATCCTCTCCTTCAACGGATACGTGAAACGCGTCCAGGTTCGTAGTATCCGCCGCGCTCACTACAGTTGCTGACTGTGATTTCCAGCCGTATACTCTGCCATCCAGGTATGGAGCGAAACGGGCCTTGGACGAACTTCTGAAGCAGTCGCATATCTGGAGAACATGAGCCAGATGGAGCGAAACGGGTCCTTAATACAAGACGCAAACGAAGGAAGATGGATAGTTGATTCCCTGCAGAGCATTGTAAATCGGGACGCCCCTCAAGAAGTCAAGACCCGCGCCGAAGGCCTTATCAAGGCAATCAACGAGCGCCTCATGTCGCAATACCCCCTCGGCACGCGCGTACCCATGTCGGAAGAGCAAATCTGGAAAGATCTCGAAGCGGCAGGCTACATGCGGACACCTGAGCCACTCCAGCGCATGCCGCAACCGCCTGAGGAAGAGCAAAAGCAACAAGAACAGCCCAGACCAAACCAGGACGACGAAATGGCCGCAACCGCAGGAAGACTCCTCGAACGCGTCGCAGACAACACGAGCGAAAAATTCCAAAACTCGCAGTTCCTGGGTCTCATGCGCCGCCTGCGCGACCGCGAAGTCAGGGTCCAGGAAGACAAGATTGTCGAAGTCGAGGGTGCCGCCGCCGCCCAACAACAGACCAGCACCACCAGCACTACTCCTCCTTCTACAATCCCCACCGCACAACAAACTAACCCCCAGCAAACACACCAACAACCCCCATCCTCGACCCAAATCCCCCACATAGACCCCACAATCCTTTCCCACGCAGCCCTCGACTTTGAACAACCCATCTATTCAGACATCGGCCACGGCCACGAGCAACAGTATGCCTCCCCCCCTCCTCTTCCTCCTCATCCTCTTCTCTCTTCTCCTTACACCTCGTCATCCAGTGAATCAAACTTAACTGATGACGTCTCAGATCAATATAGATATTACAATGTTAACGCCGCTTATCACCAGGCTTTTTACCGGCGCTAGCAGCGATACGAAGGAAGAGCGCAGGGAGGGCCTGCAGCATGCGGTTGGGGAGTGGGGGGATGATGCGGATTCATGGCGGTATTGGAGGAGTCCGGGGCGAGATCCTGTGGGGTTGGGAAGGGGGAGGGGGAGGGGGGAGTAAAGATGGAACTCGTTTTTTATCTTGATAGTCGGTTGACGAGGGGGTGGGGTCTGATGTTGGATACGAAATAATGGGGAGGGATACGAGGGAAATGGCTTAATGCATTTGTATACATGTATATCACTTCACTTGTACTTCACGAAGCAAAATAAAACGGATACATTTCATCATTTCTCCTACCTATACACTAACCCTTTCAACTACCCCTCCACTTCGACCTCTCCCTTCCCGCTCTCCCCTTCCTCCTCACCCCCACCAGGAACCCAAATCCCTACACCCTTCTTATCCCCCCTCATCCCCTCCGTCCCCTGTACCTTAAGCGTCTTATTGAAATACCGATCCGTAACCTTTAGATTAGGCGTAATCCAGTCTCCCTCGACACTCGACAGCAAGTTATACCTCACCGTCTGGCGACTCATAGGTAGAAGATGCAGCGTACGCAACTTGGGTCCACTGAATCCAAAAGTCTCGCTGGCCTCCATTGCGAGTTCAAATGTTAAAAAGTGCATGGTTGGGTTTTCGAGGACGTAGTCGAGGTGTATGAGGGAGGGGATTGAGGGGGAAAAGTGGGAGCGGGCTAGGACGCGGGGTTCAGATGAGGGGATTTGGATGCGGGGAATAGGCAAGGAAGAGGTTACGGGGAGGGCAGAAGGGTCTGAAGTACGCTGCCAAGTTATGTTGAGTGTGGTGTCGAGAGCGGTGGAGCGTCGTTCTTCGAGATTGTTTTTGCGAATGTCAAGGCTGAAGCTCCATTCGCTGAGAACTTGAGGCTCCATGCATGTTTCACTGATTTCGAATTCTTTTGTCACGTCGCAGGTGGCGCCGCCGTGGATGCTGTGGACTTCGACGGCGAGGTCGCTGACGATGAGGTGCTCGTCGGCGAAGGAGGCGACTTTTGCGCGTAGGCCCCATTTCTGGGCTATGCCGAATGCATCGGACGACTCGGGGCTCATGTTGCTTTCAGCTTCTTGAAGCTCAAAGTAACTGGGCCATGGATCGGGGTGCACACGTGCGTTCAGGTCGTAGCTAGCTTCAAAGGGGGCGTTGAAGACTATGTCTGCTACCATGATCTTGGAGATGGGTATATCGCGGTCGCTGAGCACGTGGTATAAGACTTTGACTTCTAACGCGTAGTCTGCCGGGTCGGCCGGGGCCGTAAAGCGTATTCGCTCAGTTGTGCGTGCCCCTTGAGCGAGTTTGCCGACTACATGGCCCGGTAGATCCACATCGGTCGAGCCATCAAGCGCTGGCGGTACTTCCTTCATCGGTGACGATGCTGGGCGATCAACCCAGGTATACCTGAGAGAGTCTTTTGACCGACCAAGGATCCGAACTTCGAGAACTGCTTCAGTGTCTTCGTCTTCCTGATTGATTATCTCAATCGCAAGGGTAACCTGCTCATCGGTATAATATTGATCGCGAACATCTGGCAGGCTGATTTCCATCTTTGGTGGTTTGGGAAGTATGTGAACTGACATGCCCGAGCCGTGCTTCAGCGATCTTGGCTTGATCTTATTGTTTGATTGGATCCACCATAGTGGATGAATGGGAATCTCAATATCTGTGTTAGAAGAGACGAGATCAAATCGCTCGGTGCTAACCCCGAGTATGCAAGCGGTAACGTCGACATCACCAGACTCACGGAAAATGAGCGGTACACTGTAAACCTTAGTCTGATCAGCATGTAGTGTCAAGTCAGCGGTCCCTGTCCACTGAGACTTTCCAATCGCTGATTGGACCTCATCTAATGTACATGAGTACATCCTGGAAGCATGATCAGAGAGTTCTTCGCCTTCTTGATGCGTCAAGCGAACTTCAGCCAAGCCGCCGCTGAATTGATATTGCAAAAATGACAAGGTAATGGGAGCAGATCCTGGGCGAGCGTTCGAAGTGATTGCAATCTGGGATTGCAGCGGTTCGCCCACATTACCTTCTGCCTCAGAAAAGGCAAACGATACAGACACTGTTCCATTAGTACTGATTCTACTGAGAGATAAGGTCTCACCTACGGCAAGAGATGTGTTCTTTAGTATTCAGGTTCACTGTGACTTTACCATCTGCTGCTTTTGTAAAAGAGTCCAAGCATGTCATGAGATCATACTTGTACTTTGTCTTGCCAGGGATTGCTGAATGGAATTAGCAGGAGTAACACCATTAACGCGTGATGATACTGACTTTGACTGTACAACTCCCATTCGGTAGCAAGGTAGGCCTCAGCGTCTTGCACCCGCAAGGCGCACTCGTGCAGGGCCCAAACTACTTCTGAAGCGAGATTCCACCACTTTTCTTTCCTCCAGGACATGGTCTCCCAGAGTGGACGTAGTACCTTGAAGGCATCTTCAAACCTGTTGACATGCAGTAATGTCCGAGCGACCTCTAATTGTAACTGGTCTACTTTACGGTGCTGTCCCCGGGCTTTGAATTGAGCAATTGCATCATTCATCTTGGAAGAGATGTCTTTCCAATGCTCAAAACCATTCCCGCCAACACCAGGTAATGGGTACTCTTCATGAGGCTGCGGAACAAGATAGCTATCATATATTTGACTCCGGGATGACACCTTCGCCGCAGGAGACATGCCTGGCGGTGTCCGATCCTCTTCAGGCATTTCCCGGGCCACGATGTAACGCCTCTTGGCATGGTCACTGGCGATTTTGTGCCAATAACCGGCGTGGTGGAGCAGCTCCCATGGCGGCAGTCTTTCTCCCATTGGAAACTGTTTTTCAGGTTCCGAGAATACAGAGGTTGGAATCTCTGTCAAAGGATCTGATTCTGACTTGGGGTCTGTCGTCTTGAAGACGGGTAGATCTGTCCGCTGCACGATTTCTGCCATAGCTTGGGCCCATCTAGACTCCCATGCTTGCCAGCCATAATTTGCAGTGCCCTTTCCTCGGCGATCCAAAACATCCTGCAGCCTGTACTTGTACCGCAGCCACGTCTGCACGGCAGAAGTAGGGTAGTTGTTCCAGAGCTGACAGCGAATATGCCGTAAGGCAATGATGTCTGAAAGCAATCGTATCTCATCCCATCGTGGTGACCAACTCGCTGTAGTTTCAAATAGACCTTCGGCCCCAAAAAGAGCCTCCAAAGCAGCATTGTAGTGCCGTTGCGCAGCATCCATCTCTTGGCGAAATTCGGCGAAGATGGCTAATTTGAAGTCATAGCGAACTCCCCAGCCAGGATATGATAACGTCTGGGAAGTTCCACGTGTGGGAGGTGCTGTGGGAGGAGGGATAGTCCCTCGATTCTTCTTTCTCCGGGCATGCTTTGTGAGGTCACGGTAGTACTCTACGCAGACAGGGTGTAATATGGCGAGGACTGACGTGACAAAGGCCTCCAATTCAACCCGTGATGTTCTTGGGGGCAAGAAGAATAGAGAGTTCTTTGGGTCAAGGCCCGTCGCACGGCGGATGGTGGCAAGCCTTTCCTCAATATCTGGTGCTTCCAGTATCGTCTTGTCGCTCAACAGCACCACCACATACTTTGTGCGGTAGTCGGACTTTTGTATCTGGCTTTTGATCTTGTTGATCTCCGTCTTCAGCTGATTGTCATGCAAGCTGTTTGTAATGGGGTCGGTGGTGAAGTTGAAGAAGGAAACGAACACGGCGGGTATGTAGTGCTGGTGCTTCGCAACCCAGGCAGGAGCGATGACACCATCTGGGAAGGAGGGGGCTCCGGGCGAGAGAGGCGATATGGGTGAATGGAGAATCCACGACGTCGCTGCAGCAATAGTGGGACTGCCCGGCGGCGTGGTCTCGGAGTGAGAGGGTGCATCTGCCTTGTGCGGGGGCAGCTGGAAGTTCTAGCAGACATCAGCCCGTCGCTCCTTCGCCATATTTGTTTGCGGATGCCCGTACCCTTCCTACACTCCGTATCCTGAAGCTGTATGTGATGCCTCTGCGACCCAACCCCCGCGAATTCCATGGCGCATTGGTTGCATCGGCACGCAAAAACTCAGCGAGGAGCTCATTTGCGCGTTCGCCTTCGGCGGGCGCTATCTCCGAGCTGATATTTGTAACGGCCCTCCCAGGAAGCACTTGCTGAACAGGTGGTGGTGGATCGACTTCTTTGCTCGTGGCCAGACCAGAGAGGACTATCAGAGGTAGGTTGTGGACCACAAAGTCTGAAGGAAAGGCCTCCATTCTCTACGTAGGCTCAAGTCAGCGCCCCATGCCCAAAGAACATAGGCAGCTTGAGTGAGCTGGATGCTAGTCGGAGGGGCCGAGGAGCTGCAAGTTCCAATTCGAGGATCGCGTAACAGGTCGCTAGTTTCTCGTGTGGATTTAGTCTCAGACTTAATCTTGTAGTCTTGTTATTAGTCGAATCGTGGTTTGCTGGGCCCTGGCACGTTCTCGAGAGATTGTTGGCGAGCCATGTCATCGGCGGTCGGCATGTGGTCAAATTGCGGGCGGGATCCATCAATGATACGCTAAGTGAACCCTGTCTCGTCTCTCCACCGAACGATTCCTCTATCCAAGCCCAAGCTTTGTGGACATCTTCTACCAATAATACGCCTGTCGGTCGACGTGTCTTTTTAGTCTCCTCTTCTTGCAAGCGCCAAAGCGCGTGCACATTCGGTTCAGACGCGCTGCCAGTTGTCATTCACATACTTTCTTGTTACTGCGCTGCCCAGAGGCTGTCAGCGCCATGGCAGGCCAACAGCAGCAAATCCTTGATACCATCTTCAATATGAAAAGGAAGATGTTGCGCAAAGATGATTGTGAGCGTACATAGCAGCATTTGCTTCCGTCATTCTAACATCTACCAGCGGATACAGAAGATTCCGAAACCGCCCTCGGCAGCAACAAGCAGGACTTACGGCGCAAAGTCCATTACGCGCGCGCAAGCGATCCCGACTTTCTCGCAGACCCGCGTCCTTACAAAAAGGTCCGATCCCACTTGCATAACCTCTGGGCGGGATAGTCCACTGACCTCCCGTAGCGCATCGAACACGCCGGTTATCACAGATATATTTTGCAGCGCAACCCTCCGCGATACGATGCCGATGGTGACGTTGTCGAAGTTGACGACGAATACGAAGACGAGGATGATGTGGAGCCAGTAGAAGAGAACCCGTATGGAAATATACATCTGGAGAGTATGTAGCCATCGCATGAATGCGTGGCATGGCATGAGCTTACTGAAATACAGACCTTCTTGCACCATTGACCTCCGCTGCCGATTTACCGAACCATCCTGCCTTGAGCGTTGCGTACACCTCCAGACATCTTTCGGATCTTGCCAACGAGGCCGGAGCTCTTTCGCGAAAAGAGCAGATCACCAATGCGCGAGCCAAAAACCTTTTTGTGAAACTGCAAGGGGACTCTATGTTCGCGCCTGCTGCGCTGGCAGCGATGGGCGATACGCCATTTCGAATGTCACGCTCAAGAATCCCAAGTCAGCGTTTTGAGGAAGATGAAAACCAGCGCACACAAGACACTGAAATGCAGGAGGCGGTCGATGGCGCACAAGATGTGAATATGGAGGACGTCGCGCAACCCAATGGGACTGACCGAGCGAACAATACCAATGGCAATGCTGGACCCGAGGCAGTCAACGGTGCCGAACCCGTGACAAATGGAACACATACCGGTGATGCAGATGAACCACAAAAGAATGGCCAGGAGGAGCATTCTCCGATGGGCGAGGATGTGTCCGATACAGCATCGCAGCAAACGCATAGGATGACGACACGCACGCGAGCTCGAGCGCATGCTGCTTCGACCCCTTCTCCCCCCCACTCACCATCAAGCGATGTCAACGCGATACACCCTCTTTTCATACACCCCACCGAGTCATTGCCAGACCGCGACTTTGGTCTTCCACCAAATGAGGCAGAGGAAACGCGCATGCTTCTTATGGCATACGTACAAAAGCAAGAGGAAGTCGCGCGGATCACGGCTGACCTCTATCACGGCTTGCTGGAAGCTGACCGTATGAGGCACGACGTTTTCAAGTGGTCGAAAGCAGAAGGCCATGTAGGGGAGATGAGTGATGGCGAGGATTGGTATGACAACGAGGAATGGGGCCTCGAACAGGATCTAGCAAAGGGTCGTGATGAAGAGGAAGATGAAACCGCAGTAGCTGGGAAGAAGAGCACAAGACAACGGCGAAAGCCTGACAAGGACGATAGGTGATTTGCTCGACGAAAAAGGACAGTCTATTTTTTTAATTATCATTGCACAGCGAGATACCATATTACGACCCGGAATGGAAATCACCCTCTTACACGGGCACATACACCCACCTGGTTGCTCTTGCCTTGCGAAATTGATCACGTGCTTTCGTATCTATATCCCATTTCCTTCACCCACCAATCCTTTAGTTTTTTTAATCCCCACCGCACTAAGCATGGAGTATGTCCTGCGTTGTAATGACTTGAAATGTCGATCGCAGCTCCATGAACGCGCTGTTGTCACGACTTGCAGGTTCGTATTTTTTTTCATTGTGCCGTCATATCTAACAGACATGCAGTCACATATTTTGCACCAATTGTGCAGATACCACCGGTCTTTCAAGGTCAAAAAATGCGCAACGAGTCTGCCCAGCATGCAATGCGCCACTTCCCAACCCAGATGATGTAGTCATCGCAGGTCTCAATCCATCAGAAGACTACAAGACTTCAGTATTGAGTGGCCTTAGCCCGACAGTTATCATGGAGTGTGCAAGCCGTGGTTTGGCCTTTCATAGTTATCAGACGTCACAAGAGATCATCTACCAAGAGCACCTTGCAAAAGGCCTCACTGAGAAATACAACACATTAAGCCAGCAGATGGATCAGCTTATTCATGATGCCAACGCCCAGATCAAAGCACTCCAGGACAAGATGCAAGGTTTGCGTTATGAATGCCCTGGTTGTAGACTTTGCAACTAACGATCTCCAGCTATGCAAGCAGACCTCGTAGAGCTCGAGTCCAAGAATCATGGATTTGCGGAAGCCTTCAAAGAAAAGACTAAAGCACACCAGAGAACACAGAATCTTTACCAAGCACTCAAGGCCCAAGTCATGGCTTCGCATGTAGCCCATGCTGCTGGCGATGAGGCAGAGTTCGCACTGAAATCAGCCTGGGGAGATCGTTTCATCGATCGCTTGCCGGGTGCCCGGTCTGGCACTGCGAATTTCAGCCAAACAGGCCCCTCACAACAGACGGGCGGCAGACTGCACCAGAGGATTATCAGTAGAAGCTCTGGTAGCAGTGGGCAACAGCAGCAGAGCAGTATCCACGTTGGTCCTCCTTTCAATTCACAGCTGCACGGACGTAGTCTCGGCAGCAGAGTTCACAGTCGTCGTAAGTTTATTCTATGGTGTTCTGTTTGAACACGTGGTTTTCATGGGCGCCAAGCTGACCATACAAAGAATATGACTCAGTTGATACACCTTCTCAAGCTCGGAGAAGTCACCTTCCGGTCCTTGGTGGAACACGTCAGAACCCATATCTCAACCAGGAACCAACCTCCTCCTTTCAAAACTCACCAATGATTCGACAGCCAATGGCTGGAGGTTTTTCGCACAGCGGCAAGTCATCAAGGAGGACTGGTAATTTCGCTAACACTAGCCCGCTGGGACCATGAACGCGTCATCTTATGGGAGCCATCTGAGTCCAAGGAATAGGTTGTGATGATAATCTCTGATTGGATGTATCTCGTATGCTGACCTTCAAGGGGAAAGCTATCATACAATGTAGGAATTTCCTCAAGTCCGATGTAGATGCAGTTGCTGAAAAACAGTCTTTTGCAAACATGTCTTGATAAACTTTCCACGCACATATCAAAGAACCCATACAAATAATATTTGATGAATTAGGAAGTTCATTGATGTCATTGGATGAACGCGCTACGGAGCAACGTACACGTCACGAGACCTCAAGTCACTCGAACTAGCAAACCCATCCCCCCTTCACCTATCATGAAAAAAAATCATCCAATCATCCAACAATATCTCCTATCCTAATAGAAAGAACCTCATTACAAATAAACAGCAAACCCAACATAAAATCGTATACCCAAAATAAACAAACCCCAATCCTTGGCATCTCTCCAACCCCCTTGCCCAAAAGATCCTTACAAACAATAGATTTTTCCATTTACGCCATAACGCAGTCGCTTATATCGCATCCAGAAATCTTGCGTGTGCATCGTTTGTCTACGTATCAAACTCCCCTTATTTCCAAATACGCCTGGTTAAAAAGTTCAAAACCCTAGTGTCGGGACAAGAGCGAGCGGATGTGAAGTAGCAAGAAAGAAATCGTGGTGTTCATACAACGTTTGATTTCGTGGAGAAAGCATCAGAGAAGTAGTCGCGAGGAATGCGCGTGGCGTCGTGTAACGTCTTGTTTTTTGTGGGTTTGTTGGTTTTGATTTGTTTTTTGTTTCTTTTTTTGCGGGGTGAAAAGAATGAGGTGTAGGAGTGGAATGTCTTACGTTTTTTTATGATGGTTCGTTGGTGTCTTTTCTAGTGTTTTTGGTCTTTGTTGGTCTTGGGTCTTAACCACTAAAGCACAGTCAAATACAGGAGAAGAAGAAAAAAGAGACTCGATGGCTAAGGCAGTATGCCATTTTGTCGATAGAGGAGTGAGACAGCCGTAAGATGATGGATGGGTCAAGGCGCCATCTTGTGTTTCGTGGTGTGGTGGTGTGGTGGTGGTGGATGATAGTAGGTGCAGCAAAGCATCCGTAACAACGCCGTCGTACGGCAGTGACTTGGACTTAGTACGGATCCGCAAGTCCACGGAGGTCATCGGCATGTTGGTATGGTTGTTCCATGTTCGCATTGTAGTCTTGGGATGTCTCAAAGTCATTAAAGCTGCCACTTCCAGTACTGTATACTTCATATTGTGTGCCAGCTTGGAATTGCGTGCTACTCTGTCGAGACTTTTGAGAGTTTGACTTCGGAGGGGGAAAGCTTTGGTGTTTTTTCCGGTGGTGTTTGAGACGGGCATCAGTCCGCTTGAACAGTTGACCACAGTATTCACAACAAATCTGAGGACGATCTGTGTGCTTATGGCGGATATGTCTCGCGAGATTCCCTTTTCCGTCTTTATTTCCTTTGAACTGCGCGTCGCAGTAGGGGCAATGTCGATATTCAGGATGTATCGAGGTCGTCGAAGCGGAAGGGTGGGAGCGGCCATCGCCCGACCTGTTATCGTTAGTCACACCATCCTACTGAGCCAAAAGCATTACTTACCAGGCAAGAAGATCAGTATTGGTCTGGCGGAAATTTGCACCACCTGAAGCATGCTGGTTGGAATGAACCTGCCTGGGAGCTCTCTGATGATCCATGTTTTGGGTAGGTCTACCTCTAGCTTGTCCGTACCCGCTGCGGGATTCAGTGGGCTGATCATGCTGACTTGCGTAGTTGATGTATTGACTGGGTCCTTGTGAGTCCAACAGGTTATGTATGCCAGGAGCAGCCAAGTAAGTGGCTTCACCTGTACGGTTGGCTTGAAATGCACCCGGGCCCGTTTGCGGCATTGCTTGAAGTTGAAAAGTTGACCAAGGGCCATCATCTTTTGTCAGTTTTTCAAGGACTGGCCTCGAAAGCGTTGGCAACATAGACATTCCGGAAGCCATGCTGTTGTAAGGGGGTGGCTCCCGTGCACCTTCTGAGTTGCCCTCGTTAGTGAACATTAAGAGCAACCTTTCATCAGACAACAGATCTGGATCTGACATGATATCTTCTGTCGGGTCTTTCGCGTAATCCCTTCTGTTTACCGTGCCGGGACCGCGGCGAGGGGGGCTCCAAGTCTGTAAATTCTCAGCAAGAGTGGAGCTTGCTCCCAATGGACGAGCTGAGTTGTATTGGCTGGCGACAGGCGTTTGTTTCCGGGCAACCTCAGCGTAAGTGAGGCGCCTTGTAGCAGACAAGTGACCTGTTCTCTGTGATTGAGTATCATGTACTCGTTGACCTGATTGCTGTTGAGGGGATGGAGTCCACCCGTAGCCACGCTGAAGATTGGATCCTGACGCCTGGTTCTGATAGCCAGCTACGACATCGGTGTATGGGCGAACTGTGCGGTTTTGGGGTGAGGGGTACCTATTTGGAGGGCTGTTTGAGCCCTTAGATAACAGTTGTCGATACATGGCGTGTTGCCTAGCGGGAACGAGAGAGCAATCCTGTCTGGTTATTTTGGCCAGACTCAGATGTTTTAGCGCTCTCAAGTCAAGTATTTGAGGGGTAAAGCGAGACTACTGCCCCTCCTAATGCACCTTTGTGCGGTTAGAAGATGAAAGCGACCGTGGTATAAGTCGGTAACAGGACGCTAAGGCAACGCGGTATCCAAACGGAAAAGGTTAACGAATGACAAAAACTGCAAATGGAGATGAAATAGAGAAGGTAGAGAGTTTGGTTGACAGGTCGTGTCTGGTGTGGGATGGCGGCGGTTGAGTGATAATTAACACGCATGGGGGAGGACCTTGGTCCCGCGGTCTTGGCAGCAATCTTACCAATACTATTCAAACACTGACTTGGTGCATAGGGTGTGATTTACGGGGTTGTTTTTGAAGAAAAGAACGGCAATAGAACAGATACCTTCTGTTGATGGAGGTGAGGCGGTCAATCTTCTACAGTGGTCTGTGGCCCAGGGTGGTGGTTGAGGTGAATAGGTGGTTCAAGCGGGCACTCGTTCCGGTCACTAGCCCCAAAGAGGAGGGTAAAGTAACTCTTCAATTCCGCATCTACAGGCACGTTAGAAAATGTCTCTTACAATGGAACCATTATTTACAATCGTGACACCAGTGCGGAACGTGGCATGTCTACCTTCAGCACAATAATATGAGAACTGACTTCCACTTGCATTTTGAAGCACAAGCACTTCGTGATGACAGTTCCTTGCTATCAGAGATGACAAACAGCTTGCGATGGAAGTAGTTTGCCTCCCTATTATCTGCGTCATGGTGTTCTTTGCAATTTCGCTTTACGGCGCCCTCATCTTGCCAGCGCATCTGTCGATCCTCCTTTACACTCCCTTGCGTACTCTTCCGTCATAGCGCCGACAGACTACTGCAGGTAAGATGAAGAATCCCCGACGAAGCTTGAGTTCGTTTCATCTGATGACGTATGTATCGATCCATTGGCGTCTATCAGTTCTGCCTTGCGGAGATGATGTTTGTACTCATCTTCGATGGGTTTGCCTTGATTCTAACTCGATCACCGTATGTATAATATCCTTTGGAACTCAGGCATGGTTGCCAAAACGCCTTCACCGTGTGATCGAAGTAGTCAAGGTAATAATCATACAGCGTGTCTATAGGTATGCCATGCAGGACTTCATCGAGTGGCCTGTAGAAGGCGCGGGCTTTACAGACGGTACAGGCGGTGTGGAGGTTATCTGCTTAGACAGTGACCTTTACATGGCGGACATGCTCATTGTAATATGACAACAGCAGAGAATCTGATTGTAATATGACAACAGCAGAGAATCTGATTGGAATGATGGCGACGCAGCCGGCATTGTGCTTGAGTAACAGTTGTGTCAACTTAGAGCTCTGTGGGTAGCGTTGAGGGTGCCATACAATGTGTCCAGGCAGTCTGTGAATGACTAGGAGGCCAGCAGTTGTTCCAGGTACACAGCTCTTAGGGGGATGTGTAGCGTTTTGACGTAGAAAACGAAGGTTTGGGGCAGAACTTGTGCTACGATTAGGAGCGTTTTCAAACAGCTGGAGTGCCATCAAGTCTTATTACAGTGAAAGCAACCCTTCTTATCACAATGCTAAGCGGAGCTCTTGCATCCAAGCCACAGCATAGATGGCTCACTCCCTGCCTATTAACTGCCCCCCTTTCTGCAACATGGAGGGGAGGATTACTTCCTAGCTGAGAATACCTTGTAGCCTTGGGGCTGCAATGCGGGACGGACGCCACATCCAGGCGCATCAGGGATGAAGCCGTTCCCACTGTTCCCATGGATAAGTGCCATTGAGGCTCTGCCCACCTGTCAGGCTGATAATGTCATAGCGAGTAACAATGCAAGCCTGTTCTTGGGCCACTCGCGCGCGAATTATGGATTGATTGGGCTTGGTGTCCTCTCTAGCTTGCGTGGAGGATGATTTCCTGGATCAAGCACGCACAATATTGAACGGAGAAGGCACGCATTTGGTCTAGAACTGCTGCATAGTTTCTTACGTACATGCCTTACGGTAATGGTGTGGATGTCTACAGGTACAGCCATGTTGTGCGGTCCGCGCTTACGTGGGTCACATGGCTAAGCTGCATCAAAACCTTGTAAGCCACTCATCCTTTTCATTATTCACAGCTGAACTGTCGCAAGTTCGGCACTAAAAAAAGCTCGTAATCAGAGCCTCCAAGACCTTAGTTTATGAAAACAGCAAGTAGATCTAGCGACATTGAATCTCGGTACATGATGTACCATCATGGACAGAGCAGCTGCTCAAAAGACCTGAGACAATGGTTCAGCGCGAAAAGAGCTATCTAAATACCAGAACCAGCATTGAACATGCGAGTCGTCTAAACGATCGTTCACGGTGGGAACATCGGTTCCCGAAAACGTGGCTGGCGACGCCTTCGCTGTTAAAGGACAAGTTTCGCGAATACTACCGATCACAGAGTAAAAGCAGCCACAAAAGGCGTAATGCGTTTAGTTTGCGCGTGACGACTACAGCCCGTATCTGGAAAAGACGGAAGCGCTATGGTAGTGAACACATATGCCGAGTCTGCAGCCTCGCTTGCAATTCCCAAATTCTAAGCGCCTGCTGGATGAAGTGTAGTTTACGACCCCACTTCTCGCACACCCTCTTACTGTACGGCGCTATTTCTTAACACACCAATTCGTCTCAAGCGATTTCAGCTGCCCAGACTGTGACATGCCCCGGCTCTCTTGTTGGGCAGGAATGCCGTGCCGAAGTTTCCAGTCCACAGTAAATATGGCCTGATAGCCGCCGGTCAATCGTCCCAAAATTTCGGGACTCACTATAACCTGGCAAAAAAGACATATATGTTTCACAGCATTAGCGTACAGTGCAGCATGTCTCGCGCACGATCAGCGTGCCGTTGCGCGCGGATCCAACCCACCGGCTCTTAACATATCGAAATATGTAACATGGGGGCGAGGTGAGATCGGGCTTACCGAACTACTAATACAAGATTATAGCATGTTGGCGTTGATCCGAACTGCTGGTAGTAAAGTCTAACACGGCCGTGGACACGGCGTAAGCTATACGGCGATAGCGTAGAGTAAGATGTAGATTAGTGGTCGTTCAATCTACGTTCCATTTCCGGAACGCGATATGGAATACTAGGACAAATTCTGTGACAAAGTGAAATGGTTTAGAATAGTTGAGAGTGCTAATAACAACCCTGGACGGGAAATTTGGGCCAGTGTTGCCTAGGGGCACTCGTTCGATAAGAAGAAGGAATAAACTAACAACTCTCAATGACGACATCAACGGTTTATCTGTGGATACAACCCACAGAGAGGCACAAAAGTCTGTGTGAGCACTAATATAATGACGCGCTAACGTAAAACGCCCCATCTTACACTTCAGCATAGTATCTTTTGGACCGCGGGTAATCGATTGTGGCTTGTGTGTAAGACTGTGAGCCTAACGCCATGCTGATGTTGGCCTTGGCCAAGCAATGACAAAATTGCGAAAGCCGAGGTAAAATTGATGAAACCAACACATGTGGTTTGAAAGAATGTCTTGCTACTGGAGGACGCAGTGCTAGTGGTGTATGTAGGAGAGTACTTTCGTAGTCTAGCGTGCGATTCTCTGCGGTAAGTTTCCAGAATACCTGAACAATGCGAGAATTGTATTCTCAATCCGACCATTAGAAGAGATCAATTCGGCTCACCGGACGGTATCTGCCGCTGCTGACTGCCATCGTTGACTTCACAGCTTCAAAGCAGTAAGCTGCTAAACCAGTTTGGCTTAGATACAGGTTTGAAATCCTCAAGCGCTCTTGCTGTTTGGAGGATATTTCTGGATACAGAGGACCGCAGCGACACACTTTTCTCGAATGGAGTAATCAGAACGAGATAATCCCCTCTTTCGATTTGCATCTTGGGCTGAGAAATGTGTCGGTTTAAGATCATTGACGTAGAGAGAACCGATAGTCAGTAAGCTTTAGATATTATGATGGGGGCGCTTATGGCACGGGAGACCTATGGTAATCATGGTAAATTGACTCAGTATCGAGGCCAGCGATCTCAGTGGCAATTAGGCCCGTGGGGTGCCGCACTCTTGCAGGCAACAGCGAATCCTCATCCTTCTAATGGATATGAATTCGGGGGCGAGGAGAAGAATGTCATCTCAAGTTGACTTGGCCATTTATAATCTAAAGTATGTTGGTTCAAAAGGCCATGCTTATCGCGTTGAGACAACACGCCACCTCAACTTATCACACTTGTCATCTTCAAGGCTTTGTTTCATTCTGAACTGAATAGGTCTTTACCGATAAACATGGGCCTGTTTCAAGAACTTGGTGGAAGAATGAAAGTTGTCAGCCACAAAGAGATGTGTTGGCGTGATGACCATGAGCGAGTAGCATACAACCAGAGAGTGAGTCGATTACGGAAACATGAATATCCCATGCTTAGAGGTATGTGAAATCTCAACCCACCTCACGTCAGTTGCTGACACCCAACAGGCTTGACATACCTTGATCATGGCGGAACCACTCTTGCGTCAAGATCGTTGATGCAGTCCTTTTGCAGTGAGATGCAGTCTACGCTTCTTGCAAATCCACACTCAGATGCCTCTAATCCTAGCAATACTGCCATCATGGTAGAGAAGACGAGGCGTGAGGTGCTGAGGATGTTCAACGCCGATCCGGCTCATTTCGATGTTGTGTTCACAGCGAATGCAACTGCAGCTACCAAACTCGTCGCAGAAGGTTTCTCTGGATTTAGAGACAGCTTTGATTACTTCTATCATCGCAACAGTCATACGAGTTTGGTTGGTGTCCGCGAACTGGCTTTTCACAGCCACTGCTTTGCCTCCAATGAAGAGGTATCTGACTGGCTCGCCGGCGCGCGTGATAGCTTCCGTGACCCACAACGGCCGGTATTGTTTGCCTATCCAGCACAATCGTAAGCAAATACTCCTGCGTGAGAAAACTTTTGTACAGTTGCACTAACTCTAGTGACGCATGTAGAAACATGAATGGTGAACGGCTTCCGTTGGACTGGGCAGGAAAGTTACGCTCCTCAATCAATCACCAGAATGCATACACTCTGCTTGATGTTGCTGCTTTAGTATCAACTACCCCTTTGGATTTGGGCGACCATTCCCTTGCCCCTGATTTTGTTACACTTTCTTTCTATAAAATATTTGGTTTCCCCGACCTTGGAGCTTTGATCGTTCGTAAAGCTGCAGGCCACGTCTTCGACCACCGAAGGTATTTTGGAGGCGGAACGACAGAGATGACGACATGTTTTGGGGATGCTTGGGTGGCATTAAAGGATTCAAGCTTGCATGCCCGGTTGGAGGATGGGACTATCGCATTCCGAAGCATACTTGCCTTAAAGTTTGCTATCACAACACATCATGAGCTATTCGGTGGGCTTGAACAGGTATCCAAACACACGGGCTGGCTCGCCAATCAGTTGTATCAGCGTCTCGTTAACTCCAAACACTCGAACAATATGCCAGTATACCGGATATACAAATCGGCGGATTCGAGCTACGACGATCCACAAACGCAAGGTGCAACCATAGCTTTCAACGTTTGTAGGAGTGATGGATCGTACGTCGGTCCGTGGCATGTCGGCTCCTTCCTTCGGAAACATGCGATCCATGTTCGTACAGGCACTTTGTGCAATCCTGCTGGAATATCGTGTGCATTGAAGCTAAATTCTGAGTGGCTGCGTATGGCCTTTGAGAGTGGCTATCGGTGCAACACGGAGCTCGACATCGTTGAAGGGATACCTGTTGGTGTGGTAAGGATTACATTTGGGGCTACGAACACCATTGAGGATGTTGAGAAGCTGTTTAGCACTCTTTCCCAACACATCCTTCAGGAGGAAGATCATCTCCAGACTGTGGAAAGAAAATGTATAGGGAAGAAGGACTCCGTCATGGGATATAGGGAAAGCAAGGCAATAATGGAAGACCTTGAAGTTCAGCCGAAGGCTATGCATGTTGGAGATGCTAAGCCTACTAAAGATGTTTCGCCTAGAGTCAGGGGTAGACTCTATAGCCTGAGGAGACTATTGGGACGTTGTCGCGATACAATATTGTAAGGCGAATGAGATGTGTGACCAGTAATGCAATTCGGCTACCCAAAACGACGGTTAGATCCGAGGAGTTACAATTGTGCGTTACAGCACGGTGAGTGTCATAAATGCGACCGAAGCTGCTAGTTGATCCAACTTGTATTGATCATCTCCCACATATCCAAGTTGATTGGTGAAGAGGCCAAGCCCATTACAAGGGCGTCCGGTACATGACTGACAGTGGTGCGAAATGGAATTCGCCCCGTACGGCCTACAGGCAAGGCTTTTGGTTTTATTCAATGCCTCTCATCTGTCTTTTGAGGGCTGTAGGCCGTTTCTGAAGACAGGTTGAATGTTGAGGTGAGAAGGATCTGAACAGTAGTTTGACCCCTGCTCCAGCTCCAAACTGGCCACACCACATCGGAGCCTCCGAAGCCATTCACAGCTATCGTGGTGAAGACCTTCGTATCGAAATAGTTAGCTGTGTATTGAATTTCGAATCATGATACGAATTCTGTCCCATCGCGTTTGTCCGTATTTAGCAAATGGCGTGAGCATAAACACGAGCATGCTGAAAGTCGTCATTGGATGTGAAGTTGGCTGTCTTACGTATTGTAAGCTCACAGCATCAGAAGTGCGAAGCATGTTATATTGTATTCATTATGGTCAAAGATGAGCTGTTCGCAAACCCTTCTCTGGGACCAGGCTTTAATGACTCACCCACAACCCAGATACAAGTACACATTTATGCATGCACCTATACGTGGACATATTAATATGCATGCCTTGAGATAAAGCAAAATCTCAAATATATTCTCCGCCACTGATATCTTTTCCAAGTCTCATTGTGAGGCATAGCCTCATTTTTGCGTCTTTGCGCTCAGGGGTTAGCGATATACAACCAGCCACATGATCGACACCAACTAGAAGCAATACGTAAACCCTCTCATTAACGACACAAATATCATGTCTAAACGTGAGTGATAGGCTCTATTACTGCAAAGCGATGATTCAACAGTTTCAGTGTAGGTGACCAGATGTTCCAATCTGTAAAATCGTACAATCGTCACACCGCTTCCTGGGTTTGTGCCAAGATCTCGACAGTAAAGAAAACGAGCAATCGCAATGAAGTCCCAGAAGATTGACCAAATCTCCCCGCACTGTTCTGGTCGCCCCGGCTGCTGATATTTCTTGGGAATTTCGTTCACATGCTTGCAGTTAGTGATGTTCGTAATGACGTACTAAGCCACAACTGACGTGTTTAGCTGCATGGTAGCGTGGCCTACTCTAGTACTAAAAATCTGTACTAAGGGCCTGCATCAATTTACAATTTTGGTGTTTACTATGAAGCTTATTTACAGCGACCTGCATAAAGAGCTGAAACGTGGTTTTCGCGAGGCAATTAAATCAGGCATGAACATGCAACTTACGATGCCCAACCCATGCCTTATCCGAGTTTTACCAACAGCTCACCGACCGACAGGCTATCTTTTGATAATAGTGCTTTGGAAGATGTTTGAGCATAATGTGTCTCGATAAACAGTAGTACTTTTGTCCAGGGATCCTGTCCAAGCCGCCCTGAAAGTGAAGCCATGTAACACTAAGGCGCCGGGCAATGTAATTTGCAGCTTCTTTTACGCGTTAAGATCGACAAAATATGATGGAGATCTTCTGTATAGGCGAGTGAAGCGATGATACGCCTCACATTACCTTAGTGCAGACATGGAATAGCAAAAATGACTGGGCTCAGTTGTTGCACGTTGCTAAACCCGATGGGACGTGTTTTCGACTACGGCCAGCTACGACCAGCGTTCAGGCAGTATTATTTTAAATCCCAAGGAATATAGATAGGTGGCTTACGGAATGTGAAATAGGGCGTTGTTTGGGCTGTAATGCTCGGACGGTAGTGACCTCCAAGTCATACTGCCACGAACGAAATGCATGCTGCTTTCCGAGATGCATGGCGCAATCGACTTAGTTTTGTTGGATGTACGTAAATGTAATCTCGATGCATCGCATATTTGTGTGCTACCTTCCAGCATGTAAGAAACCATCGTTGCAATCACGCTACATACAAATCGAATATCATGACCATGGCTTCGTGATTCAGTGCAACCCTCATAAATACTTTGACCGCTCGTTATGTTAAAGCTGCAACCGTTAATAGAAAAGAAAAATTCGGTGTCTTTGAAATCTCATGATTTTTGCGCATCTTCGACCCTGGTAGCCAATGATACAAAAAAAGAAACATCAATATGTACGTGTATGCAAGTCCTGTTGGCACATTCAAAGAGTCACACAAGAATACCAAACGATATTAGATTATTGTTAAGGTCTCAAGAATAGGGAGGTGATGTTGTCACTGTCTCTTGAGCGGTTTCCATAATAGAAGAGAGCTGTTCGGGGTTACCGAAATGAACATGTCGGCATCCCTTACACAGCCACTCTGTGGCGCTATATACTTCTATCGCTTACCAAGACGCTATATTCAGCAGAGAAAAGACTTAACTGAAATTTTCTGCATTATTCGAGCTGGCATCACCTTACGTTACATTTCGGAGGATATTCCATTCTGGGCAATAGAAGGGATTGTAGTAGCCATTATAACCTGTAAGTACCAGCACATACTTAGCTGAAAGACATCAATACGAACTGACACGCAAATGCTCAACTAACAGTGCAACCAATCCTCTCTGGTGGACCGTCTATCGCCACTTCTCCATCATACGCCACTCGCCTCCTATTTCTTACATGTGGCAAATCATCCAAACTCTCTCAGCCAAAGAAAGGTATCTGCCCTGAATAAGAAGAGCATGCTCCCCAGTTGACCGCCTAACAAGCTCTCCTGGGAATGATTGAACTCAATCGAAATCGAATACTAGGCAACGGACCCATGGGATGAGGGCGAATACCACAACCAGACCAATCGACCTCTAGGCAGCATTAGGCTTCCCGCAAACAATGACTCTACTCCAGGCATCTACAAATATAAGTCGGACGCTGTATTGTTCGCGAACACCTTTTACACCCTGCCTGTTCGTTTCTCGAGTCTGGCTCCCGATGTCACTACTATGGTGAAGCAGACACCCATCAGCATACTCAGCGAAAAGGATGATGGATATACACGTCTCCCTTCGAAAAGAACGAAATTGATGCGACTCGTATACGGATGCCGAGGCTTCCGCCATGCTTTTCGATTCGCTCGGAACATGGGATGAAATATGTTTTACAGATATCATGCGACAAGCCCTTCAATTACAAATGAAGGTAACCTTCTCCTCCTCTTATGACTTTCTGGAGGTGGGGCATCGGTCCGAAACATGCTTGCATGCTCAAGCATTTCTGGTCACTGTTAGGCGATAGGTTGCCCTGTTCTTTGGGATAACGCCAACCCTGGTAATGATATGAAGATCTCCGGCACCTTGCCGGACCCACATCGGTAGTTATTGTGTTTGCTGATTGTCGTCGGGCTGAGTTGGCTTCGAGCATTGTGTCCGTGCTACTATATACTAGTATTAATTAGCGCAGGACCCTGTTGGCATGAGCTCCACACAGGTACGAACCTCACGATCCTTCCTATACTCTTTCTTCCATCAACCGGAGCTTACTTCGGCATCCTCCGCTATTGTTATTGAACACAACTGATGCGAACAGTTGACTGATACTCGCGTGCTGTTGCAGCGCATGCTGAGCCTCTCTGTGCAAGAGAGGTGTGCACGGTTGCCTGGATTGCTGAGCTCTTTCTCAGCCACGACCGACTCGAGCTTGCAGCTACACGAAGAAGGTCGATAGCAAACGTCTACCGAAACGCCGACAAAGGAAATTACATAAGAAAGGCTTTCTTGCAAAGAAAAAAGAATACGAAGAACAACTAGGGCTGTGTTACATCGTCAGCATTGCACAAGACAACGGAAGAGGGCACACGTTATGTGTACTTTACCTGAAACATGTTTGATCATCTCGAACCTAAGAGGGAGATGCGGAGCCACATGTTGTGAAGCACACAATCAACCTGCTGTCGACGAGGAGAAACATTAACCATTCAACCGGCGTGTAAAAACCAAAACTCAAAAAAAAGAAGAATAAGAAGAAGGGGTTCATTCGGCTCTTATTGTTGATAGAAGAGATGTTTTACTGCTCGAGGCCGGATATCGAAGCAGAGATGCAATGGGACTAAACGAAGATGGTTTACGCATCACCATCCAGGTCTCCTGGTGCCGGGTTCCGTCTTCCAGGACGCGACACCTGTTTGTTTATGCCTACGAGATGAGGATGACGACTCCTATAGTGCTTCAACCGAGCATCTGACCGTCTGAAGATCTTTCCGCAGCTGCTATCCTCGCAAATTACGGGCTCCTTTCCTCCATGGTAGTCTTTTTTGTGTCTCGCTCTGTTGCCTTTCCCGTATCTACCGGAAAACGTAGCTTCACATCTGTTCACCCCACATTTCAGGACGCCTTGACCAAGGCCAGATACAGCACTAGACGAGGTAGCCTCAGTGATTTGGGATGATGCTGAAGATGCCCGTCTCTTGCCGGGAAGCTGTAAGTAACGACCAGGATCTGAGTGAGGGTATCTTTCAAGATGTCCTCGCGTCCTTGTGGGTGTTGCAGCTCCCTCCACTTTGAGCCAGTGTCGGTTTCGAGAGTTGGTTCTCGGTCCAGAAGTACAGTCGATGCCCAAGGGAAACTTGTAAGAATCAAAAACATCCATTTGGCTTGCTGGCGCTGAGGATTGGGGAAAGTAGGGGCTTTCTGATGACAAAAGGGTTTCGAAACCACTGCGCATCGAAGAGACTGAGCTCGGATCACCGTAAGCGGACATCGAACGGGTGGCACGCAAAGTCATCCGATCTACTCCTGCCTGTATTTGCCTTGTAGAACGGGTAGTCTGACTGCCGTCCATTAGGCCGACTGCGTTCCAAGGCTCTGAGTCTGGGGCGTCCAATTGTACGACTATCCCACCTTGGGGGGACGACCAGGGACCTAGGGTAGACTCGGTCATGGAAAAGCTGCCTTGTTCTTGGTCCAGTGTGGGATCGATTGGTGTCTCTGGTTCCTGACCATAATACTGCTGGTACTGAAGATCACTGCTTGAACTTTTTGGCGTTCTGCAGGTATCTTCATGAATTACATGGGCCCCGAGGTGTGACAAAGTGTCAAGATTGGCAGCATACGCGTTATTTGCTGCCCCATGTACAGAGTTTGGAAAGCTGCTTGGAGCTCGCAGCAAAAACTCCGGCTGCATGTGTGCACCATGGTAAGCATTTGGCGCACTTTCATCTTGATAGTAAGTACGGCTATGCACTGGCATCAGTGGTTCGTGTCTATTTTCCATCGTTCTATAGGCGTGGTGGGGTCCGTTAACGGAGTATGCAGTATTCTCTCGGAAAGATCCCGGGTTCCGGTTCGCTGCTCTGCTTGGGGATTGCTCAGCTGAGTATCCTTCGAATACTACATGGTGCTGGGAATGAGTGCTTGTTGGATGACCGTTTTGTCCCCAATGTTCTACCGGAGCACGCTCACGCCGATCTTCAGGGTACGGTGCCCAGTACTGATTTGTATGTTGTGCAACTGTACCTTCAGCGCTCTGGGCACCCATGGACAGCAGGGTTTGGTGTGGATGTTGGTGCTCTGGCCAATCTACCTCATCGAAACCGCTACCAATCTCAGGCATCATGTGCGTGGTTGAGGGGTTGAAAATTATGGGGCCTTATATTAGGGCCTCAGATAGTTCCGAGCGGTTGCTACGGACGGAGAAAGAGAGGGAGGGTGTGAGTGTGAGCTACCAAGCTAGTCTGGAATAGAGAATCACACCGCGTTCTCGGCAACAATCCCACTCAAGATATAGGAGCTTGAAAAAAACGCTTCCGCCCTTTGTAAAGACGCCAAAGACTTGATCGATCCGTACTTCAGTATATGCGGGCTGTAAGATACGATTCGCTTGGCTGTGCCAACAAGGACTTCTCCAAGTGCCTGGTAAGCGGGTGCAGGAGAAAAGGGGTGTGGATGAACATACCCTTTAGCCAAGCAGATGTTCGTCGAGGACTTACGGTGGCTGCCAACAACCTGGGACTTGTCTCGTCTGCTCACAAGTCGGAAGCCCGTTAATCCGACGTGGGGTATCCAAGGCGTCTAGCAAGTGCTAAGATCTAAGTTATGCTGGTGAAGTAGAGATGGATGGTCCTAAAACGAGGAGGTTGGGAATGGAAGAGGGTCGAGAATAGGCGACAGATATGTTGCGGCTGACGGTGCGGTACGAGAGCTTCACTTTTTGCTACGGAACAAGCTCAGAGGACGGTGGGTGGTTGGTATTCGACTTCGAAATAGCAGGGAGTCAAATCTGTCAGCTATTTGAGACGGTATCGAAGCGGTCTGTTGGGCTGGCATCACAGGGGGCGACCTTACCGACTTTGAGAGACGTCCTTCAGAAATCCCCCAGAGGGCGCTCCAGCCTCGGATACATCCAGCGCCACGTCAGGCATGTCCAGATGGTTGCCTTGTTGTAGTGGTGAGCCTTGCTCATGAGTTTCAGGAGCAGATTGTCACGCCAATGACAATGACAGAAAACACCAGAGGGTCGGTGTAGGATGGTGATGATGTCGTGGATGAGACGAGGCGTACCGAAGATTCTCGAATGGCCATTTTCGCATAATCCAATGGGCCGAGGGGGATCTGGATGGACCAACCTCACGGCAGTAATCCCCAGTGTCGATACAAGGCGAAAAAGGCGCCCGCGACGGCCACGTGTGCCAAAAGTGCAGATGCACGCATACCACGAGCTCTCATCAGTACCAGGGATATAGCTGAAATCAATTTGAGAAGACGGCGCAAGCTCCACAATGTTCCAAACATAACGGCGTCTCATTGCCGTTCGACGTTCGTACTATCCGAGATGCATAGCAATAGCGAGCTGCATGCATGGCTTGCCGTAATGGCCCACCCCCCTCGGCATCACCTGGAGCAAGATGCAGAATTCTTAGTGTGCATAGAAGGTCCCACTTCTAGCAGCTCACACAGACAATGGACATGCAGTGGAACCCCCCCAAGACGACGAGGCAACTGGACGAGTGACACAAGAGCTCACTGTTGGTGATGCCAGCACACGCCGCTCTTCACCACACCCGGTCTACAGCCACGGCTGATACCACTATACGTCTGGTTCTCAGTATAGCGAGGGCGCCTCGAGGGGGACACGCCTCGCGTCATGGTAAAGCGCTGATTTAGCGCTCGCAAACGACGGACGAGACGCCACGGACACGCATGTTACTGCGGCTAGCCGCGCCGCAATGGAGAAGCTAGCGACGGCCCTCCCGTGCGCATAGTCTTGCCGCAGCATCTGACGCGAATGCCTCTTACTCGAGTGGTATGCAATTCTTACAAAGTGGAAAAACTGCATGCACCAAGTTTTACGCTTGATTCCTTCCAGGTGGTCTTTGTGCGTGCGCCTCTACCCAAATACTCAAGTACTATACGGAACACCATGTTAAGGGTCGAACCTAGCTGCCCCCACCACAAACTCGGCATGCGTCATGTCTGTACGGCACCACGCACCCGATCAATCAATAAAATAAGGCTCCCTGTCAACTGACACAACGGCGAAGAGATATTTCGGCGTGATGCGCTTCCTTCTAGCAAATGTCGAAAATACATGCCCTGCCCAGAGCAAAGAATGAGCGCGGCCGCCCCAAACATGAGATGACAGGGATTTCAGCCAGCCTTCAGAGCCATAGGCCTGGGCGCCCACGACTGCACCCGCAAAGTCACGAGTCCGAAGCCCAGATACCCAACATCAGTGTGGCAAATATGACACGACAACAAACACGCTGCCAGAGGATTAATGCAAGGCTATCTTACTTGGTATTCTCGTATCATACAAGATCCTATCTAATCACGCGCACACATTGTTCCATTGTGTGATAGCTTCATCCGCGAAGTATGTCGACCTCTAAATGTCTGATTGAGATGTATGAACATGTCCCCAGAAGCATCAAAAAGGGCCACGGGTTTTCTTTTTAGAACAACCCGGCGCAAAGGTGAATTCTTGCAGGCAACTTTTAGTTTAGGAGCAGAGCCGCATATATTACAGCGGTTACTCTCTATTTTCCGGCAGGAGCCCATCGCTCTGGTCAGTAACTCGCCACCACAAAGTCCTCGTGCCAGGCTTGCTGTACTTCTCACCGCCACTCATCTTTTCAGTGACCAGATACTCGGGATGCGCCTAACTACTCATAGTCTTGACGATCATTTCCATCTGATTGACACCACACTCAGCCTCACACCAGACCCTGTGAGCCTAGTGAAAATGGTGCATGCCGTCTCTTACTATCAGCTGCTCACGAAGTAGTAACCCTGGCATAGAAACTGCAAGCTGAGCACGGAATCTCTCGAACGCCTGGTAACAAGATTTTAGCGCAGTCATAGCTGAGTTCACTGCTAGGCGGGCGAACAATCAGTCAAGACCACGTGCGTGGTTTTGCCGCCCCATTGTTGGTCTGCATGCCGCCCCAGAACGTTTATCCAGGCGCCCTACTTTCGGGATACCGACATACAACGGCATGGTACTAGCTTCGCATCACATATGCATTATGTGTATAATGCCCAGTACCGCAAAAAGACTTGCATTCTGACCCACCTTAATGGAGTTGGCCCGACCTAAGTGCATGAGCAGGGTCACCCAGCTCCACCTGGTGTTGTCCTGATGCAATGCCTAAGAATCGGATAGAGGATCGGAGATACCGAAGTCATTGGGCCCAGGCTGGTCAACATACTCAACTGCCTTACCTGCCGCTGTCTAAAAAAAAGATTCAACGTAGCGATCGACACGTATCCCCCGGAAGAAGCCCAAGTATACACACTAGTTGGCTTCCTGAGCCAACCGGCTATATGAAGGACTAGAAGATAAGTTATGAGTTGCAATAGATGCGGTGGAGGCGGCGGTCACGCGTAATACACGTGGCGAGTGGCATACACAGTGCATTGAGGCGGCATCATACACGTGTAAACTTGCTTCCATGCATTCTGCAGGCTGGACATCCTACGCACGTATGCTGCGACGCGCCTCAGTGCCTTTCTGTCATAGTGCTGTTTGCGGGATTGCCCACATGGCTCACCCTGATGGCATCAAAATCAGGTGGAATCGACATGTTGAAGTTAAACAACTGCAATTGGGACCATGAATAGTCAGACGGCCACTAGAGATATAGCCGCATACCTCTTTTCACGAGTCGGTGGAAGCATCATATTGAACTGAATATGGGAGGAGCATTATTGGTATTATAAAAGATAAGCTTGCGTATTACATATGTGTTCTTCAAGAATACTCCAGCCAGGGAAACCAACGCTAGCGTTGTAGAAAAGAAAAAGACGGTCACAGGCACCCTAACAAGAGGATTGCTAGCTTCTCATCTGGGCTGCGATGAATGGGCATTGTAGCCAGTCAAAGGATTGCGCTCTGCACTAGCTTGGTGTCCTCCTCTTTGGCTTTACGTCAAGCATACTATGCTGCTCCCACTCGTGCTTGCGGGTAGCATCTGCCCGTTTGAATTGCTTCTTACAGATACGGCATGTCAGTCCGACAACCGAAACCACCACATTGTGGAAGGCACGAATATGTCGTCTCAAGTTTCCGCTGCGATATCTGAATGCTTGATCAGCGCCAACATAGACATGAGGAAGTCTGGTAGCTTCACGTACTTGCCATGAAAGAATATGCTACATTGGCTGCAGGAAAGACTTTCGCTGTCTCCTTCTTCTTCTAAACCAGAATCATCATGAACCTCAAGGTGTTGACAATTATCAAGCTTTGCAAAGGTGTACGATGCATTCACTTCCATTGTTGAATAACCGACAGCGTTGACATTGTTCGTCTCCTGTCCGTATCCATTGTGGTGCTGCCACCCGTGGGACTCATCATAGTCGTAAACACCAAGCGGGATGCTTGCCATGCCATCGCATGGCATGCAAGGGTTATCTACAGGGCTATGTGCTGCGAGTAATGCGTTGTTGCGAGCATTGTACAATTTGGCTGCATTGGAGTGTGACGACGAGTCGTAGTGTGGATGGCTATCACGTCGAGACTGTTGATACCCAACCGGATGAATTCGAGCAGAGAAGAGAGAAAGTTCTACATGATTGGTGTTGGTGTGCGAGGCATCTCCATGCTGGAAAGCATAGTTCAGGCCCGACATTGGCATGTTGAACTCATCTTGATGATCACTAAGAGGTGAATAGACATCAGGAAATACTGCAACACTTCCGTGGAGCTCCGAACCAGGCCCAAGCTGTGTACCGGGGTCGGTATCGGTATCAGGAGTTTTGGGAGGTGAGATAGGTAACGGCTTGTGGAACTGCTGATAACTTGTCGAACCTGACACTGAACTAGGGCACTGCACAGTATCTGAACCCCAGAGCGGCCTCGATGTCTCCGCGCGACTCAGCCCTTGTAGTACAGTATGCTCTGTACCCCTATAGTGCTCGTGGTATGTATGTCCTACTGGCACTTGATTGGCATGACGAGTCAAGTTAGGGGTTTGATCCATGGGACTCTCTAGTTCCGAAGGTCTGGATACCACAGGAAGTTCCGCAATAAAACGATCGTTTGGGAGTTCCTGGACATTGGAGGAATGACAGCCTTGGATATATGGCATGTAAGGTGGCGGGGGATCGTCGTCGACAGCTGAATGGCTTTGAGGATACATTCGACGAATCTTTATCAAAAACCGACAGAATCTCAAAAGACGGCTTCGGTGTCGTGTGTCCTGGTTCCTGTTGAGGACGGGAAAGTCGTCTTCGAGAGGATCTTTTGGATATGGTAGAGACGCAGGATTTGTCGAAGGAGTGCACTCGTTGCCACTTGAAAGCGACGCCGAGTCAGAAGCGAATGGATGGACAGCAGTCCCCGTTGTCTGTTCACCAACGTCGTGGTGTGGAGAAGAGATGCTGCACAGCGGTGAGTAAAGTGAATTTGGGGAACAACCTCTAATGAAATAAGATAGCTCACGCACATAATCGTCAGGCGATTTCTAGTTTCGAAATGAATGAGCATCTTCAGAAACGCGGGGAGTGGCTCCAAATATGTCGCTGAATGCATTTGCAGCAGTGCAGGACCTTATTTCAACCAACTTTGTTCAAGGAAAGGTGGGATCACCAGCACACTGCAACCTGTATGTTCCCTGGAGGATAGTCGTACGATATGTCTCCGTGGAGCATATATGCGAAGACAGAATATGCTGCTAGCGACGCGACATAGTCCCTATCACGGAGCGCCGATACGCCATCGTCGTGACAGAAAACAAAAAGCAGGCAAAAAGGCGAAAGGGCACTGGAGGACCTGACACCATCCCATGACAGCACGCGTACGCGTACGACAGCTTCGTCTGAACAAGCAAACTACCGACCACTCTAGAAGCTTATCTGAATAGGGCCGAAGAGCTGAGGTATGATGGGCAACCTGTTCGTTGTGATGGTTGCCCTAGGCCGCCATCTTGGCGTTGCTAGCAAAGGACACCGGGAGGCCTCGGTATCAGACGGCGAGATTGAAAAAGTAAGGAGTGTTACCGGAGCTCTTACACATGTGCCGGGGTCGACTCCACTTGTGCGAAGGAATTCGATCGATACCTGCAGTACCAAGATGGCCCAGATGTGTTTCGTCCGCGACTCGCCGAAAGAAGATGTTGCTCATTACGGGCGGCCTCCAGGACCATTCTCCAAAGTGAAACGATCTGCTTTGCATCGGCGGCGGCGGCGGCAGTAGCAGCAGCAACGGATGCTCAGATGGTCCGTCGGATGAAGTGATACAGTAGCATTCGTGGGGGTTCGGGAGGAACACCCACATTGCAAAGTAATTTGTCGCGGAGGGCGTGGTTTGGTGTGGTCCCGTCTCGAAGCCTGACCTCCACCATCAATGCAGCTCACCAAGCGCGGTCGACAATTGAGCTCAGAAAATATTTTGACAATACGAAATCTTGTCAAAAGTAATTGGAGGCTTTGCGTCAGTTATTATGTCTAAACAGAAAACTGCGCCGCCGGAAGAGATGTAAATCACAACTACACAGCCTTAAAACGGCCCCCCAAAATAACCCGAAGGTGCAAAGAATAGGCACGGCTCAAATACGCCGGCTTCGCTCGAGTCTGCCTTGAGATGGGGCCAAATCAGCGCACGGCTGTTCATTCATGGTGGGGTGGGGCTGAAGGATTCATTTCAGTCTACTCTAACAGTTCCAGGTGCTAAGAGTACCAGATGTCGCAACAACTGGGTAAAACTAGAACAGAGTGCTCTCAGGAACATCAAGTGAAAAGATTTCCCGGTAGCAGATACGCGACATCTTCCAGGATGACTACAATATTGTGCGCATCTCTTTGGGAAGGTAGGAAGCCTTCGACCAGACAACCGACGGACGATGTTCAGGCATCGTCAAGCACGGCGACTGCATGGGCCTAAGATGCATCCGAGACAACCATCGCTCTAGGCCACCTTTCATTTGCCCTGTGTCCTCCAGGGCGAGATCCCTCGCGTTTCTTGCAGGACGTCAGGACGTCAGGATGATTTACCCCACACCCAGCCGCCAGCGCCCTGGCGTTATCGCTAATGATATGCATACCCTTGTAGGCCGCCTCTTCATATCGGTTATGCCCGAACCCTGTCTCCCAGTGCCCTGCTAGGTTAGCAACTTTTCGGTCATACGGGAATGGAGTACACGCTCGCGATATCTGCTGCCTCTGGTGAAGACATTCAACAGCAGGGGAGCATGTGGTTCGAATTGAGTTAGTTGATATACAGGCTAACCCTGTCCCGCTCACACACGGACCAAGGCGGCCCATCGTTTGGCACTAATCCGGACCGATGACCGATCATTGCGTCATCGCCCGATCGGCCAGCCGAGGCTACCAAGATCAACTTACTAGATCCCCATATCTCGCTGCACCTATAGCGATAAGCTCATAGTCCATTGATGGCGGCTCAAGAGCACTCGGCAGCAAGCTTGCGATACGCCGACTGGAGGCGAGGCTTCAGCTTACTCTGGGCCCCGTGCTCATATTACGGATGAGGCCTCGGCAAGGGCCAACGTTCAGAACAGACTCAACGTCTACCAGGACGTACATCATGTGCGCTCGGTGAGCCTTTACGGGCCTAACATGAATCAGTGGTAAGGCAGTTTCACTGCCAACTGTCCACTTTGTTAATAAAGGGCACAGCTTTGTCTTTGGCTTATCTTAGTCCTAATTGGTCCTCCTCTTCAGTTGATCGGTGAAGGATGTCGGGATTCAGCCTCTTACCCAGAAACCATTGTCCATTCACACTCAGAACATCGGATTGGATGTATACAACCTGCTTGGACCAACTACTATCTAACACAGGCAATAGAATAATTTCTGCCCTCTCGATCTATGAACGCGCGGCCGATGCAGCATTTCAAAGTCGATTAGAGGGGCTTGAGGAACAAGGCTTGCTTTAGCTGTTGATTCCTTCAGGGCTATCTACTGGCTATGCGTGTGCCAGCAAATCAACCGACCAATCTCTCAACAGGCAGCGGCACTTCAAATAGGAAACATGTTTCAGGCGACTGTCCTTTATTCCGGTGATCAAGTCCTCCTCGCCGATTATGATCCTTCCGACTCCGGTGAGCAAAATTAATTCCGGTGAGTGTTGTGGCATGTCACGGGTGCGCATGTGTGCAGTATTGGCAAGTCGCGGCGCTTCTGCTCACGTTGCACACGTCGCAACCGCCGAGAGCACCAGTAAACCGAGCTTTCACAGCAACGAGCACGAGGCCGGTTGACTCAAGCACCAAATTTCGCTCTGTCACCAATTTACATAAAAAACAGTCCATTCAAGCATCAAACTAATCCGTGAAAGTATGTTACAAAAGACGACACACCATGAAAGTATGCTACGGGAGGAGAGACGACAACTCAAGCGCCAATGTGGCGGCGAAAAAGAAAACATAGACCCCACCCTGCAAGGCTGAGGGCGAGTAGATGAGACCCCGGTTTATTGTGGGGGTAAAACGAAGAAGGCACCTGAACCGGCTGACTATGCGAACCCAACGAAAAGGAACTTGTAGGAAAGAATATGCCAAGCGCTGAGACCACACAGCCTTTCCGGTCACGGCCAGAGGAAATATAAGTCGAGCAGTTTTGCTAGACAGTTGAAACTGCAATTCTGCAGCTTAGTAGGATACATTACTTCGTATGTTGTACCAATCTCCGCTATGGTTGTCGTCGAGTTCTTCGTCCTGGTCGCGCTGCCTGTATTCCTCGTACAGTTCGGAGTCGTCGTAGACTTGTCCATTAACTGGGACATAGCCGATAGCATTGTAGGGCCCAGTGCGGTCATAGCCCGACGATAGGTGGGAGATTTGCTGCGCTTGGGGCGGGTAAGTTGCAAACTGGACTTGGTGTGCTTGGCCTGCCTGAGATGCACTGGACCCGCTGCCGCCGAAGGAGTGATGCACCGCGTCTGGTCCAGACCGAGACGCGTCGACTACCCCATATGAGGGTAAAAACCCTATGTCTAAAGCGGGATTGTTCACTACATTCGCCAGATACGTCAAGTCGTTAAGCATCGGGCGAGCCACTGGCACGTAATGCGGATCATACTGCGGCTCGTAGTGGTGATCTCTTGGAGAAGAGGTAGATTGTGCGCTTCTTGCACCAGACTGCGTTTTGTTAGCCATCATCACCTTTGGGAGCAGGGGAATCTTCTCACCTTCTCGTCGGCACGCTTTGAGCTTTTGCGATCGCCTTTGCGATCACCCCTGCGATCACCTTTGCGGCCTCCTCCATGATGAGCAGAGCTGTTTGAGTGGTCTCCAGATTGGCTCTGATTATGGCCCATGTTGACTTGGAATGTGTAGTTTGGGTAGAGGTAAGGATGAAAAGTGAAACACACGACTTGTCAGATATATCACGCGTCGACAAGAGTTGCTAAAGCAGCGAACGCGGACTAGCCACTAAAACAGCGAGTAAGAGTGAAGAATGCGGCTGATCCAATCAAAGTGTCAGCACTATGAAGGCAGGTCTGCAGACGATGCTATTTACTGACTGTTGGAACACGTAGTGCAGTTGCACCAATGTGTTGTGGAGGTGCTGGGAGTTAAATAGAAGACGGGATATTGAGAGAGTAGGTAAGAGTCCATTCAAGATTAGGTAGATTTAAGAGAACCTTGTCGCCGTACGTACGAAGCAAAACGTACAACGCAGCAGTCCTTATTAACATATTCCTGGTAATGGTCCCTCAAAACGCACACACACAACCACGCGCACTCGGGTCCCTTAGAAAGCTGTTCGAATCGTTCCGAATCATTAGCGACATTGCATACAATCTAGAATATAGACTTTCCGGGGCGCATGAAGCAGCCGCCGTGCAGGTGCCCCCTGGCAGATGCCGGGCAATCCGGTAGGGCCGTTAGGTAGGGTGAATACGTGCTTCTTTCAGCAGCGTCGAACGATTTCCCCATGGGCCAGTCAGGCAAGAGACTAACTGAATATGGTGAATTGTACGTAGAAAGGGCAAGATTAGACGATCCGAAGTAGAACCGAGACGGTGATTGACCATTCTGATTGGACAGCGTTGACTGCCGCGTCAGGGAGGGGGCGCCGGGCGCCATGCCTGCTCGCATGTATCGGGAAAAACACCATCGTCAAAACTACTCGTGATGGACCGGGCAGATGCGGCGAAATGCTAGAAACTTTGTTTTGAAACGGTGCCCTTTCCCGATTCACGATGCTGGTACAGAAGGAGGATGGTATGTTCACGCCACTGTATACCTGCATTGTCCCAATGTGGAGAGGATCTGCTTGCGACCCGATTCTGCTGCTATCAGGTGCATATCTATGTGTTTCATGTCGATTACATGCGCTGCCGCCATTGTCCTTGTGTACAAAAGACGAGATCTACGCCTAGGATGGTCAGGAAGTAATTGGACAAGCGCGCCTCTCAACTCGTTTTCCGGCTCCAAGGACGGAAAAGGGCCAGTTGTAGTAGAATAATGAAGCTTGCCCTTCCTCCAAGGGGGACCCATGATGCAACCAGCTGAATAGCCATACGGTCATATGTCGGTATTTTGACTCATAGTTGCACGACAGCAAAAGGGCACTGAGGCCTTTTCTCTCGGTTCGCAAAAGCAAAAACGGACTTGGCAGTCGCGTTGAGACGTCGCTGACACCGTCGGGGTCTATGGCATGGTGGGTAGAAGTATGGGATTGGCACTTGGTACCGATCTCCCGCCCGTAGCTTGCATGTCTAGTAGATCCACTAGGATATTTTATGCAAGGTTACCTTGCACCCGGCACCCTTTGCAGGGCCCGGGGAAGTGTAGTGTTGGGGTGGGCACTAGATAGTGGTCCACCTGAATACGATATTAGTACTATACAAAGCTTACCTCACCACCACCCCGGCCCGTACCTGCCTGGGCAGAAAGAAAGAAGAAGGTAGGTAGAAAAACAGGGAAACAAAAGGAAAAGGAAAAATAAGGCAACAACCCGCCGCAGCCAAGATGAGGACGTGCGGGCAGGAGACCAGCGCAGCACGGCTGCAAGGTAAAAAGGGCGGGGTAAGGGTAATCCCTGCCGCCCCTGTCGGCGCGAACCTGCATCACCTGTGCGGCCCTCCGACCACAACCACCCCAGAACACTCCGCACAACCCTACTACCCTTCCCCCCCCCCCATTGCGCTCACTCAGCAGCCAAGAAAGAAAGAAAAATGACCCGCCTCGACACCCTCCCCCCCGAACTCCTCTTCCATATCCTCTCCTACACCGAACCTCCTTACTGCCTCACCCTCCCCACTTACCCGCTCAACGCGCTCGCAGCCACAAACCGCCAGCTGAATGCTATAGTCGAGGAGTACGCGCGCAACCTGCTGAAGCGACATGCGGGAATCGAGCCGCCGAAGAATGCGCGCGTGAGTAGTTGTCGGCGCAAGTGGTTGGGGGAGATATGCTGGTTTTGCAAGAGGAAGAGTAGACGGAAGGCGTGTTTTGGGAGGGGCATGACGTGTTGTTTGGGGTGTGATAGAAAGGAGTTTGCGAAGATGGTGAGTCTCTTGCTTTCATGTACCTTTTCTCTCTTTTGGACATGGGTTGGTGGGGGATTTGCGCTGGGTTTGCGGTGCAGAAGGGTGAGTGGGTGAGGATAAGAGGGGAGTGGGACAAAGTTACTAAACGTTTCGAGTTGACTTAAATTTTTTGGGTTTGCAAACTAACGAGTACATGGGGCACACAGACTATGACGCAAGCGACACAACAAACACATCTTTCCAAATTCGACCTTTTTACTCCGTCGCCCTTACATCCGAACTTGCCTCCACTGGCTACTGGGTCTTATCCCGTCATGGGTGATGTTGCCACGATGATTTCGACACCTGATGTGATGGCGCGCAGTGCGCATATTCGGTCGCTGCTCGGGGAAAAGGCACAGGACGAAACGTTCATGCGCAGGCGGGCTGCAGCACACGCGCGCATCATGAAGCATATGAATATGGACTATCATCAGGGTAAGGGGTGGCTGGCTTACAGGGAGATGGCCAAGAAGGGGCCCAAGAGTATGCAGACAAAGGAGGGCAGAAAAAAGTACATCGAGGAAGGACTGAAGAAGGAGTGGGAGGCGCTTGGGGTAGATCCCTATGAACATGTCCTAGCGAGGGTGAATGGGCAGTTGATGAGGTGGGTGAAGTCTGCCGTTCCGCCCGAGGCAGATGGTCGGGGTGAATCGCGAGAGGCGCCGATTGAGATTAAGTAATTCATTGGGAATGAATTACTCGACTTTTGGTTTTCGATGTGTGGCCATTTTCTGCAATCTTTGCTGGCCAGAAAACCGAATCCAAACGTAGACAATGGGTGAGTCAAGGTATCATTGTTCACCAAGAGCAGTCACGTCGCTTGTGCGCAGCCGATCCTTATTAATCCCGTCCAGATACAGCTTCATTCGTGCTGCCAACTCGAACTCCTCTTCTTCGCCCGTCGTTGTAATCTCCCCTAACTGCAGCACTGCTCGCTGACCCAATACCTCCAACGGATCCAAAAGCCTCTTCTTGTACTCCCAATCTACACCAACGGCCAAGTCAACCACTGCGATGGTAACCGTCTCGAGACTCTTTGCCTCTCTGAGCAACATCTCGGTTATGTCCTTAAGCCAGCGAAACAGGATATAGCAGTGTTTGCTATAATTCTTCTCCAAAGATGGTCCCGACGTTTTCCAGTAGATTCCCAAGTGAAACTTCTTGACCCGCCGGACGGCAGCGAGTGCAATGGGGCAAAGGCCGCTAGTACGAGGATAACTAGAGGCTTGTGTAAAATAATGGAAGGTGACGGTATTGTAGAAGTGTGTGAGAATCTCATCATGGAGATAGCGACACGTGGCCATGAGTGCTGTAGGAGGGGCTCTTCGATCAATGGAATAGATTACAGTCCATCCGAAGGGGTAGCTTCTGGGCTCACGGCGACCTAGGAAATCGTATATTTCAAGACGCAGTTCCAAAGGGAGCTTGAGAAGCAGAGTGTTGTGCAGGTACCATGGGTACATTGGTGTGAGAAGGTGAGTTCATGGTTTTTTTTAGCAGAGCATAGTGGAGAATAGAAGAGATGGTGTTGTCACTTGCAAGTTCAGGAAGCCAGCTACCTATTAGCTGCATACCCAGGCGTAAATCTTACGGATATAACGAGCAGTGTGGGATGACGTAAGAATCAGGGTCCAGGACAATCAATCCTATTTAGGGCTGGCAGGCAGGGGAAACGTTGTCAGCAATGCGCCACATCCAAGTGCTGATTGATGTCTGCTTCAGCCATTGTTAGGTTGCAAATTGGGCACTCGATAAGAAGTTTCTTGTGCATGGCCGAGTCATGTTCTTGCACCGACCGCGGACGTTTGTGGCCTGTGTGGGGGGGCGTGGAACATGACGGTGAAGAAACAAGGTTCTCGACTACTGAATCTTTGGGTTTGCTGGTATGTGAGGGTGCAGCCCGAGGTTTGTCGTCGGGAAGATGGATCGGATCGTCACTAGTACTACCTTTTGCTTGGGCTTGTTTTGCCGGTCCGGCTGTAATCCAGTTGTCGAGCTTGTTCTTCTGGCGTCCAGCACGCTTCTTTGTGGTCATGGCCTGCAGCTGTTTCTTTGTAGGTGCAGGTTCCTGGATCTTGGTGTAGGTGCCGCCACACTCAGCCTGGTGTTTCACCCACCAGGGGTCACTCTTCCCGGGGGCGCGGTTCATGCTCCGCTTGACGATGCCAAAATAGGGAGGTTGGGTCTGGCAAGGCCCATTGCATTTCCAGACGTGGGTGCGGTAGCTGTCGACTTCATCGTGAAACGAGTGGTAAACGGTAATTTGATAGTTGCCGTGGTTGTTGAGGGCGTCGGCTAGCAGCTGGAAGCCGCGACCGTGGCCCGTCCCGTCGTCACCGCGCGAGTGGGTCCACGAGGTGGTGATGAAGAAGTAGGCGTGAATGGCCTCGTGCAGCAGTGTATTGATGGTGTCTGAGCGGGGGCGGTACTGCAGCAGTGGGGAGCTCAACTTGAGGCGGATGCGGGACCAGTGACCTGTTTTGGGATCCTTGGAGAGCTCGCAGATGCCAGCGCACGGTTGCGACGGTCAGCCAGCGGGCCAACGGTGCGGGCAGGCGGAGCGGTAGCCAGGGCCGGCTTCAGATGGGGAGGGTGAGACGGGTAGAAAACAAAGCAAGGCCAGAGAGAAACGTACTAGGGTTAGACGCGACGACCAAAGCACTTGGACACGCGACAGCAGCAGGTTTCGGAAGTAGAGGGTGTCGTAGAGGGCGAAGAGGGTGTGGACGTCAACAAAGGGCTCGCCATTGTGCAGTATGACGGCAATGGCCTGTTGGGCATTCAGTTGGGCGGGCGAGGGTTGGTCGAGGGCGGCGATGGCTTGCAGGGCAGCATCCTCATCCGTGGGGGGCATGGATGCGAAACATGAGTAGATGGGTGGATGGTGGGTATAGAGGCTATGTAATACGGCAACGGGCAGCCAAGGACGGTCCCTGACAGCCTTGCGGGAAGCATGTGTATGGCATGCAGATGATGCTACTGGATAGGGCGTCGTGATCGGCAGCGAGGCCCGGGGTGGTGGTGTCGGGCGTGTGCGTGTGCATGGCAGGACGGTAGGGCTGCCATGACTAGTGCCCCCCGCCCATCCCAAGATCCGCGTGCGTGTGTGAGTGCGCCCCTTGCGCTGCGAGCAATCTGCCAATCCGCCTGGTGCAGCTCGCACACTGTCTATCCTGTGTCCCCTGAGCCCGAGGTATTTTTGGGCCCCAGTCGTGCCACATGTCCCCTTGTAGCTAAAAAGTCGTGCTGCTGCTGCTGCTGCTGCTCGACGACGCGGGCGGGCACTGTTACGGCGTCGCCAGATCCGCGTAGTATGACGCACCCCCTCTCCCCACCCACACACGCACACGCACAACCGCATCCGCACACATACACGCATATACACTCTCCCAAACATAAACACTTACCTATACTCGTTACCACGACTACTCCTCCTTCCTCTCTCTCCTCCACTCCCTCTCCTCCACAGCCTCCCGAATGTGTGCCCCCACAGACACGCTTGACACCCATGGCTGCCCTAGACAACCCGCGCGCCGCTGATCTCGTGCGGACAGCCTCGCAAACATCAACAGTCTCCAGCCCAAGGAACCGCAGTCTGCAGCGCGTCCGCCCCTCCAAGCGCCCCTCCAATGCTTCTCTCAGCCGCAGCCGCAGCAGAGGCCCAGAGCCCGAAGTCGACACAAAGAGCCTCACTTCGTTCCCCTCACTGTCGCCCAGCCCAGACGCCTCCCCGGCACACGCCCGTCTCAACGCCTGGTTTCGATCCACGCCCGCCCCCGACGATGACCTCAAGGACCTACCCAATGGGCCGCCCGCACTGCCCGACGCCCTCAAGGCAGTCGCCTCGCCCGACTTTAACAAAACCGTCACACCAACCTCGACGGTGAGAAGGGTCACCAAGTCGACACAGGAGATTGTCGGCAGCCTCGTCGCCGCCTCATCCTCGACCAAGGACCGATCCGCCCTCTTCGACGACACTCCAACAGAGACTGCAAACGTCCCAGGCAACCTACATTTTGCCACCGATGAAAACATACAAGATGCCTTGCGCCACACGGGCCCCGTCGCCTTGGTCAAGCAGCTCGCAGGCGACCTCGCCCAGCGCGACGCCCAAATTACTGCCCTGCGAAGACGAGCTGAGGAGCGCGAGCGCATGCTGAGGAAAATGCTGCAAGAGTGCGAAGTCTCCAACATGGACATTGAAAACAGGCTTCGGGAGCTCGACAAGACTAGGGACAACGGCAACAGTCTCACCAAGACGAGGACAAGGGGCGACAGTGCATCCGCCGGACTGCATCCCGACGATCCCATGGAGGATAGGCTTGCAAGGGCCATGGAAGACGAACTGGCTGAGCACCCAGATGCGCTCGGCATAGATATGGGCACTGCAGCAACGCCCCTGGCAGATGTCATGTCGCTCAACTCGGTCGCGTCAGACGCCCAGCGCGATGGTCCAAAGTCAAATTGGAAGGGCTATCTCTGGGCAGGAACAAGCAGGAAGAGTAGCAGGGCACCATCCGTCGCCAGCCATATTGACCGGGATATCGGCGGTTTATCAGTTGGACCACGATCGCGTGCAAACAGTAATGCAAAGCCGCCTCGCAAGCCTCTCGCAAACGATACCTTTGTACCACCCTCCGCTGCCGGCGCAGCACCCGCCCTACGCAGACTCAACAGCCAAGATCGTGCCGGAGATGCGTCGGCGCGTAGGTCCTCGTCATCCTCACTAGCGAGTTGGGCGTTGAAAATGGTGGCGGGCAATAGCTCCGCAAGTCCTAGTAAAACAAGCTCAGCACGAGGGCGCAAAACTACCGCTTCCGATGCTGCAGACCGAGCGCCCTCTATGGACTCGACAAAAACTGCCCAATCTGCAAAGTCCTCTCTAACAAGCACGCAGAAACGAGGTCGTGCATTGGGCCCGAATGGGACTATTAAGAGCATCACTGGAGATCAGCCCAAGGCCGTGTCCAGTAGCCTTGCCCCATCCCAGCCAACCCGTGGATTGAGTAATCTCGGTCCTGTGGAAATGGACCGCATTTTACCCGAAGACTCACGTCCACCAACACTTGTGCAGCAACATAACCGATTTATCGGGAGTAGCGAGTACTTGACTGATAGATTTGGCTTCATCTACGACCAGCGCCGAAAGAAGAGACAGAGCGAAGCTGCTGCTACGCTGATCAAGCAAAAACGGAGCAGCAATGTCGAGTCACTCAACGACAGCAGAACTGCACTCAATAGTCTCGCAAAAGCAGACGACGCCGACCATGTCGACGGTCCTCCAGTTGCAGGCGATCAGAACAGCACTGGCATACGCCCATCTAGTTCAGACTCAGACAATCAGCCCAGTCAGTCAGCGAGCAAGACATGGGCTGACTACCTTAAACTGGCCACGCACCCAACTGAGCTGCTTTCACATACCCCATCAGCAGCGCCGATCACCACAGTAGAGTCTGCTGAAGGCGAGACATCTTCTTTTAAGATTGGCCAAACTCAAATCACTCTCATGAAGCGGGGATCTGTGCCCACTACCAGCGTCAACCCAGAGCCATCACCGTCTCGTATCGTTTCTGGCAATGCAGAGATTTCCGTCACTGCCACCTCACCTGGCCCATCCACACCCATCAGCCCGTATCCGGGTCAGATGGACCCCGTACAGTCCCTGTTGGAGCAGATGAGTGAACTGCACGACAACCTCCAGAAAGAAAGAACTGTCAAATGGAACGACTTCTTGCGCAAAGTGCGCGCCCAAAACAAACGCGAAGGCGAAGTTGCCAGCATAGGGGAGAATGGCAAGGCCAACGCAATGCCCGAGACATTTCTCTCAGACGGCGAACTGGTCGGCATTGCAGGCCTCGGCAACAAGGGTAAAGTGGGCCGTGCCAAATGGCAAGAGTTTCGCCGTCTTGTCCTTGGGGGCATTCCCGTCCACATGAGGGCTGCCATCTGGGCTGAAGGAAGTGGAGCATTGCATCTACGCACGCCGGGTTACTATGAGGACCTGGTCAATAATGGCGAGGACGATCCGGCCATCGCAACTCAAATCCAGATGGACATTACCCGCACGTTGACTGACAACATCTTTTTCCGGACTGGTCCTGGCGTACAGAAGCTGCAGGAAGTGCTACTCGCCTACTCGCGCCGCAATCCAGAAGTTGGTTATTGCCAAGGCATGAACCTCATCGCTGCATGCTTGCTGCTCATTATGCCCACGCCTGAAGATGCATTCTGGGTCCTCACCGCAATGATTGAGGAGATTTTGCCCCAGCACTACTATGACCAGCATCTGCTCACGTCTCGCGCTGACCAGTCTGTGCTTCGCCAATACGTTGCTGAAATCTTGCCAAGGCTATCTGCCCATCTCGATGAGCTTGAGATCGAGCTCGAAGCCTTGACCTTCCAATGGTTCCTGTCCGTCTTTACTGACTGCTTATCCGCCGAAGCGCTCTTCCGCGTCTGGGATGTTGTCCTCTGCATGCACGATGGATCCACGTTCCTCTTCCAAATCGCACTCGCGCTTCTCAAACTGAACGAAAAGGCTCTCTTGCAATGCGATACGCCAGCCGGTGTGTACCACTACATCAACCACCAGATGACCAACCACGCCATCAGCATCGACGGCCTGATCCAAGCATCCGACGCCCTCGGCAAAGTCATCAAGCGCAAAGACGTCGAAGAGCGCCGCGCAAAAGCCGTTGCCCACGAACAAGAACTCATGCGCCAGAGAGAAGAAGCTCGTCAGGAACGCGCTCGCAAACGAGCCAGCAAAGCCTCCACAGATGCCGCTTCCTCGCCGCCGCCCACAACGGCCATCACCCAGCCAGCAGACGACGATACAAAGTCCCTCTCCGCAAGCCTCGACGGCGAACTAGCAATGCAAACGAGTCCCATGCGCACCCCGCTTTCCAGCGCAAGTAAACGCTCTGAAGAGGAGGAAGATGCTGATTACCTAAATACGAACTTGGAACTCAACGGTCGGTTGCCTACGACGCCTATGGCTGAAGAGTTTATGTGGCGTGCATGAGAAGGGTTTAATGGGATAGTAAAGGGATAAAGAAGCGAGAGAGAAGAACAAGAAGAAAGCAGAGAAGCAATTTTTTTCGAGTCTAGGGATTCTTTTCATACATATACATATATACCCCCACCCCTTTCCTTTATTTTTATTTTTTCAAACTTCACTTGGATAAAAACGCACACATTACTCAGAATAACCGTTTTTCTGGGGTAGAATTTTCTTTTTCTTTCGTACTCTCTTTTTTTGGGATTCTTGATACCCCCCCTTTTCATCTCTCTCTGTTCTTTTCCTTCTTCGTATTTGAGAAAAAGGATGGGACGAAGAATACAAGACTATTCCTTTGTCTTTTGCGGGCTTTTTGGTATGTGAGAATGTGTATATAAAGTGTGGGTTAATGCGTGCTAGGTGTTTTGATGCAGGTGGTAAGAAAAAAAGAGTTCCGGCGTGCATGTATTGAGAGAAAATAGACAAAGTATGCGCATCGAACCACGTGACCAATATCTTCTATATTCCCTCCACTCGAAGCATAAAAGCTAGACATCACTTGAATATACACAGTAAGCCAACGCTTACACAAATTACAATTGAGCGCCTACTTTTGAGCTATATGCATACCACAACAACCTCATCTCCCCTCAAGTATCGCAGCGGCCACCTAGCTTGACCCGAACCAACTATTTTGTCTGTCATGTCATTTATCAATCCATCCAATAGAGATTCTGACTAGTGAGCGCAGGAGGTCCGACCGCTGCCAAGAATCCAGTCGTCTTCATCCTCTTCCACCACCTCCGCCGCCTCATCATCCAAAAGGCTTATAGCGCGTGCTCTCAACCCACGCTTTTTGTTGCCCTTCTTAGTCACCCCGGTCTTGACGTGCCCGTGCGGGCGGCGCTGCGAGGGAGGCGTGTTCCGCTTATTGAAAATCTTTTCAACTATCATCCTCCAAGAAGAAATAGTTTCCGCTCAGCTTCTGCTCTTGGTCAAGCTGGGACTTGTCCTTGTTGATACGGGGACGGTACGAATTGGGATCGCGACGGAAGGTGACGTCCAGGTTCTTCAGGAAGCTGTTGCAGCCAGTAAGCAGGGATTCAGGCTTGTTGGCACGGGCCTTGACGGCTGGTTGACCATCAAAGACGATAACACGGTCTGCGAGGTACGTGGCCATGATGAAATCGTGCTCGACGACAAAGGCGGTCTTCTTGGCGTGCATGATGAAGCGCTTGATGACACGAGAGGCAATAATACGCTGTTCGGAGTCGAGGTACGCACTGGGCTCGTCGATGAGGTAGATGTCGGCAGGGATACCAAGGGCCAATACAATGGCAACACGCTGCAATTCACCACCAGAGAGGTTCTGCACTTCCTGGTCAATAAAGTCGTCCATCTTGAGAGGCTTGTAGACGTCAGTCTGGAACTGTGGGTTCAAAAAGGCGGCCTTGATCTTCTTGAAGAAGAGTTGTCGGACGGTACCCTGGAACTTGGGGGTGATGGTCTGAGGCTTCATACTGATGCTCATCTTGGGAATCTTGGTGTCACCATCAGGCTGCAGAGCACCAGCAAGCATCTTACAGAAGGTCGTCTTTCCAGTACCATTTTCACCCATCATGACAAGAATCTCGGAATCGGTAAAGGCACCAGACTCAATGTTGAGCTCGAAGTCACCCAAGGTCTTCTTCATGCTGGGGTATGAGTAACCACGGTTGTGGTCAGTCATGTATTCATCACCCGCCTCGGCAATTCGAAATTGAAGCGATTCCTCTCGGAAACGCAGGTTCTCGGTAGGGATGTTACCATCCAAGAAGATGTTGATACCTTCACGGACCGACGCAGGGAGGGTGACAACACCATAGACGGCAGGCTTTCCGTAGAGAACACAGATGAAATCGGAGAGATAGTCAAGGACCGACAAGTCGTGCTCGACAACGATGACATAGTCGTCAGGGCGAAGCAGACTGCGAATTTTTCGGCCGGCGGCAAGACGCTGCTTGACATCGAGGAAAGAGGACGGCTCGTCGAACATGTAGACGTCGGCTTGTTGGACACACACCAGAGCAATGGCAAAACGCTGCAGCTCACCACCGGACAACTGACCGACGTCACGGTCGAAGATGTGTCGCAGTTCCAGGTCGTCGATCATCTCGTCGAGGTTTTCCATCTGGGAGCGGGCCTTGATGAGGTTGCCCACAGATCGGTCGGTGGCCTTGATAGCCTTGGGGATCTGATCAACATACTGAGGCTTGACGACAGCCTTGAGGTTGTCCTCGAGCACCTTTGTGAAGTAGTCTATGATTCGTTAACTAGACGCGTGCTGCATAGTAGTGGAGTTACTCACTCTGAAGCTCAGAACCACGGAAGTACTTGAGAATCTCCTCCCAGTCTGGCGGGTTGTCGAAGCGACCCAGGTTAGGCTTGAGCTTTCCGCTCAGAATCTTCAGCGCCGTACTCTTTCCGATACCGTTTGTACCGACCAAACCCAACACCTGGCCAGGACGGGGCATAGGCAGCCTGTGCAGCTTGAAACTGTTGGCCGAGTATCGATGGGTGACCTGGGTCTCGAGGTTCGTGGGCAAGTTGATGATGTTGATGGCGTCAAAGGGGCATTTCTTGGGACAGATACCGCATCCGATACACAGTCGCTCGGAGATGAAGGCGATCTTGGAAGACGAGTCTACTTCGATGCACAGCTTGCCGGTGCGCACCACTGGGCAGGACTTTTTGCATTCTTGTCGACATTTCTGGGTAGGGTTAGCAGACTGGCAAGAGGGAAGGAGCGTGGGAGGGTAGCGCTTGCCTTGGGTTTGCACTGTCATGGCGCACATGGCTGGTTAGCAATGGCCAAATTTTGTGCGTGGAGGGGTAGTGGGGTACCTTGTCTGAGTTGACAATGGCAATACTAGAACAAAGTCAGTTGGAGATGCGCAGAGGCGAAAAGAGTGGCATGGAATGTACCGGGTGAGCTTGTCAGACATGTTCGCGGTTGCTGGCGTGGATGTCGGATTACTGTGGGCGGCGGCGAGCGCAAACTGCGTAGGCGGGGAATTTGATGGGCAAAGAACAGGGCGGCGCACACAGGACTCGACCAGATGAGATGGCTACCCAGACTGGCACGCGCTCAGAGGGTGCAGGCGTCGGGCGGACTAGGAGAATCCAGCAGGCTGGGCAGGAGAAGTGTGAAGGAGGCGTCTTTCGGTGTGGAGATGGGCCGCAGGGTAGTCTCCAGGCCTGACGTTGTTCGCATTCACACTGTGGTAGGTAAGCGTTTTGGGGCGGGCGCTGATTGGTGGCGGGTGCGGGTGTCACTAGCGCGCAGGTCGCTGGCTGCTGGATTGAAGCCCCGACCATAAGGAAACTCCACAACCCTCACCACCACCCATCCTGCACCCTTCCAAGACAACACCCCCGCCCCCGCCTATATCGAGGGTGTCTTGAGCATGGACTGTGAGTACAGTCTCCTTTTGAGTCTTTGATCGCGTGCGTTTCTACCTCGGCCCTGCGCGACGTGCCTGGTCCTGGCCTCGCCCATGTCCATCCATCCATCACTATTCCACGCCCTTACATCCCACAACCCGCCTCGGACCCATAGCACGGCCTTTCACGACGTATAGAACGCTTTCGCCAGTCCTTTACCGCTTCCCATACGCTGCCGGCCCCTTGCCTGGCTTACACCGCTCCACTGCCCTTGATCCATCACGCGCTCATCCACCACTACCGCATTTCATCACTCTTCCATTGCTCGCCTCTTTGCACTTGTTTCTGGTCGCTTTCTGTTTATTCGGAGTCGCGTAATTCTGCTCTATTCAACGCACTTGCTCCGGGGCCCCGGGGCCCACAGGAGCTTGAAATATCGTGCTGACCATCTTCTACAGCCGCGTCCATCATGATGCCCTCTTCGCCGGGCCATGTTGCTTCCCTGCCATACACAAACGGTCATTTGTCGCCTCTTGCTGCCCATGTGATGGCTGCCGATAGCTCCTCCCACTCCAGTGACAGCGATACGTCCGACGCGAGAGAGCACGCCGCAGCCGCCCACGTCTCCGATGTCGACGCGCCGGGAGAAGAATACGACGAGGACGACGAGGTAGCTGCTGCTTCAGACTCTTCTGAGGACGTGGATGCCGAGGGCGAGCCGGATGGCGATTACGACTCTGACTCACCGCCGTCTGAGCAGGCAGAGAGCGACCGCGCTCGGAGCTCGTCCCAAGAGTCGGCAAGGCCGACGAAGCGCAAGGCAAGCGTTGAAAAAGAAGATTACATTGAGCAGAACCCAGAGCTATATGGCCTGCGTCGCAGCGTACGTAACTTCAAGCTCCGTCTGTATGTGAGCTAACTTCACCCCAGGGTCGCGCCCGTCCTAGTCGTCGCGTTGTAAGTAAGCCTCAGTCGATGTTAGAAACCAGTACTGATATGACTCAGGTTGATAGCAGTGATGAAGAAGAAGACGATGATGATTACGATTCAGACCAGCCACGCAAGCGGCAGAGGACAGCCTCGCGCAAGAGTTTGTCTACCCATACCCCTCCTGTCCAGAGCAGGGTTAATATGTCCATCTAGCCTCGAACCAACCAACACCAGTCTATCGCTCCACTGGCTCCGATTCAGAGTCAGATGGCTATGTTGGAGCCCGTCGCAATATACCGACCAAGAAGCAACGCCAACGTCAGCATGCCGTTGCTGCAGGTCGTGAGCCTCCCTCGCAAGCCGAGGTCCGATTTTCTGCACGTCGCACAGCCCAGGTGGCGAATTACAACGAAGAGGACGATGAAGATGAATTCGCGGAAGAGGAAGACGAGATGACCTCGGCCTACTGGGCGAACGCTGTTGAAGACAGTGGCCCCGTCATCGACAAGATCCTCGATCATCGGCCAAAAGATGGATTAGGTAACAGAGAACAATCAAGGCTTGTGTCGACACTTGCTAATGAAATGCAGAGATTGATCCATCCTTTGACAAGCACGATTTTGAATATTTGGTAAACACACTCGCTTGCCAACACTATCCACCATACTAATGTAGCACCAGATCAAATGGCAAGACAAGGCGCACTACCATTCAACATGGGAAGACTACAAGACAGCATCTGCCTATAAAGGCATCCGCAAACTGGACAACTACTACAAGGGCCCAGTCCAGAACGACATGTATTATCACAGCCGCAAGAACGAAGACCCAGAAGAGTTTGAACAGCACATGGTTGCGCGTGAAGCTGAGCGTGAGAGTCAGCTTGATTTTCATATCGTCGAGCGTGTCATTGACACGCGGGATGGTGAGGATGAGACAGAGTACTTTGTCAAGTGTAAGCTTGTCCGCGTCAATCCTCATCTAGATTGGCTAACAATATTGCAGGGAAAGGACTGACGTATGAGTTCTGCACATGGGAACCGGCATCGCTCGTCAGCCGTCTGTCACAGACTGAAATCGACCGCTATCTCGACCGCTCAGCAAATCGGCCTACCTCCGATCTTCGCGAGTCAAATCCCAATACACGCAGGAAGTTTGTCAAGATGGATACACAGCCCGACTACATCAAATTTGGGCAACTGAGGTCCTTCCAACTTCAAGGTGTTAACTTCCTTGCGCATAACTGGTGTCGAGGCACCAATGTCATCCTAGCCGATGAGATGGGTCTGGGGAAAACGGTACAGACCGTTTCATTCATCAACTGGCTAAGGCACGACCGTAGACAAGATGGACCAATGATCTGCGTTGTGCCACTGTCTACTATGCCTGCATGGGCAGACACGTTCAACAACTGGACCCCCGATGTCAACTATGTCATCTACACTGGTAGAGAGGAGGCCCGCAATATCATCAAGGAGAAGGAGCTTCTCGTAGACAACAACCCAAAGAAGGTCAAGTTCAATGTCCTCTTGACCACGTACGAATACGTCCTTGCCGACTGGCAGTTCTTGCAGAGCATCAAGTGGCAATTCCTTGCTGTTGACGAGGCTCACCGATTGAAGAATCGTGAGTCACAGCTTTATGAACGGTTAACGGCATTCAATGCACCTTGTCGATTGCTCATCACTGGTACCCCTATCCAAAACACGCTAGGCGAACTAGCTGCGTTGATGGATTTCTTGATGCCGGGAAAGATCTCTGTCGACGAGCATGTTGATCTGTCTTCGGAAGACGCCAGCCAGAAGCTTGCCGAACTCAGCTCTGCCATTCAACCTTATATGATTCGTCGTACCAAGGAGAAGGTAGAGAATGATTTGCCTCCCAAGTCTGAGAAGATTCTCCGCGTTGAATTATCCGACATTCAGCTTGAATACTACAAGAACATCCTTACCCGAAACTACGAGGCTCTAAACGAGGGAGGTGTTGGCCACAAGCAGTCTCTGTTGAACATCGTCATGGAGCTGAAGAAGGCTAGCAATCACGCTCTGCTCTTCCCTAACGCTGAGAGCAAGCTTGTGAAGAGCGGTTGTTCAAAGGAGGAAACGCTAAAAGCGCTCATTACCTCTAGTGGTAAGATGATGTTGCTCGATCGACTACTCGGCAAGCTGAAAGCCGACGGTCATCGCGTGCTCATCTTCAGTCAGATGGTCCACATGCTGGATATCCTGACTGACTACCTCAAGTTGCGCAACTACGCGTTCCAGCGCCTGGATGGAACAGTCCCAGCGGCAGAGCGAAAGATTGCTATTGATCATTTCAATGCTCCCGGCAGCGAGGACTATTGCTTCTTGTTGTCTACTAGGGCTGGTGGTCTCGGTATCAACTTGATGACCGCTGACACTGTCGTCATTTTTGATTCCGACTGGAATCCTCAGGCTGACTTGCAAGCCATGGCTCGTGCTCATCGTATCGGCCAACAGAAGCCTGTGAGCGTCTATCGTCTCGTCTCAAAGGACACCATTGAAGAGGAGATTCTGGAGCGCGCTCGAAACAAGCGCATGCTCGAATTCATCACAATTCAGCGTGGTGTGACTGATCGTCAGCAAAAGGAGCTGAACGACAAGATGAGTCGTGCTGCTGCCGAGCCAAACTCTGCTGATGATATCAACAACATTCTCAAGCGCCGCGGACAAAAGATGTTTGAGCAGTCCGGCAACCAGAAGAAGCTTGAGGAGCTTGACATTGACTCCGTTTTGGAGAATGCCGAAGAACACAAGACAGAGCAGGCTGCGGGTCTCACATCTGACGGTGGTGAAGAGTTCTTGAAGAACTTTGAATACACCGATGTCAAGATCGATCTCGAATGGGACGATATCATTCCCAAGGAAGAACTTGAAGCTGTCAAAGCAGACATTCAGCAGCGTAAAGACGAGGAGGAAACGCAAAAGCTGCTCGAAGAAAATGCACCTCGGAAGCGCAAGGCCGCCTCAGCTAGCGCACGAGAACAACGAGCTGCGAAGAAACGCGCGCTCGAGGCGTCTCAGATCGACGTCGATGACGACGACCAATCCGACGCAGACGACAACATCAAGCGTGATCCGAAGCGGCCGCTCAATACCAAGGAGGCACGCAATCTCATCACAGCGTACTGTCGTTATGGCTCGCTTGAGGAGCGTGGCGATGAGATTCTGCGCGCAGCTAGACTGGTCGGTCGCGACATGGGCGTCGTCAAAGCCACTCTGGATGAGATTATCGAGAAGAGTACACAGCTTGTCAAGGAGGAGCAGACTAGACTCAAGAACCTAGAGATTGAGGCTAAGCGTGCCCTTACCAAGAAGGACAAAAAGGCCGTACTCTTCGATTATGGTGATGTGAAGAAGGTCAACGCAGAGACTATTCTTGAGCGGCCCGTAGAGATGCGTGTTCTCAAAGAAGCGGTCGAAGCAACTCCAGACTGGCGCAACTTCCGTGTACCAGACGCCATCAAGCCAGCAAGCTATTCTTGCTCGTGGGGTGCGCGTGAGGACGGTATGCTCTGTATTGGTATTCAGCGCCATGGTTACGGAGCATGGATTCCGATCCGCGATGATCCAGAACTGGGATTGACGGACAAGTTCTATCTAGAGGAGCACCGTGTCGACAAGAAGGAGGAGCGGACCAAGGGCGAAGACAAGAATGCCAAGTCTCCTGGAGCTGTACACTTGGTCCGTCGTGCGAACTACCTCCTTACAGTTCTCAAAGACAAGAGCACTTCGGATCCAAACATCAAGCGGTTGATGGAGAACCATCATCGTAACAACAAGAAGCATCATCTTGGCATGGCACGTCGCGCAGAGAAGGCATCGAGCGGTGCTGCTAGTCCTGGACCCGGTAGTGCGATGCGGCGCATGCAGTCACGTGATTCGGAACGTCCCTCGCACCGTGCACACAGCAGCAGCGACATCCGACGTCCCGATAGCCGAACAGATGGACGCCATCATGACAGGAACCGCGACGATCGCCCTAGGCATAGCGACCAGTATCGGCCTTCTGATGGCCATCGCAAGGAGCACCGCAACGACCGAGGAAGTATTGACCGTCGGCAGCAACATGCCGACCGGAACGGGACGCCAGAGAACCGGCGAAAGATTAGTGGCGACGTGGATAGACAGCGTCCCCGTCTATCCGAGGACCGGCCACGTTCGCACAGCCAGAGCCAAGTGCCTGACCGCAGCGTTGAGACACCCAAGGTCAAGGAGAAGAAGCCAGAGGAGTTTGTTGAGCGGCGGCTTCGGCCTGTGCGCGACAATCTCAGCCGGCTCAAGAAGGCGACACCGAAGAACTATCCACAGAAGGATGCCATGGTCAAGGTACTGAAGATTGAGCTGATTGCGATTGGCAACTTTATTCGGGCAGAAACTCGGGACAATGCTGAGCTCGAGGAGCGACTATGGTAGGTTCAGCGATTCGATGTTGTAGTGCACATGCTAACAAGCAGCAGGAGTTACACGATCAACAACCACTGGCCTCGGCCCGGAGTGACTGTTCCGGCGATTAAGGGCATGTACCTCAAGATGCTGAATTCGGAGAAGCCAGCGGCAAGTTCAACGGCGACCAACGGACAAAAGAATGGGGCTTGAGGTTGGTCGCACAGAGGCGGCACATGATTGTTGTGAATATCACGGCCGGGATTGATCATCATCATCAACATCATCATATGGGAGTTTTGGATTTTCTTTTTCACGGTGACGGGGCGTCACGTATATTTTCAGCATAGCGTAGGTGTTTGGCTCTGTTGAAGTACTCAAGACATGACTAGGTACGGGCAGGGCAGCGTTGGAGACTTTTTTGACTTGCTCTTCTACCTCTACTTTTTCTTCTACTTGTTCCTGTATTGCATGGACATTGCCCGCGAGGGTGTGACCAAGGGTGTTTGTTTGTTGTGGGGCGGCGCATACCAAAAAGAAAATCGCTCAAGGACTGGTGATGGGGGCATTTGCGGCATTTGTGGCACACGGGGTCTTGTCATTTATTCCGTGGTAGAGAATATGGTGTCTACGAAGGCCGACGTCAGCCTGAGTGGTGTGGTGTAGTAGTAGACTAGGCATCTGTGTGGGGGCAAGAGGGCAATGAAGCTGCTAGGCCGTTATTCCTGTCGACATGTCATTGCTATGTGAGGCATGGTGTGATGTGGTGAGTGGTTTTTTTCTGTTGTCTGAGATAGTCACACGAACAAGACATGTGCGGCGTCCGCCATGTCTGTTCATGTCTGGGGGAGGGGTGTGGGTGTGACTAGCGTTGGGGCGATGACGCTCCAATGGCAAGGGTTTGCGAAGGATCGTGCCCGCAGGCGTGGCTTCGCGTTGGGCCTTGGTTTCTCCAGCAGGCGCCATCAGGGTGTCTTCGGTGTTTCTGGAAAGACTCGGGGTCATACAGTCGCGCGACACTCTTAAAGACGCTTGTAGAGAGTCGCTCGGGCTGTCTCTTGTTCTTCTCTCGCTCTCCAGTCATCGTAGTCATGCTGTGTACAAAGCACGCGCTGATCAGCAGCCTGCTCTTCTGGGTACACCATGCGACCGCGGCCCCGCCTATTAACGCGGTTGGCGACGCAGATAGCAGCCGCAATCCAGGCCCGGTAGACGCAAACAGCCGCGCGAATGGCGCCCGCAGGCTCACGGGGAGGTTCCTCCATATCACGGGTACGTCGGCCAGGTCCCTTCGCGGTTTGCCAGTAGCTCACGTCATTGTGCAGACTTCCACCCCGACCCTTTCTACAAGACATATTCCAGCACAACAGCCGATGCAGCATGCCATCGCAAGCGAGGGCCCGCGGGCATCTACGGCGCAGAGACGACGGGCTGCGACTCTCCTTTTGCCCTTGTCAACCAGACGTTCCAATGGATACAGGACAACATCAAGGATGAAATCGACTTCATCATATGGACAGGCGACTCGGCGCGCCACGACAATGACGAGGAGATACCGCGAACACACGATCAGATTGTCGACCAGAACAAGTTCATGGTCTCTAAGTTTGTAGAGGTCTTTGGAAATTCCAGGCCTGGCCATGGGTCCAACGATTTTGTCATTCCCATTGTGCCGACTTTTGGCAACAACGACATTATGCCTCATAACATCTTCACTAGCGGCCCAAATTCTTGGACAATGAATTACCTGGACATTTGGCGCGGATTCATACCCGAGGCACAAAGACATCAGTTCCAGCAGGGTGGATGGTTCTCTGTCGAGGTGATCCCCGGCAAGCTGGCTGCTATCAGCCTGAACACCATGTATGTGACAACAGAAAATGCACCTTTGATCACTTTCTAACACCTTCAGATACTTCTTCACGTCAAACTCGGCTGTCGACGGCTGCGCGAAGAAACACGAACCCGGCTACGAACACATGGAATGGCTGCGCATTCAGCTCCAGATCCTACGAGAGCGTGGCATGAAGGCCATGCTTCTAGGCCATGTGCCCCCCGCTCGCGTCGATAGCAAGGAGAGCTGGGACGAGACATGTTGGCAAAAATATGCGCTTTTTGTGCGCCAGTTTAGGGATGTCCTAGTCGGCAGTCTCTACGGACACATGAACATTGATCACTTCATAGTGCAGGATTTTGATCACATTGAAAAGGACACCGAAAACGGCAGGATGAAGGCTGCATGGAACACGGCTTCTCTGGACAATGAGACAAGTTTGTTTGTCGATGGCGAGGTCACGCTAGCGTCGGCGTCTGATTATCTGTTGGATCTGCGCAACGTTTGGGCCCGCTTGCCCGCTCCCCCAGCAAAATCGAACAAGTCTAAGAAACAGGACGTTGAAGAAGATGACGAGGAAGAATCGATATTGGCGTGGCTCATGCCAAACGTCTTGAAGTCGTCAAAAGATAAGAAAGAACAGAAGAAGAAATATCTCGAGGAAATCGGGGGTAAATACGCCGAACGCTACGCGGTATCGCACGTTTCTCCCAGTGTAGTACCCAATTACTTCCCGACCCTGCGCATTATCGAGTACAACATATCCGGATTAGAACACTTGAGCGTGGCTTCAAGCCCTAGCAGCCCGTCGGGAATCGAGAGCTCTGCCAATCAGCAACCAATTTCCATCGACGATGGTTTTGACGATGAAGAGTACTTGGATGAAGTGGAAACTGCGAAGAAGAAGCACAAGGGCAAGAAGGACAAAAAGGGGCCACGAAAGTACAAGTTCAAGGTTCCAGAAGGACCGTCAAAGTCAGCTCCTCCTGGCCCGGCCTATTCACCTCAACCGCTTACGTGGACACGTATTGTTCAATACTACGCAAACCTGACGCATATCAACAACGATTATGTTGAGCCTCCCTCCGACCCATCCGATGGCCTAAGTACTTCTACAAATGGCTTGTCTGTCGCCACCATTTTTGGACTCAGTATCAACTCAGAGGGCAAGATCGAGAACAACAAGTGGAAGGAAGGAAAGCACAAGAAGCACCAGGGCAAACAGCCGCGCCCCGAGCCACATCCAAAGGATTTTATTTTTGAAGTAGAATACGATACACGGAAAGACAAGGGATTCCCCGATCTCACCGTGCGCCGATGGGTCGAATACGCACGCAAGATTGCATCAAATGAGCAAAAGACAACTGAAATAGAAGAATTACAGGATATTGAGGATGATGTCGGTGAAGAGACCACTGAAGAATACGACGCAGCAAAAAGAAAGGGCAAGAAGGGCAAGAAGGGCAAACATCACAAGAAGCACAAGCCATCCAAGCACTGGTTCAAGTTTGTCAAGCGCGCCTTTGTCAGCACCATGGACGCGGATGAGATTAAGGAAGTGTTTGGTTCATCGACGACGACGACGGAGCCACTGCAAGATTCGGCGCAGGAAGTTATTGAGCTATAGAGTTTTTAGACTTGTAGAGTGAAAGAGCAAAAGACGGAGTTGAGCATGAAGCATGCAGCATTGTAGCAGTAGATATATACCCTGGGGCGTTGGAAGGGGGAGGGCCTGAGATTTGGCAGTTTTTGTGTTTAGCACTCGCCTGTATACGTATCATTGCATGTGCTAGTTCTGTTGTTATTCTTTTCACTGTGAGCATAGCGTAGCGTTGATTTGCGTGAATACAATATTGTATTTTTTGTGCTTGAAGAGGGGAATATGTTTGGCTGTTTCAATTTGTGCGTTCTTGCTTCTTTGCAGTGACTGATAATGGTGTTGGGATTTTTGGAACGAAATAGACACCGGACTGATTTTGGGGGTCCTGGGATAAATGGCTAGGTTATGGGTCATATAGAGATGACATTCATCCTTCGATTGTAATATGTTGCATAGATCGCGTGGGTTGACTATTTTCTTTTTGTGCGATGACGAAAAAAAGTGTGCACCAGAGAAAATGAAATATGTCTTCATCAATTTCGTCGATTCAATCAAATTAGTGATGGATAGGCTCTGACTACACTGCGGAATTTCTCCCTCCCGAAGGTATCCAGCTACTGAGCGGTAATCACAGATGCTGTTCTGACCACTGTGCACAAGGACGTCAGCACCCTATAACACTACACTTCCATGTACCGATTCCCATGTCTTGAGCATACTATGCGATATGACATTGCACCCTTCCAGTCCCCTCTCTATATCTTCCTCACACTCTCTTACAACAAGCATGAGAAAGGGAGAAAAAAATTCACCACCAATAGCCATAAACAAAAAAGTCAGACGACCGCCGGACCTCACGCACACGCCGTAGTCCGCGCGAGCCTAGGACGAAGTCGCAGCCCAAATCCGTGCCAAGACCTACCCAAAACAGTAACTCCCTACAAAACCGTAGATTGCAGCGGAGTGTTACTCTTTGCTCCGGGTTGTTACTCCCGTAAGAAAGCAAGCAGCCAGAGCACCTCTTCCTCCGTCCGTTCCCCTCCCCACCCCCTGTTGTTGTCCGCCACTACCGCCCGTGAAGCAAGAACCCGCGGACGGCCGGTCTTCGGGCTTTTTAATTTTTCCCTGCTTTTGCGGAATCTCAGCTGTATGCATGTACACATACACATCTACTACGCACATGGACGCAAGTGACAGCGCATTCCTTCTCTCTTCTTCTTCACCACCACCATGATCTACAGTTACTTAGTTAAGCAAAATCAAGCCACCCATCTCCCAAATACAAGGATCAACCCATCTGCCAGACTGGCCCAGGATGTACCAGTAATCCACAGTGATCATCTACATTCTCACTTGCCCACAGCCCCCAAAAGTTACTTATTTGGGAAAGAAAGAGAGCAAGAGAGAGAAAGTTCATGCGTCGATCATCAATCATGAGTGTGTGGGTTTTTTTGCGCCCAGGGGGCAACCATGAACGAGTGTTCAGGCCCTACCCAGATGCTGTGATCAATGGTAATAACGCCGCAATTGCCTGTTATGGTATATTTGCTCGCGCCGCCCGCTGCATGAAGCTACTGCTACCTTGGTAGTGTAGTTTTTTAAGTTGGGTGGGACTTTTGCGTGTTTGGAATGTTGGGGGTCCAATCCGCTTTTGGCCGAGGTAAGTAAGGGAGCCTGGGATCAGAGGGTCTAGCGTGTGGTGCGAGGCGTGTGGTGCGAGGCGTTTTTTGTGTTCGAGTCAGGTTGTTCTTGTCTTGTGCTTCATTGAGACATGGGGGGATGGGCTAGGTAAGGAGTTTGGCTTTTCGTTTATCTGTGATCTATTTTCTGCGCGTGTCACATGGGGGAGAGAGGCTACGTCATTGGGGTGGCTGATGGGTTTCCAGATGCTCTCGGTGTACAAAGGATGTTCGTTGAGCATAGCATCTCAACACTTCCGCCGCCTCCGCCGGTACTTCAGATTATTTTCGTGAGAGTGGCTTATCAAAAACAACACGCAGTAAGGATGGGTGGACGAGATGTGGTCGCGAGGTCACCCTTCTGAAGCGCACCGATCGCGACACCAAGCCTTGTACTGCCTGAGAACAGCCTAACACTGCGTACGAGACTTCTTCTCTCGTAACTGAATCACGATGAAGAGCCGAAAAAACTGCACGAGCAGTTTCGAGGCTGGTTAGCTTGCGACAAAGTGAGACTCTTGTTCAGGTGCCTGTCTGCCTGCTCACGAAGCCGCGTGATGTGCCTGTTGAGCAATACACACGACCCACGATCACCGAACGTGACAGCACAAATTCATATCGCCAGCCTTGCACCCTGTGGATATGATCGTCATCTAAGCAAGAGATCGAGTTACTATCATTACCATTACCATGCGACAGCCTCCGCATTTGCCCACTTCCAAACCCAAAGCCATGGCTTCTCCTTTCAGACCTGCATCACCTGCAGAGGAGCTTCCAGCCTACTACCAGGATCTTGAAGACGAAAACATCCAATACTGCTTCCGAGATTTTGACTCAGAACGCAACTTTGATCTCTTTGACAGGCAGACTAGAGATCCTCGGAGTAACAATTTCTGTATTGACTTTGGTGAAGACAAAGCTTACTGTGCTTTCGACCTTGATGCACAGTCGTATGAGACACTGCTCAACGCACCACGACCAACAGAGCTGCATACACGATGGATTCACATATGGATGCCTTACAACCAGAAGGATTTGATCCGGACGCTGGCCACACACTTTGACTTTACACCACGTCTCATGGGCCTGATGAAGAGTGATCCCATAAATCCACGCACTGGGACTTCGCTGCGAGCGAAGAAGAGCTCTTCAACTTTGAGGTCATTGATATCACACAAGTCAGGCAGCGGTGAAAAGGACGCTTCAGTCAGAGAGAGAGCGAGACAGGCAAATGAAGAGATATTGGACGAAGAATCGAGTATTGGTATGACAAGCATGATGCAGTCTACACAGATGGAGATGGTGCGGGATATGGGCCACTACCAGCTAGTGAATGATGTATGGCATTGGAGCACTGTCGACAAGGGTCGAAGATGTGAGTTTGTGCAACCCCACCTCTTGATAAGATAGACTGCAAGGAAAAGGATGTTTCTAAATGAGGCATAGATATGTGTATCGGCTATAACGCACTATATAACGTACGCAGCAAACCAGTAAACACTCAACACCACGACGACTGGGCAGACCAAAGCCGAGAAGTACCCCAAGGCAGTCGAGTCTGGAATTGGCTCGCCCTCTGCGAAGGCAAAACCGTAATCTCCATCTCCGAAGACCCCTTTCCCTTCTCCAACGGCACTCTCACAGCCCAAGACCTGCGTACCCTCTTCACCACCCGCCGCAACCTCGTCAACGTCTTCCGCCAACTCAGCAAAGCACCCACCCCCCTCCGCGACGCCGCCCTCGTCCAACTCCCTCTCCGCCAGCGCCTCGGCAGAAGCCAAGAAGAAACCGCCCACCGCCCCACCGACGCCCCCGGCCTCCTCTTCTACTACCTCTTCGAAGACTGGGGCGCAACCTTCGACATCATTTCCCGCCGCGAACAAGGCTACGGCGCGGAACTCGACCGTTTGCGGCGTGAAATGCTCGTCAAAGCCAACCTCACTCATGTCGACCAACTCCACCACATCGGCTGCCAACTCAGCGTCCTAAAACGCGTATACCAAAGTTACGAGCTCATCATCGAACGCGTCCTGCGCAAACAGGAAGTCACGCTCGCCTCACTCAAGAACTCGCATATCCTCTCCGGTGACGCTTCCTTGTCTTCCACTTACGCATTCGGCGAGGCCCCAGCTGCTACTACTACGACGTCGTTACCTCCTGGCGCCCTCATCCCCGAAGCAGATAGTCTACTAGGCGTAGCATTTAGCTCTGCCGCCCGCGTCCGCTTTGAGCGCCTCAAAGACCGCATTGTGCTGTATGCGCTTAGCGAGATCCAGGAGTGTCTTGATCAGAAGGAATCGCTTGTTATGATGAATTTCAATCTTATTGCTATCAAGGAATCGTACAGTGTGGAGCGGCTTACGTGGGTCACTTTGCTGCTTGCGAAGATTACGATTCTGTTTACGCCTGTGACGCTGATGACGGGTTATTTTAGCATTCAGTTCAAGGATCTGGTGTTTGAAATGGGGAGTTATTGGCAGAGTTTCGGGTACGTGTTTGGGGCGAGTGCGGCGTTGTTGGTGCTGTTTAGTTGGGTCAGTGGCACATTTGAGGGTAAGATTGTTACGAGCAGTTGGACAAGGAAGGTGTATGATGGGGGGAGGAGGTGGTTGGCGGTGAGGAAGAGGAAAAGAGAAGATAAGGTGTGAGAAGGTTGTGGTTATGATTGTGGGTTTTATGTGTGTGTGTGTATTCTCGGAGTTGGTGGATGACTTGCAAGGTTATTTGTAATATAGGTATGAAGTAACGAGAATAATGGGATGTGCTATGTTTTAAGAGAAAATCTTCTGGGTGGAATTGGCGGAGCCAGACTACAAAAAAACATGAGAGTGCCTAGGCTGAATAAAAGTCTACTAACATGCATATACAAACACAAAGTCTGACATCCTCATTCGTCATCGTCATCGTCATCGTCACCAAAGATAGCCTTGAATACATCTTCAGACGCCCTCTTATTCAAAAGTGCATCGTTCTTCTCCACATCCACAGTCGCGTGCTCCGTCTGTATAGTGGTCGCCGCAGAAACATCAGGAGCTGCAACAGATGGAGCAGAAGCTGCAGCTGGCTGATTCATCCAAGCTGGGCGCTGAAGAGTGGAACCATTCGTCAAGAACTCATGCTGCAGTTTATCCATTGTCGCTTTGGACACGGCCTCCTCAGTATGTGGCTTGAAGCTGCTTTCGCCCTCTTCAAACTCAGATGGCATGTCTGGCGGAGGCTTGACGTTGAAGCGTTTGCATAAAAGCCGAGAAGGGTGAAAAGGAAAGGCACTTCGCGTCATCGGACCATACATGCCCAGTTTTGCAGCAGATTCAGCAGGATCCTCTGGCTTTGCTGCAGGCTGCCTTAGAAGATTGTCATCAGCTGCACCGCCGCCATTACTTCCGCCTATCGTAGAGGATGACGATGAGGTAAATCGCGATGCCATAATGCCAGTAGTTGGTTTGAAAACCTGTGCTGCATGAGCAAACTCTTGCAACTCTTTGACCCAGTCTGAGACCGAAACTCCATCGGGACGGTCTGGTAAGTCGTTTTTCAGTCCAGCTCGCAACTCCAGGAAGCCGACATAACGTGCGCGCTTGTCCAAATCTTCTGCATAAGGCATCCAGCCAGTCGCACCTTTTGCAAGAGCACCAGTAGCGAGACTCTTCTCAAGAGGCGGCACGAGGTTCCATAGATTCTTTGTCTCTGCTTTGTTTGCCGGCAAATGTCCTTCGGGAGCAGACTCTCCAAGACCTTGGGGAAGATCGGCTTTGCCAGACAGGGCTGCAAGGCGGTCTCGAGCGTCCTTGGGTATGAAATCGAATATAGACTTTCCGGGCAGAGGCTTCTCACCAAGCAAAGCTGAGCGATCTTTTGCATTTAGGGTGGATGCTTTTGCTGCATCTGCGACAGACTGGTATTCCTTTGATTCTGCAATTGATGTCGCACTCTTGGAAGACTTCCAGCCCGGAGGTATCTTTGGGGGTGGATATTTTGGCTTTCGTGCAACATCGGTAAAACCCGTTGCGAATACAAACCCCCTGAGCGGAGACTTTCCGTCTATAGAAGGTCGACTTATTAAAGCCAAAGCTTGTGATGTATTCTTTTTGGAAACAAAGACGTGCTTCTCCGCAGCCCCTGGTTTGGCAAATTTGCTCGGCTTTTTCCCTTTCTTTTCTTTGCCGATAGTCTTGTTGAAGGTGATCTTAGGGCCCAATTCGTACGGATCCTCTTCGTCAGAGCCAGTGTCGTTGAGGACACCCACGCCGAAGGAGGACTTGTTAGCTGTGGGCTTTTTGACACTGGGCACTTTTTTGGGACCTGGAAGATAGTGCAGGCTGAACTTTGAAGAGGGATCTTCGGCTTGCTCGCCCACGACTCTCAGCTGTGCCTCCGAAGTGTAGCCTAAGCCTTTGCGGCGCACCTCCTCTTTTGGCATGGTCATGATGCGCGCATCTGGAGGCGCGAACAAATGTACAGAGTCTTGATGAGCGCCGGCTGCACCATCTTCCAGGTTTGCATTCCGGCGCACTTTTCGACCGATGCCCTGATCGCGTCGCCAGCCCATTTTCTGGGCAAGCTTGACACCCATGGTCTCTTCCTGGGTCATGAACAGGCCAAATAATCCATCATCATTGTGTTGTCCCGATTCGCCGATACCCGCGAATGTGTGCGCTGTCTCCAATTGACGCGACTCGGCTGCAGCTGCGAGATCTTCCTCGTCCATGAAGTCCTCGGGGCGTTGTGCTTGACCAGCGGACTGGTCTTTGTGGCGGTTGGCGCGGGAAGACACAAATGTTTTTGGAGCCCATCCTTCCTTAGAGCCAACTGTGTTAAAGTATCTTAGCATAGTCAAGAAGTCTTGCGCTCGCAGAAGAATAGGCTCAAAAACTTACCCTGCACTGAAGCCTCCGGTGAAAGCACCATGCAGCCTGCGCCTGCCGCGCTCGTCGGTCACGGTTTGTTTCCATACGGGCACAAAAGCGCCATCGTCTGCTTCTTCTTCTGGAAGCTCTGTGCCTAGAAAGACGTACTTGGAAGGCCCTCTGCGAGAGCGCTTCTGGGTGTCTGACGGGGAGGGAGCACGCGTGCGTTTGTATGCCATTGTGATGGCTGGGCACAAGTCGTGCAATGCGTTGGTCGGAGTGGGAGAGAGCTGGGTAGGATGTGGTGGTACTATTGCATCAATCATGTGATTCCCATTGGCCGGCTGGTTGGTGTTGGGGTGAGAGGGAAAGTTAGTTACAGAGGTGATGATGAGTAAGCAATACAGGGGTGACTAATCAAACCGTGTGTGATTGGCTCGAACTCGGCTTGTCATTTACTACGAGGGGCAGTCACAATCTCTGCGGCCTCTTAGACGCACAGGCACGGTGAAGGGCGAGCAGCGGCAGCAACGACGTACTCTGTTCGCCTTGGGTCGGGGATGAGCCTGTTGCTTGATAATAGCAGAGGGCCTATGTACATGGCGCCCAAATTGGATGCCGTTGACAAAGGGAGCTAGAGAGCGACAAGTGGGCCCGATGATGTAGTCCTGTGCCTGGCTCGCCCGGCCTAGCAGCCAAAGGGACAGGTGTGTACCAAGGCCAAGGCCCGGGACCCTTGGTGCCGCAGTGGTAGGAGAGTAGGTAGGGGCGTAGATGCATTGGACGTTGTTTTTTGTAGGCCGGGGCAGGGTTGTTTTTGTTTGTATTACACCATGCAAGCAGATGGACATAGGGTCTGGGAGACGTGCGTAGGTGTGTAGTCGTAGTATGTGTGTACGTAGGCGGTGGATGCGGTGCCTTGAAAGGAGCAGCAGTGTGTACCCCACTGGCATGCAGCCCAAAGGAGCAGCGGGCCTGGGCGTCGACACAGGCAGCCGGCCGGCATGATAGCTACTACAAGACCTCCACCAACACCACCACACCCCATGCGATAGGCCGGAACAAAGACTCGCATCGGCCGTCTCGTCGCCCTCGACTGCCTGACATACTCTGCATGCCCACGGTGTATTTACACATGTGCGTACACCCACCAGTCCATCCGCCCATCCACCAGTCCACGCAAAAAGAGCGCCGTCGGCAGCGACACCAGAGGGCGTGGTAGCATTGGCCCCTAGCCTTTTTACCCTGGCACTGGCACTGGCTCTGGCTCTGGCACCCACCCGCCGCCGCCGCCATACATACCGTCCCCACCGCGACCCAGCTCGCACAGTCGCAGCAATCTCGTCAAGCTGTCTGCATAGGCCCGACGTGGTCGAGTTGAGCGCTCGCCCTACGCCCAGTGCGCCAGGTCCTCGCAGGCCCACGTCTGCTCCCTGCATTGTGCGTACCACCGGCACCAGCACATCTTCGCCATGTCGTCGGCCGCTGCCCCAGCTTCGCCTGCTGTCGTGCGCACTTCTTCCACCTCGCGCAGGTCTGGAGACCGTCCCAATCGCTCCAACTCCTCCCAGGTCCGTCCCAGCCCTCACGCGCCTGCGCCCACGCCCACTCGTCATCACCAGCCCGCCCTGAACAACGTCACCCGCCGCGACCACGAACAGTCCAACCTCGCCCAGGACCACCACCCGCCCTCCCGCCACTCCGAGGACCCCTCGCGCCCCGACTCGAGCAGACGAAGCCATTCGCGGTATGCGTCTGACGCGTCAACGGCTTCCGCAATGCCCATCAACGGCGTAGCTGTCGATGCCCGAACGGTGCAACAACAGCCCGTCAACAAGCGCAGGACCACCATCACCGCCCCGGCCACAGGAACATGGGCGCTAGGCAAGACAATCGGTGCCGGCAGTATGGGCAAGGTCAAGCTCGCCAAGAACGTCGACACTGGAGAACAGGTGCGTCCCTTTGCACACCGCCCACATGGTCCCACGCCCGTTGACCTGGCCCGTGGGCATGTTGCGTCTGTTAACAATGCACCCACCTCTGCTAACACCCCCCTTCTAGGCCGCCGTCAAGATTGTGCCTCGCCAGTCGCAGGACCAGCACCAGAGCGCTGCTGACCGCGAGCGAGCCGACCACTCCAAGGAAGTCCGCACCGCCAGAGAGGCCGCCATTGTTAGCCTCCTGAGCCACCCTTATATCTGCGGCATGAAAGATGTCGTCCGGACAAACTTCCACTGGTACATGATGTTTGAGTTTGTCAATGGCGGTCAGATGCTCGACTACATCATCTCTCACGGCCGCCTCAAGGAAAAGCAGGCTCGCAAGTTTGCCCGCCAGATCGCCAGTGCCCTCGACTACTGCCACCGAAACAGTATCGTCCACCGCGATCTCAAGATTGAAAACATCCTTATCAGTAAAATGGGCGATATCAAGATTATCGATTTCGGTCTCAGCAATCTCTTCTCTCCCCGGAACCAGCTCAAAACCTTTTGCGGAAGTTTGTACTTTGCCGCCCCCGAACTCCTCCAAGCCAAGCAGTACACCGGCCCCGAAGTCGATGTCTGGAGTTTTGGTATTGTTCTATATGTCCTTGTTTGCGGAAAGGTGCCCTTTGACGACCAGAGCATGCCCCAGCTACACGCAAAAATCAAAAAGGGGCATGTCGACTATCCACCATGGCTTTCTACTGGTATGCTTTGGTCACCAATCGATATTTCGTTTTGTACTAACAGTGCATAGAATGTCGCAATCTAATACACCGGATGTTGCAGACGGATCCCGCCCAGCGACTGACACTCTCAGAGATTATGGTCCATCCCTGGCTGACAAAGGGCTTTAACAGCCCCCCAGAAAACTATTTGCCTCACCGGGAACCCATTCAACTACCCCTGGATCCTGAAGTCGTTGAGAAGATGCAGGGGTTCGATTTTGGCACCACTGAATATATCACCGCGCAATTGACCAACGTTATCCAGTCGGAAGAGTATCAACGTGCTGTGCGACTGGCAGCACGCAAGGCTACCGCACAGACGCCAGATACGGAGAAGAAGAGGGGCATGTTTGACTTTTACAAGAGGCGGAATTCGATCGGGAGCAGAGAGCAATTGACGGCCTCGTCCTCTGAAGATATTCAGAGAGGCTTGGACCCCGTGAATGCATATAGCCCCCTGCTGTCGGTTTACTTCCTCGTCAAAGAAAAGAGAGATCGTGAGCGGCTCGAGACCGCCGACCCAGGCCCTGTGGCTATCCCTCAGGCTCCAGAAGAGAAGCCACTCAAAATGCCGGATCTCCCAGCACCGCCAGCTGCGTATACCAATTCAGCAACTTACGAAATGGCGGGCGAGAAGCCTACAGGCGGGAGATCACGGCCTAGAGCAAGGACGCATGGTGAGGACGACATTACCGACAGTCTTAAGAGAGTGGATCTGAACAGTCTGCCGCCGGTTCTTCCCCCACAAGTCGAGCAGCAAAAGAAGGAGGGAGCTGCTGCTGGTCTTTTGCGCCGTTTTAGTACTAGAAAGTACCGCAGTCATGACAAGGAAAAGGTGGAACCGTTGCCACCACCACCCACGCCAGCTGTTGCGATTTCTGGTCCCCCTGAGCCAGTTTCTGCACCCCCAACTTCAATCCCAAGGAAGAGCTTTAGTATTCGACGGACACGCGACCGCGATGCAGGATCAGCCTCACACCTTCCCGCAAACGCCAATAACCAGCCCGAATTGCTCTCACCTCCTGGAACTAGCAACACTGCCGCCCGCAAACTGAAAGCACTTGGCCGCTCTACCAGTGTTAACTCGGCAGATCTGCGCAGACGACTCAGTCGACGGGGACGATCTTCAGAAGATCCTGGAAACCCTCCACCCACAAGTGGATCAGACAGATCCGAGATGAGTGCGCATAAGGCTCGAGCAGCCAATGATACTGCTTCGGACGACCTTTCTTCAAGCTCACGGCATAGTCAGACCTCGCGGGCGAAGTCTCTGGGTCATGCGCGAAGAGAGAGCATACAGGCCCGACGTGCCAAAAGAGAGCAGGCAAAGGAAGCGAATGTACCCGAAGAGACGGACGCAGAACTCGCAGAAGCGCAGGCAGAAGCCAGTCGGAGTCCAGATGCCGTCAAGCCCGTTTTTCTCAAGGGCCTGTTCAGCGTCTCTACTACCAGCACAAAGCCACTCGCCGTCATTCAAGATGACTTGATCAGGGTTTTGGATCAGCTTGGTGTAGAATGGACAGAAATCAAAGGTGGATTCAGATGTCGACACTCACCTAGTATCGACATGAATAGAGCAATGGATCCATCTACATCGCCACCTGTCGGAGGACATAAGAGGAGAATCAGCTTTGGGGGCTTCATAGGTGGCGACAAGGAGCGTGAAGAGTTACGGGACCAAACCCGCAATCCCAACACACCAAAATCACGCTCGCGACCATCTCCCGCAGACCGCAGCTATACGAATACTGATGAGTCTGATGGCAGTGAAGACCGTGACGAGCGACGACCACGACGTGCAGTACCTGCTGGTGAAACGTCGACGCATGTACAAAGTGACATGGGCTCCAACATGAACCTCGTGTTTGAGATATTGATCGTCAAAGTCCCTCTGTTGACATTGCATGGTATCCAATTTAAGAAGGTGGATGGAGGAACCTGGCAGTACAAGAACATGGCTCAAACTATTCTTTCAGAGCTTAGGCTATGATGATTCTTTGTTGTAAAGGGAGTAGGAGAGTGTTTGACCTTTTTTTTCACTTCGGATATTGGCAGGCAGACGTCAATTTTTGGAACTTCAACTATGCACTGTAATTCTTTTTCTCTTTTTCGATTAGTTCAGAAGGTTTTGGGAACAGATTTTCCTTATGAGTAGAACCACCGCCCACGAATTTCATTTGTCATTTGCCCTGTAATGGTTGGAGCGGTCGGAGCAGATGAAATCTTAGCAGTCTGATATCAATGAATCGTGAATCGAGCTCTCTCTCTCTCCCCCTTTACAGGGTCGTGACCTGGCTCGACCCTTGCGGTGACTCGTGCTCCTCTCACTGTTGCCTCAGCGCCTTCACCGTATTACTTTGATTGGCGCACTTACAAACATTATACTGTTGCCCAAGCTGCACCTGATGCGGATGCGCCGTCGATCTCCGTGGAAAGCACGAGCTCCCGCAGGCGCCAAGGCGCTCGCGCCAGTGGGGTGCTTCGCGGCCTCATCTCTCGAGTGCAGCCAGAACAGACTCACCACGCCCCAATCTCCATCGCCTGTCCTTCGACCCGCCAGCCTATTCTTTGATCGCTTGTCGCTTTCTATTTAGATCCGCGCAACTGACTTCATCTCACCAATACCCCGCAATACCCGCGAAACCGCTACGACCCGCAGCCAATGCAACATTTCCTCGCGCATCAGCAACAGTACGGCGAGTGGGGTCAGGGCCACCACCAGCAGCCGCAACATCACGTAGCCCAACATGGACAGCATCAAGCGCAGGCCGCCCAGTTGCATGCCCAGCAGCAGGCTCAGGCCGTTCAAGCAGCTGCGCAGCGCCAGTACCACCAGCAGCTTGCGGCCAACAATGGCTCCACGCTGCCAGGAAACAACGCCGTTCCCCGAGGACCTGCAAACGACGTCCAGGCAGCCGATGTCGGCATGACGGATGAAAATAGGCGCGTTTTAGAATGGGTAACCCAGCTCATGAAGCCTGCTACCAGGGAGGCCGCGCTTCTGGAGTTGAGCAAGAAGCGGGAGCAGGTCCCCGAGCTGGCTCTGATTCTCTGGCATTCTTTCGGTATGGCTGCCAGATTCTCAACATCTCAAGTGCAGTGCTAATGACTATCCATTAGGTGTTATGGCTTCTCTCCTCCAAGAGATCATCTCCGTTTACCCGCTGCTCAATCCTTCGCAATTGACCGCTGCAGCATCTAACCGTGTCTGCAATGCTCTCGCGCTTCTTCAATGCGTGGCTTCTCATACTGAAACCCGTGGCTTGTTTTTGAGTGGTATGTCACACGTCCCACATTACACTAAACTGGCTAACGACCCAACAGCACACATTCCGCTCTTCCTGTACCCGTTTCTCAACACGACGTCCAAATCACGACCCTTCGAATACCTACGTCTTACGTCTCTCGGTGTAATTGGCGCTCTTGTCAAGAATGACTCTTCTGAAGTCATCAATTTCCTTCTCACTACTGAGATTATCCCACTTTGTCTCCGTATCATGGAGACGGGCTCGGAGCTCAGCAAGACTGTGGCGATTTTCATTGTCCAGAAGATCTTGCTGGACGACATTGGTCTTGCATACATCTGCCAAACATACGAGCGTTTCTATGCTGTAGGCACCGTCTTGAGCAACATGGTCAATCAGCTCGTTGAGCAACAGACGGTTCGCTTACTGAAGCACGTTGTGCGTTGCTTTCTCCGGTAAGTAGCTTTGTCGTGTACCTCTCCGTTCTCCATCTAACCCTAAACAGCTTGAGCGATAATGCTCGCGCTCGCGAGGCGCTGCGCCAGTCCTTACCCGAGCCGCTCCGAGATGCTACTTTCTCTTCTGTTCTACGGGACGACGCCGCCACCAAGCGTTGCCTTGCTCAACTCTTGATCAATCTCTCCGACAATGTTGTCGATGCGGCAAATAACCAACAGCTCATGCACTAAGATGACGAATGATGCGCTGGCTCTTTGATAAGTTCTGACAATTGGCCTGGGTATGTTCAGTCCTGAACAACCCTTTCTCGCCTTCTGTATATCTACGGCTTCGGCTTTTACTCCATTTGGCACGGCGGCCTCTGTGAGCAACATACCCCTTGGTTTGATCTGGTTTGGCTTATGGAAACGGTGTGAATTCGGCGTTAGGGTTTCTCATATGGGATACCCGTAGCAACAGTCTTTTGTGGCATGTGCTACTTCTTGCATTATTATTTTTCTTCTTTGACTCTGATGGTCATGGCGAGGAGTTTGGGGCATTGCATGGCGTAGTGCACATCCATGCATGGCAAAAAGCGACTGTATATTACTATAGTTATTCTGCCTACGGGCAGGCGAGAAATGTGGAAGTATGCGAAGACCTTGTGCATTTGATTTTCGTTCTGTGAAATGGTTGACAGGAACCGTACAACGTACAGGCGGGATATGGACGTTTGGTGTTGATGAATCTGTCTTTCCAAAAGGGATACATGACCTGATAATCTGTGACTCATATATCAATCAATTTTGTTCGTTCCACATTACTCGCAATCTCATTTACCGTTGTCGCATTCGAATGCTGCTGCCTAGCTGCACCAAAGTGGTCTAGCGTGGTATTCGCTAGCGCGCCTCCTCGCCCACATTATGAAATCCGCCGCTGCTCACCTCTCTTTTCCCTAACACCAACCTTGACAGAGCCACCAAAGGAACCGATATCCTCTGGGAGACACATCAGCCAACATGTCGAAAATCTCTGTCGCCGGCGTTCGTACGAACGTTCAACAGCTCCTCGAGTACTCCAACGAGACCAAGAAGAGGAACTTCCTCGAGACCGTCGAACTCCAGATCGGCCTCAAGAACTACGACCCCCAGCGTGACAAGCGTTTCTCGGGAACCATCAAGCTCCCCACGCTTCCCCGTCCTCGTAAGTCGATGGCAGAGAACATCGGAGTTGGGCATGGGCTAATGGAGAGTGAACAGGCATGAGCATTTGCGTTCTCGGTGACCAGCACGATATCGATCGTGCCAAGCACCATGGTGTCGATGCCATGAGCACTGACGTAAGTGCCATGGAACAAGACGCATCTGAATGTTTCTAACAAATGTTGCAGGACTTGAAGAAGCTCAACAAGAACAAGAAGCTCATCAAGAAGCTCGCCAAGAAGTACGACGCCTTCATGGCCTCCGATGCTCTCATCAAGCAGATTCCCCGTCTCCTCGGACCCGGTCTCTCCAAGGCCGGAAAGTTCCCTACCCCCGTCTCCCACAACGAGGACCTTGCCAACAAGATGAACGAAGTCAAGTCCACCATCAAGTTCCAGTTGAAGAAGGTTCTGTGCATGGGTGTCGCCATTGGCAACGTTGGCATGACTGAGGACGAGCTGATTGGTAACATCATGTTGGCCATCAACTACCTCGTCTCTCTGCTGAAGAAGGGATGGCAGAACGTGGGCTCCTTGACCATCAAGGCCACCATGAGCCCTCCCAAGCGTCTCTACTAGAGTGTTTGTCGTTGCGTTTGCTGGGTTATGTTGTGGCGATCTGTCGAAAGATGGATGGCCATGATTTACGATCTGACGGAATCTCGATGGATATCATTGGATGGGTCTAGCTAGCTTAAATGCATGCATGAACCCGCCACACTTGATTGTCTTTGTGTATGCATCGTGATGAGTATGTGTTGTCGTATGATGTGATTTGCCATATGTACTACTATGTACTTAATACTGAGACTCTGCCGCACGACCTTAAACAACCAGCCATCTGTGACAACCTGCCCCACTTGCAGCCCACAACGCACAGGCGTCCCAGGGCAGAATTTTTCTCATATCCTCAGTTTTTTCGCCCTCTCTCCCAGCCACAGCCTCAGCTGCTGACTAATCCCACGCTACTAAAGCACGGGCCCGCCCCGCCTCCCGCTCCCCTCTGCGTATAAAACACAGCCGGTCTCCGTCCCTCTTCCTTTTTCCTCATCATCAGTTGGTAATCTACATACCTAAAAATCGTGGCTCCGCGAAAGCGGCTTGCTGAGAGTTATCCCTCTTTTCTTCCAATGGATAGTTCTCCGTTCCCGGCCCCGTAGAGAGATATCCGCCCGTCTTTCCTACCAATTGCAATTATCCGTGAAAAGATGGATTGGAGTTGTGGGATGGTGTGGGACATTCTTTTCACATCTTTGAAATGTGTTATATTTGAGATATGAGAGTGATACCATGAGTTGAGATTAGTGCGTCGCGGTGCTTTGTGTGTTGCGATGTCGTTGCGTGCGAGATGCTGCTTCTTGTGAATGTTCGCGAGGGTGAGCTCTGCAAAAAAAATTGTGGAGACGTCGCGAACTCTTCGAAGGAGCATCAACGCTGGGCATGCGAGAGCATCAGTTCAATATCAAGCATGACAGATTTGAGCATTTTTTGCCATCGTCATCAAGTTCTTTTGGTAGCGATGCGGACTTCTCATTGCTGCTTGCTTATCTCATGCCGACTGTTTGATAGCGACAGCCGCAGTAAGAGAGACCAGACGCCATTCATATGCCTACTATACAAAGTGGAGATTATACGCTATGCACCAAAACTATGCTGTTTGATCCAGCTCCCACAATGCTAACTCAGCGCTGTCGTGCCGCCCTCCACTTGTCAAATGCATCGTCTGCCGATTCGCTGCTGATTCCACATCGCTCGCCCAGTACACTCCATGTGCGCATGCGTATAATCTTCTCCACCGCACGCTCATTGCGCATAAGCATAGCCAGACTCTCAGTCCTCGCTTCGGCGGGAAAATAGCGCCCAGAATATGGATCCAACCGCTCATCTACTGTGCGCTCTCTCGCTTTGGCGTCTTCAATCTGCCGTAGAAGACTGTCCGGGTCGTCTGGATCTGGCGATGTCGCAACGCCAGCGCAATAGTCTAGTACATCTGATCGCACTGCCCAGCTGGGAAACAGCACTTTTTTCTTGAATCCTTCACATCGCTCTGGCTCCGGGGCTCTGGGGTGGCCCGGCGGCAATAGCTGTCGTGTGCTTGTGGAGCTGGGATCGAAGCCTCGTTGCGCCGGGGTGAGGAGAGCGTTGAGGTTCTGTGTTATCGAGTCGTCGATGCTACTGCGGGATATACGGAGGAAGTCTGTAGTTCAGCCGGCTTGTATATTAGTTAGTGGGCTGGGAGGAATTTGGCAAGAGGTCGAGGGGTTGCTCACCTCGGAGTGCAGTTTGGTTGAAGCAGAATTGTGGCGTGAGTTGAGGTTGCGCAGAAGGTTTGGACATGGTGAACGGTGATGGAGGATCACGGTGTTTCCAGAAGTAGGACGCCAGTTTTGAGAATGGGTTGTTTTTGCTTGTTACATGTACAGTGGTGTGACTTTGTGGTTTTGCAATGGCAAAGTCATGACGCTTCAACGATGCCGCCTAATCCATGTTGGATGAATGATGTCAGCAGGGGTCTCGTTGGGGGCCGGGGCCGCTTGACTTTCGCGTTTGCGGCGAGCCAGGCGCGACGCGCTTTGGAGAGTGTCTGCCTGCCTGCCCAGGCAACTATACCCTAGCTTCCAACAGAGCATGCCCCTCCGCTTCAATGCTTCTCGTTTCTGTTTAAAATCGCGCCTTCCTTTGAGTTTACAATCCTCGCCTCGTTCTTTGTATCCATCTCCCCGCTTATTACGTCAAAGTTGCCTTTCGCAGCATTGGAGCGCTGACCACAGTCGACCTACTGCAGTCATGGCTCCTAAGCAAGCTACACTTGGGTATGTAAAGTCTTCTCAGACCACTCTAGGGTGCGATGACATCCTTCAATAGTCTTCTGGTGGCAATGCAGTGCTGACTTTATTCAATAGCAAGTTCTTTGGGAAACCCAACGGCGATGCAAAGCAGCAATCGAAACTAGCCTTTTCTACGAAACCGAAGCCAAGCAAGAAAGATTCAACACCACAGGAAGAGCCACAATCCTCACCAAAGGACCTGAATAAGGAACAAGATGAGGAGGTCGGCTCGGACGCAGAGGTTAGAGCACCGGTCAAGGAGCAAGTAGAGTCAGATGGCGAGGCAATGGAGGTGGATAGCGTAAGCTCTGAGACTGGCAAGAAGAGGCAAATCAAAGAAGAGGTAGAAGAGGAGTCTGAGGAAGAACCTCCAAGCAAACGTCAACGGAGAAAACCTTCGCCGAAGAAGGCAGCCGCGAAACCAAAGACTGAAAAGGCATCGCCCAAGTCAAAGAAATCTGCTGCTAAATCCAAGGCTGCAGAGCCAGAAGACGAGGAAGAGGAAGCGTCGACGAAGGCCAAGGGAAAGAAGGGCAAGAAGGAGGCTGAAAAGTCTTCTGCACTAGCAAAGGAGGAAACCGAATCGAGCAAGGAGCAAGAAGAGGATGAGGTGGTCAGCTCTGAAGAGGAGCCTGAAGAGGTCAAGGTCAAGGCGCGAAAGCAGGTACAGACAACCCTTGCGTCCAACACCAAGGACCCATATCCCGATTGGAAACCAGGCGAGCCAGTTCCATATGCGGCACTATGCACAACGTTTTCGAAGATTGAGATGACGACGAAGCGCTTGGAGATTCTTGCACACTGCTCGTTGTTTTTAAGACAGGTTTTGCGATTGACTCCATCCGATATGCTGCCAACTGTCATGCTCATGGTTAACAAGCTTGCAGCTGATTATGCAGGCATTGAGCTTGGTATTGGCGAGTCGCTAATCATGAAGGCAATTTCCGAGAGTACTGGACGAAGCTTACAACACATCAAGAGCGATCAGAACGAAATCGGAGATCTTGGCCTTGTTGCAGCAAAGAGTCGATCAAAACAGCCTACCATGTTCAAGCCCAAGGCGTTGACAGTCGAGGGTGTGCGCAAGGGACTTATGGCCATCGCTACTATCGAAGGACAAGGTGCTCAGGGGCGCAAGGTTGATGGGATCAAGAAGCTGCTGTCAGCGGCAGATGCGCACAACTCTGGCAAGAACGTTGATATTGAGAAGGACAAAGGTGGACCCAGTGAAGCCAAGTTCATCGTGCGAACACTCGAGGGTAAACTTCGACTAGGCCTTGCTGAGAGGACTGTTGTTGTAGCTGTCGCACAGGCAATGATCTTCCATGAAATGTCACTTCAGGGCAAGACGCCATCGACAGAGGATCTGGGCAAAGCAGAAGCTATGCTAAAGACGGTTTACAGCGAGCTACCGAGTTACGAAGTCATCATCCCAGCAATGATTGAACACGGCATCATGAACCTGCGCGAGAACTGTCGCCTACAGCCCGGTGTACCCCTGAAGCCTATGCTTGCCAAGCCAACGAAGTCCATCACGGAGGTGTTAGATCGCTTTGAGGGCAAGGACTTTACTTGCGAATACAAGTACGATGGAGAGCGCGCACAGATCCACTTTGTCGCTCACGATGCAGAGATAGAGCTGGCTACTGAAGCACCCAGCGCTGGCAAGAGCGAGCGTGGCGTGTCCAACATCTTCTCGCGCAACTCTGAGGATCTGTCTAAGAAATATCCTGATATTCTCGCCAAGCTGCCAACTTGGGTCAAAGAAGGCACAAAGAGCTTCGTTCTTGACTGCGAGACGGTTGCCTGGGATATGGTAGAGAAGAAGGTGCTGCCTTTTCAACAGCTCATGACGAGGAAGAGGAAGGATGTCAAGGTCGAAGACGTCAAGGTCAAGGTTTGCGTTTTTGCCTTTGATATCCTCTATCTCAATGGCGAGGTATGTGTGACAACTCTTGCTTAGTGATCAATTGCTGACATAATTAGGCACTAGTAACGAAGTCATTCCGTGAGCGTCGCGAGCATCTCAAAGAAGCCTTCGTACCGGTCGAAGGCGAGTTTGCATTTGCCAAGTATGGCAATACGAACGAACTAGAGGAGATTCAAACACTCCTCGAAGACTCGGTCAAGGAAGGCTGCGAAGGCCTCATGGTCAAGATGTTGGACGGTCCAGAATCTTACTACGAGCCATCCAAGCGCTCGCAGAATTGGCTCAAGGTCAAGAAGGACTACCTTGCCGGTGTCGGTGATTCACTGGATCTCGTGGTGCTGGGAGCCTACTACGGCAAAGGCAAGCGTACCAGCTGGTATGGTGCCTTTTTGCTTGCCTGCTACAATCCTTCGACGGAAAAGTATGAAACAGTCTGTAACATTGGTACTGGTTTCTCTGAAGCCATCCTGGAAACTCTGCACAAGACACTTTCTGAGATTGTCATCGACCGACCAAAGCCATTCTACACACATTCGACTGGCAACAAAGACCAGCCTGACGTATGGTTCGAGCCGCGGTACGTGTGGGAGGTCAAGACTGCGGATCTCACCTTGTCGCCACGGTACAAGGCAGCTGCAGCTGAAGTTGGCGGTGGTGGCAAGGGTGTCAGTTTACGCTTCCCACGATTCATCAAGGAGAGGGAGGACAAGAAGCCGGATCAGGCGAGTTCAAGTCGTATGATTGCGGAAATGTACCAAAGGCAAGAAAGTGTGGCCAAGAACAAGGGACCTAGTGTTGATGACGACTTTGAGTATTGAGCAGCATTGGAATGATAGGCATAGAAAAACGACAAATGTCATGAGCGAACATGATTGTCTTGCTGTACACTATTTGTTGTGTGTGTGTGCATATGTGTGTGCTTGACTTATTGTTACTCTTAGCACTTCCAACAAGAAAATGTAGATTGACGCCGGAGGTACGTACCACAAGTAGTAGGAACTATGCACAATCCCTGCACTGTAACTATCCGCCACCCCTATTTTCCCCACACATGTTGGTATTATGCCTATTTCTCTGTTTAGCGTCTATAGTATAGGTATGCAGATCAATGTCAAATGTACATGGGCAAGTGTCTACGATGAGCTATGTCAGTTGCTTTTTTCGAATATGAAAACTTTACAGGCTAAAACTTGAGCATCGGAAGTTGAAGCTCCCATCTATCATCATTAGCACCTGCTGTTTTGCACAAACCCCTCGTCTTCTCCACTACAAACCAAGCCAAGCCACTGTCTTCTCGGCAATAAAACGCTCTGTCCACCTAACTACTGTGTTTCCGCTTCGCCACCCCAGTGGAATACATACGTACAGTATGTAGGTGACAATACTGGCCAAGAGCTGCAGGCGAGACGTGAGGTCTGTTTTAGATCTCGATGGCACCTCCGCGGAGGGTATCCCGCGCAGAGCGTTCGGCACGAGGCATTCCGCGCATATTGATCTGCTCAGCGGTTCCCCCTTACGTAACCCTTCCGTTTGTCTTGGACATAGCCCTACCAACAATCCTTTGTGATGGGACTGTAACGGGAAAAGGCGGAGGCCGCCTATGTACCGTCTTTGCATACCGCGTAAGCGCGAGACTGTGTGCTCCCAGAACGTCAAAATGGTCACTATGCATCCCACCCCGGAGCGGCAGGTGGCTATCTTTTTTCTCTGTCTATCAATCAGACCACAAAGTCGTCCAACACTAGCGGGATGGGGGGAAGGGGGATGAACATCACGTGGCTCATGTGGGAATAAACCTGTTTAATGAGAGCCCTCTGCTGTGGCCGCCAGCAAATTTTGCCTCTGGGTCAACATGAGCAATGGCGACTGACGGAGAAGACAGTAAAAGAAATATTCTACGTACAGCGGCAGTGGCTCCACCTCGCCAGCGCTCGAGGGTCTGGAGAGTCGGGCATAGGCGTATGCAGGACCGTCATGGATGTATACCTCAAGCTGGAATCTCCTTCCAACCATTGGGTCTGGCGGTCGAAAAAGAAGCATGTATGACTCTTTGGGCTTTACTGGATTAGTCATCATGCCAGTATGTGCCTGTAGGCGGGATTCGACGGACGCAGGCGCAGTGGCAAACCGTCCTGAGCGCGCAATCTGATTGGCGGACGAATAGCCGGCCTTCTTACACGTCTGCGGACGCAGACACGCTGCGAGGACTAAAGCTTGGGCTACATTCAGCAATTCGATACGGAAAGAATGTCGAATGCTTGAGTGCCCGAATCGGGGCTGATTGGGTAACAGTAACATTTCAGAGGGTAAAGACTAGACAGACGACCAGTCTCTTCAGTCGTACCAGGCAAGACTGCGGCAATTTCCCCCAAATCCTACGTCGGTGCAGTGCTTTCGTCATAACCTCATACTTAGAACCAGTCCCACCCGCACTTCTCTATCGCTACCATTCTATCCCACTCGCTGGTCTGTGGAACTCTTTCCTACTCCCCCCCCTTCTGTGCTCGAGGCTCGCCCGGCTCCTCTCTCTCGCAGACAAGCGGCTTTTGCCCCAGTCGGCTTCTGTTGGCCGCCTGTGACATGCAATCACAACAGTCAAACTCAGCTGCACCAGGAGAAAGCGCTGGGGGCCGGCCTCTTCGTGCTCTGCTCCCCGCAACATCACCCAGGAGCGAGCCTCCGCCCACACACTCAAAGCGAGCTCGCGTAACCCTAGCTTGCGCGGCATGCAGAACTCGCAAAACCAAGGTACAGATTTAGTGCCTACATGAGCAAGCAAAGTGCTATAGACGGCGTCTGATGTGTACCTTTTTAGTGTAATGGCGAGCGCCCTCAGTGTAGTGAGTGTGCGGCTCGTGACAGCCAGTGTCAGTACAAGGAGACGGAAACTGCCCAAACCAAGCGTAAGCATCAGGACCTAGAAGAGCTGTTCGAGTTACTCAAGTCGCTGCCGTACGAGGACGCGTCCGAGGCACTAGCACGAATCAGGGCGGGTGAGGAGCCGCGGGACATTGTCGAAACTATTACGCATGGCAATGTGCTTATGCAGATTGCCACGGAGATTGGGGGCAGCAGGCCTAGTGCTGATGAGAGTCCGACTAAGAGCAGGAGAGGGAGCGCCAGCGGCATTGAAGATGAAGAAAAGACGAAGTCTGAGAGTGCTGGCGGTAGTGGTGGTGTTGCTGGCAGCAGCGGGGATACCCAGGAGCTAGAGCCAAGGACGGCCGATGTACCAACGAGAGAAAAGAGCCGGTGAGGCAGTCAGGAGAACTACTACGTTACGTTTCAGAGATCGCTTCGCACAACCGACGAGCCGCCTTTCAACAGCCGTCCCATAGATGGACGGGGACCCGTGGAGGAGTGTCCCCCACTCATTGATTCAGCCACAGCCTCAACGAGACATCCACTTCGATGTCCCTTCTCCCCAGACCTACGCATGAGAATTCTTAGTCTACAATTTCTGCGCGCCCAAATTTTGCCTTCCCCTTGTCAAGGCGCCGAAGTCAAATCATGTATACATACTTTATCTTGTCTTGAAGCTGTAAGTCGAAGCAACAATACTACTAGTCGTCTCTGATCAAGTATACTCCTAAGCTGGGACTAGACATGTCCTCGAGAAAGCCTTCGCCGCCAACAGTTACCTTGTCTCCCTCAAGGAGTTCTCCAAATTTACATTTATCCTCCAATCTGAGACTGTCCACCCCAACCCTCCTCGTCGAACAGGATCTCGAGCTTGATTACTTCTCTATCGTATTGCCATTTTTACCACCAAGCCTGTTTTTCTGATCATCCTTGCATACACGCTAGACAAGGCCCACCATGTCAGTAAAGGCGGTTCCGAGGAATCGGTTTCCCTTGACCGATAGCTAGTGTGACGATTGCGAGGCCACACTTGACAGCACTGCGAATACTTGCCAAAAACGATGACTCTGTACGCCAGCAACACTGCCAACGACTGCCACAGTACCATGAACTATACTGGCAAAGAAAACTACCATGAATCCAATTTTGCGTATCTAGAGCACAGCTATCGCCTCTAATCTCTCTGTACTCAGCCAGGACTTCGTACTGAAGTCTGACATAAAAGTGCGTGTTCCGGTTCTGCTCACGCATGGCCATGTCAGCGCCGGATACATCTTTCTACACAATCTCACATAAATACGTAGAACACTCCACAATCATCTACGAGACGCCCTTTTCCCCAACCGCCCGCAACGCACTGCCAGCATGTTTTTCGAACCACCCGAAACCCCATCTCGTAACCTCCTGCCCCGTCGATAAACCACGAAGTCGGCAATCCCACATTCGATATCCCCACCCAAGTCGATTCTCCTCACGTCCGCGTCTTATTCAGCCCATACCTCGCCAAATGCACCACCCCCGTACACTAGAACATGATTTGAATCATAATCCTCAGAGGCATCTAGGAAGCGTTTATACGTTTTCGCCTCCGTTTTCACACACTGCCTTCATACGTTCCACAATTGCCATGCCGGTAGCGCATACACAGTGGAGAATCGCTGCGTGTAACTTGTCTGCCTACACATTGTGTATCCCTCCACATCCCTGGTCATAAGACTCCCTGACCGATTTTCGATAGAGCTTTTCTGCGCTCCACTCTGATTCTGTACACTTAGACTCGTTTGGCGAACTGGAGATTGATATACGGCACATGCCGTCTACCCTCTTCTTCCGCGCCAGTTTAGACCTTGTCGGACACGCACGACACTTTCCGATGCAATACTTGCAGACAAGAAATCTGAAATCCCTAGCTGGCAGAATGCATTTGACGTGTAAGAACTTAGCTGGCGGTGAGATTACCAATCGGCTTTATTTGGAGGAAGAGGCATTATCCACTGTTGGATGAGACTTGAATGGCACGACTGCATGGCCATATAGCATCCCACTCACGTGTTGTTCTCTTGTTGATTCAAATAATAAACAAAAAAAATAACTTCAGAGAAAAATTACGAGACCATAAACCAGACTTGATCTTGCCAAAAGGTATCCCAGACTCATTGATGTGATCTTCGCTGCGCCGAAGATTATCGGTAATTGTTGATACGCAAGCGTCGACTTCATGCATGTCTTACTAGGGCCCCCTGTACATTTCATACGAGCCAAACAATTCATATCGCGTCTATTGATATTCTCAATAAAGAAATCAATAAAAAGCTACTCATCAGCACCGAACATTTAACATATGAACAGTACAATGACCGCTGAGTGAGCAAAAAAAGGATGTCGCTAATACTTGGCGGTACTGGGAACTGTAGACATGTTAGAAGATGTCTCAGGACCACCAATGTGTGAGGTTGAACGTACTCGAACCCAGGCTGGCGCGGATCTGGATCGGGACAACAGAGTTGTCCGCCAGCCACAACGCGACGTCATACCACTAGACCATACCACCGTAAGGTGTTTGATGTTGTTTTGATGAGAGTTTAGATATTTGGAAAACTTATTTAATGAATAATCTAGAATATACTTGGCTTCGACAAAACATGATACTGTGGGCACTTCCACCTTCGCCTGCGTAAGTGGTGGGGCAGGGACCCCAACAAAATCTCGCGCCTCATGTTTTCACGTGCATTGTCCGAATTGGAAAGTGGTTAGAAGAATTTGATTTCCTCACTTGGACGCACCTCACGCATGTCAATTTTAAAAGACATTGACCAAGGCCGCTCGTTTGATGAATACACGTTCGGTTGGGTAGCCCTCTGTCAGCCTACGCTGAGACACTGCGACAGGAACAATTATTAAAAATATTTGTAGGTACCAATTAAGATTCAAGTGTGAATCCCGTATGGTGTGTTTGGTGCGTTTGATGAGGTTATCTTTTTAAACAAAGTACCCGTCCGAATAAGCTCTCAAGGCATACGCAAGCAGCATGTGGTTTCTACATCGTCCTTACACAAAGAATGAACATCGGAGTGTATACTAGCTCTCTAGCCTACATTATAATAAAAACTGTAATTCGTTGGCTACCACACGTTTATCAGAGAATGTTGAGCTGGGGCGAGAATGGATCGGGAATGGTGTTTGGCTAGGTCACCCGTTCCGATTCGATTCCGGTTTTGCCGACAGTCGGGAAATTTTCTGGATGCGCAAGCAACACTTCAACAGCCATCTCAGCCAACACCACCATGGCCGAACCAGGTGCGCAGACTCCGCCCGCTGGCGGAGCATCCTCAGGGTCTGGGAAACGCCCGAGGCCTCCGAATCCCGTCTGGAGAATGATGGGTACGTTTTTTTTCTTCTGCCTGGTGTAGGCTTCCAACTAACAGTCACAGGTCTGCCAAACTTTCGCTTCAGGCTACCATCGCGCAATTGGATGATATTCCTTTCTATTACTGGATCATGGACTGCGGCAGTAACTTACGATCGCCGACAGAAAAGGCGCATACAAAAGAAATGGGCAACCGTGGTGGAACATATTGCACATGAGCCACTTGATGTACACCAACTACCCCGAAAACTTACTGTATATCTGTCTGCACCACCAATGGACGGCTTAGTATCTGCGCGCGATCACTTTCACGAATATGTCAAGCCTATTCTTGTCGCAGCAGCGATGGACTGGGATGCGGTCGAGGGTCGAAGAGAAGGAGACGTCAGAGCAGGTTTAGCAGAGCGGATACGAAAGTTGAGGAAGAGGAGGGGAGAAGCAACTGCTGAGCCGATAGAACCAGGTCTTGCGGAGGATCTGGAAGGCCTAAGGCAAAGAGCAGGAGTAAGCGAGTGGCCTGGTCCGGGAGGAGATATTGTCATCGGACGACACACATGGAAAGAATATGTGCGGGGACTTCACGAGGGCTGGTTAGGTCCATTGAACCCTCCGCCAGCGCCAGAGCCGTTGATAGAGGCAAAGCCAGTGGAAAACACTGCTGCCGCACCTGCTACAACCGACGATGCATCCCCCACAGCAACCACCAGCCCCGAAAAACCAGAAGAGGCGAAAAAGCCAAAGGAGGAAGAGAAGAAACAGAAGAAGAAACAGACTCCGCCTTTTATCACGACAGCCGAATATCAGAACGCAACGCTCTCTCCAAACTGTCCACAAGCCCTCGGTCCTTCTGCCATCATTCCTTTTCCACACCTTCTCGGCTTCTTCAATTTCCCAATCCGCATGTACCGCTTCTTGAATCAGCGAAAGGTAGCGGAAGACGCTGGTAGAGAGACTGCAGCTGCAGTCCTGGGTGCGTATCGACCTTTCGAGTCTTCAGGTGAGGGCATCGACGGGGAGCCAGAACAGAAACAAGTACTCGCACACGAAGAGCCAGATTGGCACAAGAGCGCGAAGAAGCGGGAAGAAGGCGAGACGAAAGAGAGGGTTTTACTAGAGGATATGGTGTTGGATTCGCGGATCGCAGAACGCATGAGGCGCTTCGTATTAGACGCTGAGGTTGAAGAACGTGCAAAGACCATTTCTGTACCAACAGGATCATCTTGGCTCAGTTCTCTTTGGCCAAAAGAGAAGCCCAAAGCCGCTTGGGAAGGATTGAGTGACGACTAAAGCACCCACAGATACCACCATCTCCCCTTCTATTATGTGTTTGTAACAGTGGCGATCTGTAAGAGTAGACATGTACCATGATAGCATCTAGCAGCGTGAATGATACCATATAAATTTCTTGCCGAGAAATATTAGATACCTTTCTTCTGATTATATGGCATGTCCCTAAGTCAACCTAGAGGCCAGAGGTAGTAGAGCTTGGCATTGACCAGCTGCCCCGCCAATGGCCCGAAGGAAGCTTCGAGTAGAAATGCCATCGCGCCACACTCACAATCGACAACAACCTCCGTACTGTGTAAAACACGTGTCAAAAAGTATACCACTAGAGTGAAATAGTACAAAACACTCTGCAACCAGTTTGCGACACGCCTTCAGACAGCACACATACAGCCGTCATGGTAAGCTGCCCCACTCTATGCAAGTAAACTTAGTTGACAACAATAGGCTTTCCAATCCAAAAAGCGCCTTGCGCTTGCGATCATCGACTTCCTCCAGACTTCACAGACCGATGGCTCAGTAGCCCCCGATGACGCGGAACAGCTCGAGGTTGCCGCCAACTGCATCAGCGAGGCGTTCAAGGTCGACCTTGACGACCAGGCTGCAAAGAAGGACGCAATTGGTGACCAGAACCTACTCGCAATCTATAACGTCTACGAGAAGCTTAAGGGAAAAACAACTGCGACCACCGAGGGCAGCTCATCTGCAACGGAGGCTCGCCCAGCAACACCGCAGACACCTGCTGCTAGCGCATCAGGACCCGGTGGACCCAACAAGGATGAAGCTGAGAGGCTAAAGGGATTGGGTAACGAGGCGATGAAGAAGAAGGACTACGAATCTGCCGTTAAGCATTACACTGCTGCGCTGGAAATCATACCACTCAACCCCATCTACCTTTCCAACCGCGCTGCCGCGTACTCGGGTCAAGGCAAGCACGAGCTGGCCAAGGAGGACGCCGAGATGGCCGTCGCTGCCGACCCCAACTACTCTAAGGCATGGTCGCGTCTTGGTCTCGCAAAGTTTGTGCTTGGTGATGCAAAGGGTGCTATGGAGGCGTACAAGTCCGGTATGGATGCTGAGGGCGGTGGCTCAGATGTCATGCGTAGGGGATACGAGACCGCCAAGAGAAAGGTGGAAGAAGAGGGTGGAGATGTAGGTGCTGCTGATGCGCCTCGAGGTGGTGCAGGTGGCGGCATGCCTGACCTCTCTTCGCTGGCTGGTATGCTCGGCGGCGGAGGCGGTGGCGGTGGCGGTATGCCTGATCTCGCCGGCCTCATGCAGAACCCGATGATGAGGCAAATGGCTCAGAATCTGATGAGCAACCCGGATATGATGAGCAATCTTATGAACAACCCAAGGATAGCAGAGATGGCTCAGCAGTTTGGTGGCGGCGGTGGAAGAGGAGGAGGAGGTGGTGGTGGTGCAGGCGGAAGTGGTGGTGGCATGCCTAACATCTCGGATCTCATGAACGACCCGAGCATAGCTGAGATGTGAGTGAAGCGGCCAAGAAACAACATCACAAAAGCTAACAACGTATTAGGGCCCGTAACTTTATGGGTGGAGGCGGAGGTGCCGGTGCCGGTGCCGGTGCCGGTGCTGGTCGCGGAGCAGGAGGCGCCCCCCAATAAGTCGTCGACTAGTAGTGTACAGGCGATAGCAGGATTGCTACGAAGTGTAGTTCACGAGCAAAATAATGATACCATGTTCACTTGCTTTGGTGGTTTCCTGTCACTTACTGGAAGGCTACTACTTATGTGACTCTTGTGACCTCGACGCGTTCCTTAGGCGCGTTCGCAGGCACAATCTTCAAGAGTTTCTGCGGCCAGCTGTTACATCCTGTCCAGCTTCCCAGGGCAAAAAAAAAGTCATATCTGCAGCCCTGTACTGCTCGATCCATGAACCCGTAAAGTTGGTGCTCCCATCACTTGATTCCCACGCGCCCCCCCCCCTCAATCCAACTTCAATCCCCACAGCCCATCTCCCAGATAATGACCTGCCTCACATGCCTGCCCCTTCTTAACCTTCTTCATCTCCTCCGTCCCCATCTTCAGCACCCCGACCATACACGCCGTCTCCTTGCCCTCGGCCTCAATAACCACCACGGCGCCCTCCTTCAGCTCCTCCGCCCCATATT